TGAAATTAAGAATTGCCACCTAGCTGAAAACAAATTCAGCTGCATGTTTTAGTAGCTGGGATTAATGAATTACTGGGAATTGTACAGTGGGAATAAGGATTTGTCTGATTTCATTCATATATTATAGTTAGAATTGCAGGGTTTCTCCTTTCCAAGGAAGAATAATAACTTCAGTTGCAAGTATTTCTTTTACAATTTTTTATATTGGAATATATTAAATTTTGCTCAATCTTTCTTGGTCCCCAAGGCACTATTCACTGTTTTTGCCCCAATTTCCAGGACAAAAAAACTTCAACAACAACAAATTACATTTGTATAGCGCCTTTCACAGCAGGAGAATGTCCCGAGGAACAACCCAACCACTGATCAGCCCATTTAGGGGACCATCTATTCCCCCCGCCAGCAGGCTCAATATTTCACTGAAACTGTTTATGCATGAATATAAGTAATTAGGAATGTGCCTATTAAGGAATCTTAAATTAATAAGCCAGCTGTACCAGAATACATCCTGCTGTGCATTGTTTTTCATTAGCTAGTTTACACAAAGCCTTTTTTTTTGAAAAAATGTGAATAAATTATTGCGGAAATTGCTATCTTTGCAATGAAAACAAACACTTTTTAGGGATATAAGGCAACTATTAGCTACGGTTGCTGCAAACATTGAGATAATTGTTGTGACACTTTGGGGTAAGCAATACAATATTGCATAGCAGATTCAGTAATTGTCAAATCTGTTCTTCAAGAATAGGTGTGGGTGTGAAACTTTTCCTTCCTCTTGACTTAGACACAATGGTTGGACCCCAAGTACCAAATTCCTAGACTTCTACTCTGCAATCTTGTAAACCTTCACGATTATCCATTGAAACACTGTGATCACTGTGAATAATTCCTCCAAATGGAGCAGGATAAATATCTGATTGAGAACAGAGTTGCCGATTTTAGCTACAATATAGACTGATGGGTCGACACGACACAACGGCTATGTTACTGGAGCAGCAGTGTTGACAGAAAGATGAACAGTGGAGACAGGAGGATGAATGGTTATTACGGGAATTATGTAATTTTTGTTTAGAAAAAAATGTTAGTGTATTTCCATATTTCAGGAACTGCTGAGAGGGTTTGCTGTAGCTCAGTCCTGTTAGCAGTTTCAACCCCAAACCTGCCTCCCCCCCACCACCCAGGTTCTTAACCAGTCCGTCAAACAACCATTCTCTCTCCACACCAGAAAGCTGATATGTTACACCGCAAACATGTAATTGAAAAAGCAAAGGAAACTTGTCAACATGATAAACAATTCAGAGGTGAAAATAAAAATGAGTTAATCAATAACCTTTTTCCCATTCCTAAACATTGGAAGTGGATCAGAACCCAAAACTTGTTTCAACTTCACCAAGAAAGCATAATATGATTTAATATGTGCATCAGTCTGTTATCATTTCAAAATATCAGTTTTACTCCAAACCCAAGATTAAACTTATTAACTTCCAAATTCGACCTACACCAATAGGTAATTGAAAACAACTTCAACAGAAATGACTGTACCTCATTTTACAGATGACAACTATTAATCCATTAGTTCAGTAAAAGGATATTAAAATAAATAACACAATGCAGATAGTCAGTTAAAATACCGTAGTGGCATGACAACTGACTTTGTTTCTCAAAAGATTGAATCTCTGTAACAGACAAAACTGAAAAAGCATTAGATGTTAAGAATACAAGAAAACAAAATACATACTGAGGTCAAATCTGTGGTGATTTCTAACAAGTTCTCTTAATAAGTGAATGAGGTGGAGACTTCTGATCAAAGGAAGTGTGTCCTACTCTCCTATAGCACCCCTGTTCCAAAAGTACATTACACCGGAGTGAGATTCTGCCAGTTGGTGTACCATACTTCTGATTTTCTTATTGGAGTCTAGTATATGTTTACTTCCTAATAAACTATCTAATAGATCAACCAGTTTAACATGGGTTCAAAATGTTAAGGAAATGTTTGATGGTGGATCTAGATGTCAGCACAGTTCAATTAGTAGCACTCTCGCTTGCAAAACAAAAAGTTGTAAGTTCAAGTCCCGCATCAGGAGTCTGAGCTGATAGTCCAGACCAAACCTCCATTGCAGTGCTGAGAGGTGCTGAATTGTCGGAGGTGGTGGTTTTCAGTTGAGACATTAAATCAGATCTCATTTGACAGTTCAGGTAGACATTAAAAATCCCATGGCACTATTTGAAAAGAGAAGCGACTTTCTCCTATTGACCAACAATCGCCCAAATATAATTAGTCACTCACTGCATGACTGTTCATAGGATTTTGCTGCAGGCACATTGGTTGCTATATTTGCCTACAGATATAGTCACTACGTTTCACAGTAAATTCCTGTGAAACACTTTGAGACGTTTTGACGATGTAGTAAGTCACTGTATCTAATGCAAGGATTATTTAATAAGGTGAATCTGTAATTTTAGGATCAAATTATTGCACGATTCACCAATGTCTCATTGCAATCCTAAAGCAAGAGAAAAATCAATCTCGGAAATCTTCAAACTCTCTCTCTTGATAACAAATGGTTATCACTGTGATAGACATTTCTTTTTTAAAACAATATTAGAGTCAATTGGCAATTAATCATTTCAAAGTCACACTTTAGATCCCTTGAAGCCCTGACTTCAGGATCAAATTATCACTCACCAACACAAGCAATTAAGCAGACATTCAATATAGAATAAAGGAAAGGCACCATCCATCTGCCCTCAATCTCCTGAGGCAACACTTCATTTGAAATGTATACACTCTGCACTGCTGTCTTTTAGAACTTATTATCTTTTAAATTTTTTTATTTCAAGGGCTTTAAACTATTAGATGGATAGCTGTTGCAGGGGGATTCCAATACAATAATGCATCCACTTAAACTGTTCTCTTGCAAAGAACTGTCAGTACATAATGTAAGTACGTCAGTCTCCATTGTACCGTTTTCGTTCAAAATAAACTTTGCGGAAGGAAGGACGTTTTGGGCAGGCAATTATTAACACTGAGTTTCATCATTTAGTCAGTTCTGTGATAAGGGGAACATAATTGTCACACACAGAGTGATTTGGCTGAAGGAAGAAGAAACAATTGAGAAATGATTGGAATAATTTAAATAAGCAAACGCACACTAAGCACTAATAGACTATTTTGCTCCAATTGTTTGGTTCTGCTTCATGGAAGTATGAAAATATAAACATTAAATCACATAATTGATATTCCAAAAAACACAGAAATAAATAGTAAAATTACAAGGTAAATCTGCATTAGTCTAAGGCAGATCAGTGGGTAGAGTTGTTGAAGCCCTAATAGGTATTTGTAGGCCAACACAACAGCTTTGTCCACAAACAGCCATAAAGTAAATGATTAATTTTATCTGTAATAATTTTACTACTTCCTACTCTTGACAAATTCTGTCCCGTGCATGGGGATAATATGCCTCCTACTTTTACTTCCTTTTGGCAGTACCTTACATTATCTATATTCAACTTCATTTGCTTTGATTATTTGCTGAGATGTTTGAACTCTCCTTGTAAAATGTGCGCCAGCCTGGCTCAGTGGTAGGACTCTCCCCCCTGAGTCAGAAGGTTGTGGGTTCAAGCCCCAAGTCAGGACTCATATAGTCTAAGATGACGCTCCAGTGCAGTGCTGAGGATGTGTTGCATTGTCAGAGGTGTCGTCTTTTGGATGAGATGTTAAACCAAGGTCCCATCTGCCTCTTCAGGGGGACGTTAAAGATCCCATGGCCCTATTCAAAAAGAGAAGGGAGTTTCTCCCAGTGTCCTGGCCAACAACCCCTCAAATAAAATTTACTCCATGGCAGTTAGTGGGACATTGCTGTGCTCAGTAAATCCTGTGACGTGCTTTGGGATTTCTTCCCTATGTGAAAGACACGATATCAAATGCTGGGATTATTAAAATCATGGTGGTTTGGAGTCAAGCAGGAAGGAGATTAAATGGGCTGTTACTGTTGTGGAAATCACCAATGTTTCCCATGGGAACTCATCAGGGTAGAATGATCTCTCCTTGTCCAGCCTTGACCTTATTTGGCCAAATACAATCTTCAGAACAATCAACAATCAGAAAAAAAAGATTTATTTTTAACCAGAAATATTTTCACACGTTTGATACAAGTTATTAACTTTATCATGTTGACACGCTTGTTCAGAATTCCTGCACACTGATGCAATGTTCAGCAATAGTAAAACTATTTTTCTCAGGCTCTACAGTAAGTCAAGTTTAGTATTCTGGCCTCAGATCATAATAATAAACCTTTTTTATGGAATAGGAAACAGTTTTGCTTACAGCACTCAGTGAGAGTAAGGTGTTTTTATGTACCGAAAAATCTCATACTGATGTAAAGACTACTTTCTGGGCCATTTATCACAACCATTAATATATGAGAAAGAATGAGCCATTTTTACATTGACTTTGCACAAATATTTTGGGTTTATAGAATATACCGTAAAGTGCAATGACTATTGTTTTACGGGCAAATGCAGCAGTCAATTTGCGCACAGGAATGTCCCACAAATGGTCATGAAGTGAATGACAAATTTTTATTGAGAATTGTTGACCAGAATACTAGGATTAACTCCTTCCTCTTTTTGAGTAGGGCTATAGGATCTTTAATGTCCACCAAGTAGACCGACAACGCCTTGGTTTAACATCTCATCCAAAGGATGGATACTTCATAAAATAGAAAACTATTGCCTTCTTTTTGCTATAAACATTCTTTTTCTCTTTTGATGTTTGAAAGAGCTGGAATAAAGCAAGGTTCATGGCCTTGTGCTTTAATCTTCCCTTTAACTTATGTAAAATAATAATCATATCACCAGTAGATAGACCAACCAAAACTAGTTACTTTAAAATACGTGTTACAATTAAATACATGGCATCAGCATTATGCCTTTAATAGATCATTCTTCAAACTTTCAGATGTTATATAATTATTTATTTTGTGTGTTTTTTTTTGCAGTCATCATTAACAAATAGTGATATAATATTTGTGAAGCTGCACGCTCCCTGGGAGGTTCTTTGTAGATATGCAGAGTTAATGAATATACGAATGCCTTTCAGGTAAGCCAAAAAATACTTCATTTGCAATTTCTTCTGTAGATGTTTCAATTATATGTATGACCTGAAGTACTGCTAATCTTATGCTGTTGCCTGTATCTGCAGCTCAAAGTGCACCACAATTTTGAGAAACTGCATTACATCATCCTTGATCAAATTTTCAGAACATTCGAATGTTTTGAATAGAGTGGAATGATTTAATAAAATCAATTCACGGCCCCTCTGGTTAACTTCTCAATCTCAGCCCCTGTTCTGTCACCAGGCTTTTCATCCTGTGGTGTGGGACATCTTGACATGGATGACATGCGTGTTTGAAACTCAAAATCAGCGCATCCTTCCTTTCATTTAAAGGGGCTAAAAGCACTATATAATTGTAAATTGCATTGTAGTCCTCTGCCGGGCATAAGATAACAGAAATACTGGTGTTTGAGAAACAGCACTTCCCAACATGTTGTAATAAATTAACGTGTGCAGTACGTGTCTGAAAATGGAGAAGGAACAAGCAATATTCACCGACATGTATTGATGTTTTACTCAATAAATCATATTGTGCTTTTCTGATAATCTACAACAGTATCTTTTTAAATTACGTTGAAGTCTGTATTTGATCTCTTAATCTCTCCTTTTAGTCTTTTTTTTTCTACCTCTTACAGGCTTATGTCTTCAATCTCCCTTTCCTTCCTTGCTAGTTCATACTGTAACTGACGATGGGTTTGCTTCTCGACTGGCTTCATTTTTGCTGTTCTTCCAGGAGAAAAATCTATTACCTGCAGCGGCGGTACAAGTTCATGAGCAGGTTGGTGCTATTAACCATTGCCTCACTCACATAATAAACAGTTTATAATTGGAGGATGCTAGGGTTAGTATTCTGAAAGGATGAGATTAAATAAACCGAATGGCCTACTTCATCGGAACCTCTGTTGTGAATTATCTGTTCAGAGAGTAGATATATCTCAGCAGTAATGCCCAGATAATTATAAATCTATTTATCCAGAATAGACTTCCACACTTGCTTAACATTTGATTACCAAATAACTTTGCTGCCTCTTTAATATGTTGTATGTGTAAGATGACAAACTCCCACATCTTTATCTTATCAAATAAAATGATAAGCATTAAGCTGAAAAGTATAAATTACGCAGTTTGTTTAATGAATACAGTAGGAGGAGAATTTGAAGTGTAATTAAAACAGTTCATTTTCAGTTTTGTAGTTCTAAATGAAAGTGGATTTAACAACAGTCAACAGATAATGTATCAAACAAAACTGAACTGCTGTAGTTTAAAACTGGGCATATATCTAGAACAGAGACATCTATTTCCAGTACATTTATTGATCTTTGACTGTGAACATGTATTATTCTCTGTTGGTCAATTTACCAGCTTTGGCTGCTGAGTTTTGCCCACAAAATACCCAGTCAATTCACTTTACAGTATATTTTGTGAAGCGCTTTGAGACATCTCAACATCATCATAAGGTGCTATATCAAATGCAAGGATTATTATCAAGGGAAAATAATATAAGGTTGCCTGAACATTCAAGTCTGAATGGTCAATCTCTTTCTGAAAAAAAACTAAGCCAGACAACAAGCAAATGTATTCACTATGACTTAAGCAAAATGCTAGAGCTGAGAAGCAAGGAGAGATTTCTTTGTTAGAATTCTACATGTGCAATATACAGAAATTATATATATTTGCTATGTATGTAACTTCTAGTAAGATAGAAGCATAAAACATGGAAAATATATAGCCACTGTTAACATTTGGTTTGTATTTTTGTTATGAATAGGATGGAGAAAAGATTGAGCATGTTTCGAGGATGGTTACCTAAAAAGCCTATGAAATTGGACAAGGAAACGTTACCAGACCTGGAGGACACTGACTGCTACACCGCGCCTTTCAGCCAGCAGAGAATTCATCAGTAAGTATGATGCTGATAAACGGCAGAAAGAAACTGTTAAAATGAATGATTAATTATGACAGTTCTTATATCACTCAGTGGGGAATTTTTGGGGTGTTATGCAGCAATCTTTAACAATTTGCAACGCTTTGGGATGTCCTCCTGACGTGAAAGGTGCTATACAAATGTAATTTGGTATTTTATTAACTGAGGAGTTGTTTGTGCTGTACAATGTGAACAAGTTGGAAAGATGTGCAACAGGGTAGCTGCCTCTGAACATGATACCTCCTGTTTGTTAAGTTGAACCAAATCCAATATGTTAGGAGCAAAGTTATCACAGTTTAGCATCTCAAGGAGCAGGAAATGAGTCTTCTGATGACTACAAGAAATGAACTATCCCAATCCAGGCATCCTGATGGAAGGTTTTTGATGCTGTGACTCAGACTAGCCAGTGAAACTCTTTGCATTGGCATTCGAAGTGCCAGCTTTGAAATGAATTCGAAAGTAACATAAATAAACTTTTAAATAAAATGAGGAAAATATATTTTTGGTGAATCAATATTTTTTCAAGTAATTGAATAACCATCAGAAACACCAGTGGTATGCACATGTGGGATGTCTTGACTTGTGAACGGAGGTATCTTTGCTGTCGGAAATGGCTGGGTTTGGAACCTGCCACAAAACACCATTAACCATATTAAGAAATGATGGGGGTGAGGGATGGATTTCAATTAAAATGGACCATGTTGCCATTTCTAATAACTTAAACGTCAAATTTTGGGAGTCCTGTTGCAGATTGGTTAGAGAGCTCATCTCAAGTGATTTGATTTCCAGGCAGGGGGAGACCTTAGGCAAGTTTCCTTACTCCACACGCATCTGTTTGCCTAGCAGTAAGTAGGAAGTCGGTTGTTAGTTGATTGGTGGATTTCTATCTAGGGTAATATTCCCTCCAAAGAATAATAATAATAATAATTTGCTCATTCAATCCACTACTGTTTGTGGGACACTGCTGTGTGCAATTGGCTGCTACGTTTCGCCCACAAAATATACAGTTAATTCACTTTGCAATATATTCTGTGAAGCAGTCTCAACGATGTGATAAGGTGTCATATCAAAGCAAGAATAGTTGTTATCATTATTATTGTGTTTATCTAAAGGGACTGTGATTCCAGGAAGGTAAATGTTAAATAATGTCAAATTGCGCTAGATAATTCAAAGGTTTCCTTAATGAATCAAACTGTGGTTGTTTAAGTCACAGCTGCACTCAACTTTTTTTTTACCCACTGGATGATTCTCAGCATTTAGTGTGATATTTATTCATCTTCATTCAAGAGTTGATGGATGTATTGTTGCTGAAAGATCACAGAGGTTATCTGCTTCCACAAAGGTACAGATGTATAGTCAGAAGGAAACAGCAACAATTCTAAATATGTGCTGCCTTCACCTAAAATTTCAGGTGCCATTGACTGAATTCACTCGGCGATAAGGGAACTCACAATTAATTAATGTCATGCACTATGTCAATTGCAAAAGCCTCAATTAGGTCAAAGGACCTTCAATGTGAAATACAGAAAACCCTGGATAAACACATTAGTCTCCAATATGCAAAGATTACCAATAGGAATTCCTAATTAGGAATGTAATCAGAGTACCTCACTCTGCGTCACAGAATTGCCACTCTAATGTAATTTGCTTTTGTTGCATAGATCTGAGTTCCCATTTGATTTCCTATTAAAGAATTCCACTGAAACCAGACAGTAGCACAAGAGGACATCAGCTTAAAGTTGTAAATGGCAATTTCACGACCCACATCAGGAAGTTGTTTCTTCAGTCAAAGGATGTTACTGACTGAAACAGGTTACCAGGAAGGGTGGTTGAGACCAGGATACTGGACTCATTTAAAAAGCAGCTTGATGTTGTGAGGAGGACAGTGGGGTGGGTATTCTGGAGCGACGGGCCAGAAAGGCTCAGTCATCCAAACCTTGATCTTGTTTAATCACTGCATATTACATCCAATTGCTGCTCCGTTCTCACCTTGCTCAACTATCCTATTAAGTTTTTTTTTAGGAGATCTCCTATGTGAAAGGCACAAATTGTTGCTGCATGCCATGGTTACTATGTCACTGTTATGTAGCGTATCGGAAAGTTGTCTTTATTAAAGTTTACTGTGTAAAGAAAAACAGAACTTATTAGAAATCACATCTATTCATTGTTAAAATATAATGCATCTTGAAAGCAATTGAATTTCACATGTCTTTTGTATTGCTAATGTGTTTTTGTTAATCTCTTCCTAAACTGACAGTTCTTCCAGTTTGCCTTAGCCTTGGATGAGAGTTGAAATTCTCAGACCAAAATATTTGCATAAGATTTCCTTTCAAATAAAGTCAATATTCCAGAAGTACAGAATAGTCTGGATAATCCGCACTTTGCTGACTGATCCTCAAATGACTCCACTGAACTATTTAGTGTAATAGGTTTTGGTAACTGCCAAGTGTGTTGATATTACTTTGCATCTATACAATGCAGCTGTTTTAAACTGATGGTTCTAATGAAGAATTTATAATATAATTAAACTGTGTAATTATCTTTAATTGATTTATTTACGTTTTGTAACAAAAGTAACAAGTTTGAACTCTACAGCTTCTCTTTGAATTGTGTGCAGATTGACTGAGAGATGCAAATCAAATTAGGCTAGGTAGGTACAGTTCTAATAATCTTTTCTCCAAATAGAATATTCTGTCTCACAATCCCAGATGGAGTAAAACTGTTGATACGTTTTAGTAAGTAGGTTGGGTATCTGCCTGCTGCAGGACTTGCAACCACAAAGGTATGAATTATGTGCCTTTCCTTGTTACCAATCCATAAATTTGATTCAATGAGAATTGAAAAGTAAAGGTAAAGATTCTCAATTGTGGTAATTACAGATGGTAAAAAGCAAAAAAGCACATATGACATCAAAATGTAGGTGATAAAGAATATCACCAAATAGCATAATTATTGTCACACTAATGTTTTGCGAATGGTTTCCTATATGTTTTATATAGCTAGTAAATAAGCGACAAGTAGGTAGAGAAGAAATTGGAAATTCAAAATTTCAATTCTTTCTTACTACATTTTCGATGTCTATTACTTAAACACCGTTTTAACCATAAACCTGAAATAGTTGTTGCATTGATTTGTACTTCTGTTTGATTTTTGAGGGTAGAGAAGGGAATTGGGATTAAGATAGATTCGATAAGAAGATAGATGTAGGGTTTAAAGGACTCTCAATTGTCCTTTAAACCCCACATCTGTAATGTTGTAGCAGGTTACAGAGGTACCGAGGAGCAAGACCGTGGAGGGCTATAAAATTAAGGATGAGGCTCTTAAATCAATCCTCTGGGGGATGGGGAGCCGTTAAAGCCGTTCTGCCTTCCCCCACTTCCACAACATTGCTTACCTCCGCCATGACCTCTCCTTTCAAGCCACTGGGACCCTCACCCATGCTTTCATAATTCATAATCAAGCACCGTGAGCCGATCATCTCTATCGTCGCCCGGCTTGAACGGCTCCCCATCCCCGGGGAATTGATTTAAGATCCTCATCCTTAATTTTATAGCCCTCCACAGTCTTGCTCCTCGGTACCTATGTAACCTGCTACAACACTACCTACTTACCTGCTCACTCCCCTTAACAGGCACTGACCTGCTCCATGTCCCCCGCCCTGCTCGCTCCACCATCGCTGGGCGGGCCTTCAGCCTTTCTGCCCCCACCCTCTGAAACTCCATCCTTCGCCTCGCCCCTTCTCTTGCCTTTTTCAAGGCCCAACTGAAGATCTTCCTCTTTGACTGTTCCTTCAGTCATTCTCCCACCCCCCACTTGATTCCAACGCCCAGCTCAGGTCCAGCACCTTGGGACTTCTTCCTGACTTGAAAGGCTCTGGATAAACAGAATTTGTGGATGTTGTTTTGGATTGAAAGACTTTAAACTGCACCAGAATTGATCTTTCCAAATTCAGCCTGCACAAGAATTATTTATCTAGAATATTCCTTCCAATCAATCACATAAAGCATCACTTTGGCCACATATCTCTTTTGTGGCACCTTCTCAAACACCTTTCAAAAATCCAGATCTGATATCCAAAGTATATTCAATCTTATTTCAGCTTTATTATACACAACAAAGACACTTTCTTCAATAATTCTACAAGAAGCAGAATTGTCCATCATATTTTACAGAGGATCAAATATGAGGAAGGAAAGAATAAAATTGGTAAGTATCGCCTTTTTTTTTAATGCTGTGTATTTTATTGATTTGATAAATGTGAAAATTGTATCACCATTTGTAAAATATTAGAGAATGTTTTACGGTGTTTTAAATTGTGTTTAGCAGGAGGAGGCGTTACTAAAATGTTACTTTGAACATTATTATTTTATAGATTTCAAGCTATGATGTTGTAATGTTCTTCATTAGACACGATAAACATAAGATGTATAAGTTATTTGCAGTTACGAGAGAGCTGTTTTGTAATTGAAGTCTTGAAGTAATATTTTATGCACTTAAATATAAAATAACTTACATGTCCACTCACGGTGTACAGTGAGCTCATAGTGTAGACTGCACCCACGATAATGCAGTTCTCTGCAGTACTAAAGGAATGCTTCATTATCAAGCGTGACATTTCAGATGAGTCGTTAAACCAAGGTCCCTTTTGTCTGTTGAGGCATTGAAGATCCCAAGTCACAATTACGAAAGAGAAAGGAGTTTCTCTGGGCTCCAGGTGACAATCCTCCAGATTATTTGTTCATTCATCTCATGGATGTCTGGGGGATATTGCTGGTGCAAATCACTGCCTGAATTTGACAGTAATTATTGATGAAGCTCTTTGAGATGTTTTGATGCGATGAGATGCCATAGAAAGTTCTTGCTTTCTGAGACTTGTCATTAATTAGCCTGTTTTGCAAATACAGTATTTTTGTTTGAACGGGACTGAAGTAACAGCCATGAGAAGGGGTACAAAGCTTTTGTAATTGTACATCCAATCATATTGTGTATCACTCTGGTTAAATAGACATAGTAATTAATTAATCAATCAATCTGAGAGGTATTTGTCTCAGAAAGGAGTTTTACATGAAAGCTCATTACCTATTAAAGTATGCTGCTTATTGTAAAGTCTTGCAACCTTAAATATTTGCCTCAAAAGCTTCATAGAGCAAAAAAATTCAGCTGCACTTAATATTCATTTTCTTAGGGCTCAATCGTTTACTTGGCAACAGTACCTATGAGGCAGCATTTCCACTTCATGAGGTAAATATGGAGTTCAATAGTGCATTACCAACAAGTGATAGAAAAACAGCCACTAAAAATAATTGTGCTCTTTAATGTACAAGTTCACTGGATGGGAGTGAAATAAAAACTGTTAATTTTCCTCTGGTCCTACTCTATAAAATAACATGGCACAGAAAATGTTGAATAAAGAATTAATTGCTGACCTATAAACTACAGTCACTTATTTAACCTGTAGCTCAGGATTTCAGGGAAATATTCTTTAAATTGATCCAGCTGAACTGACGAGTTGAAGCATATGTGTTGTCTTCAGGGAACTCACAGAAGCAAAAATTCCATAAAGACCCACGGAGCTGAAAACCAGCGGCATTTACTGTTTGAATGCTGGGCATGGTGGGGAGTGTGGTACAAATATCAGCCACTGGATCTTGTAAGGTAAACGACATAATATCTCCATATTATTTCTCTTGTGTTGTTAGTTGGATACAGTTAGCACTGTTGAGTGAATGACCTACTTTCCATTCAATATCATTTACCTGTCAGGAATGGTTAGCATGAATTCACAGCAAAGTATTCATAGGATTTTCCTTGAAACTTTTGAATACGATGGAATATTTTCAGAATTCAAATTTGGTTTATACTGTCATTATTTATCATTTTCAGCAATTTAGTAGAACAGTGAAATGACGTGTCAGACAGCCTTATTTCGATTGATTTTACAATCCGAACTTTAAATAATGCTGAATGCTCAAGCTGAGGTAAAAGAAACATTCACTGAATCAGAATGAAAATGTGACTGTGTTCACATGAAAGGAATAAAGCTATGCATATATGTAAGAAAAAGAGGGTTTGGTTTTTAAATTTGGGTCACTTCACAGAAAATGTTGGTTTATTTATTTAAGTAGACACACTGTAATCAAATTCTCTCAGCAATTATTTGTACCATTTGTAGGGACTTTGCTACAAATTTAAAGTAAAGCTGTCCCATTGTCCTTCCACCCACACAGTCAGTGTTCCATTGTACGTAATAATAATAATCTAATAATAATAATAATCCTTGCATTTGATTAGCATAACACCGGCAACAACACCATCTTTCACAAACGAAGGGAACTTGGTAGAAGCTTCTCAGACACACAACCATTAGGTTAATGAAAGCTTTAAAATCATTTATAGAACCCAATACGAAACAATTGCAATAATTATAGAAAATTCCAATGCTGTAATTGAACCAATTTCTGTAGCAGATAACTTGATAATCATCAATGCCTTGTGGTCTACAGAGGCCAGTTCAGAACAGTTGTTACGTATAATGTACTTATTTTAATTAACCTGTTGTAATAAAGTAATAAAAAACTGACATTCTAAGACATCTTAGAGAGATTATGCCAAGCTAAAAAAAANCTCGTAGAGAAAAATTAATAATACTTTGAAGGTTCATTTAATTTCATATATTGACTTGGGTTTAATCTGGAAATAGAAAAATTCAGCTGCTGTGCAGTGAACTGCCCTGGTAGTCATTAAAGCAGTGGAGAATAAAATTGCAATTTGCTGGAAAGCTACAGGGAGACTTTGGAGTAAAGGAGGATGCAGAAATTCTATTGAGGCAGTGGTTGATATTAAATGATGGAGAGCGCTAAAAAAACACGGATGCACAGTTAAATGCACTCGAAAAGCAATTGCATCTGAAGTGCTTTGAGACGTTTCAATTTTATAGGCTCAATAACAAGTTCAAGGAATATTTTATTGTTCTATTTCATCAAGATTTTAAAGGCTTTATGTTGTCATTCACTTCTCATAACAAAACATTGCCCTACAGATCATGGCTGTGCCACAGCAATGTATTCATTTTAGAGAGATAACAAATGAAATGATTGAATCTGACATGTGTTTACAATAATCAATCATTTGTTTTCTTACTCTCAGTAGGTTACCGATGATTACTACCGATACATCGAAATCAGTAATATGCATGTTTTTAAGATTTCAAGTTTCAGTTATGAAAAAGCTTTATTTGCCTTCAGCCAGCAATGTTTGTTAACCGAAGATAGTCCTCAAGCTTCAGAATTGGAACGATTAGAGTCCAACATATTTATTTACGCTAAGGATTCTTTGTACAGATGTATTTACTCAACATATTTCTGTTGCTTCAGTAGCAGTGTGTTTTCTTTTATACTTGCAGGCGCTATTTTGGTGAGAAGATTGGCCTGTACTTTGCCTGGTTAGGCTGGTATACTGGAATGCTGTTCCCAGCTGCCATTGTTGGATTACTAGTGTTTTTGTATGGAGTCTTCACTCTTGACTACTGCCAAGTAAGGTAAAAATGTCCACATGAAAATTTTGAATCCTATCTGTTTATCAACCTAACTCTAAGAATGTTTTTCAAATTAAAAATGATCTGTGTTGAGGTGTATCCTTGCATTAAATATACCACTTCCCATCAATTCCTTTTATTTTGTTAGCTGACAACTAGTATATTTCAGTAAGATTTTTTTACAGAATTGCAGTTAACAAATTTGCCAATTCTGATCAATAATTGGGTTTATAATAAATGAATGTTCGGAATATTTGATTGTTCCAACTTTGCTTCACATTTGACAACCCTGATTTACGATCCTTTGTACCAGACTGATGTACGATTTGCATTATAATAACCCACTGCCAATTTCCCACATATTTGACAACAGTAAATGATGTGTAGAGTTCTATTAATCAGCAGCAAAACGTTGCAGTATGAATCAGATTTGACTCAGCTGTAAGAGATGCTTTCAGAAATAATTTGCTTCACTGCAGCAGAAATGCAACGCATGGGAAACATTGCTGGTTCCATTCCCTCGAGGTCCATTGAAATCTGTTCGGCTGTCCAGTAGATGTAACTTCAAATGATCCTTTTTAATCTTATCAAACAGTGTGGGTAGCAGAGAACTCTGAAATTGTCTGTTTCTTTCACTGTCCCAATGCAACATGTTCAGGAGTGGGAAAGTATCCTGGTCACTATTGGGAGAACAGTATTAATAGAGCATTGATCTTACTTTACAGCCAGTTGCACAAACTGCTCTTTAGCTGCACTGATAAGCCTGAGAGCATTCCTGGGGATTATTAATATTATCAAGAAGCCACTTAATGAAGAGACTGAGTCCATTTGCATCATCTGCATATATTTGTCACCTCCTGCCTCAGTTTTTGCTAATGCATTCCTCACTGGTCTCCCAGCTCCACTGTTAACAAGGTCCAAATTATACCAAATGAAATGATCAGTCATTTCCTATCTCTTTCCAGCTTGGCATCAAACCTACACCGCTGTTAAGTGCTCGAGATGCTATAAATGCAAGTTGTTGTTATTGTTCTGAAGAAGTGTGAATTAAGTTCTTAGTGGAAACTACATCCTTAGGGTAGTTTAGGCGAGGACTGTGTCTCCATGCTCAATTCATTCAAGACCACAAAAGGCAAATATTTATAATGCATCTTTAGTATTTATTTAGTGTTACTTACTGAACGAATCGATTTGAAAACCCCAGTACAATACAATAGGGCAGTGCTACAAAGTGTTCCAAGATGACTAATCTCTGCATGCACAACATTAAAGAATGAAAAATAAACCAACATCCTAGAGAAAGAGACTAAATTAGCAATGTCTCTTCTCTCAGTAATTTACAGCCAGTAATTTTCAAATTTAGAGCAAATAGACCTTGGGGTGTGTTGATATATACAATTTGTATTCACAGTTTTATTTTATATTTATTTTGATTAGCCCCTCCAAGAAAAAGCTAACACTAACAACAAGCATTTCTGATTTCATTCTGTAAGTGCACAAGAAAGAAAGGAATTAAAAAGGACCACTTGGTCTATTAATCCTACTGTTTTGTGGATCATCTGTGGAGACTCTACCTTTCCTCTATTTTCTAAGGATATGGTTCCCAATCAGATACTAATTACTTATTTTGATCTCACTAATCAGCTGAAGCCCTATTTGCTGTGTGCAAGCCTTTTGCAGTTGTCTGTTTTTGATGGGTGGAGAATTCTTTCCAATCTTCAGTCTCTTTTGGAACTTGTTAAGTTTAAACCTCTGTTCTTTAGTTCAGCGCTCACAGTCAAATACAAATAGCCTAGAGCCTTAACTATTTTGTCCTGTATTTCCTCGAGTATTCTAAGTCATATCTAACCTTGTGTTAACGGGTGTGTTAACACCTGACATTTCATTGTGAATGTTTCCTCACTAAATGTAATAAGAAATACTGGAAGTGCTTGGCTGTGAATTGTGTGTATGTCTTCACAACATTGACTTCTACTTGTGTTAAAGATTCCAGCGTTTTCTCATCAAACAATAGTGCATGTCATCATCAGTGTCTGGTCTGTGATTCCATATATCTCATTTTTCTTCCAGTAAAGAAGTCTGCCAAGCAACAGAAATAATTATGTGTCCTCTTTGTGATAAGTATTGTCCCTACATGAGATTATCAGACAGCTGTGTTTATGCCAAGGTATAGTATCCGCTTTATCCATCGTGATTTAAAAAAAAGTTGATGTTAAGCAACAATATAAGTTCTTTTTACATTTTTAAAATTCTGGTCACTACTGAATGTAAACATCTTACCGTAGAAGTTGATCACATGTACTGTTAAATCGTTGTGATGGACACAATTTCAGCAGCAGAGCTATAATGAAAATAACACACTTGAAAAATCTTAATGGGTTAAACTAAATAAATTGAATATTTCTTGAGTTGTGGCATAAATTGAGAAATATTCGATTGACAAAAACTGAAAACACACCAATGATCAAATATGGACTAACTTATTTATGGGGCCTCTTTTTATGGCCCCGTGGGCCACTTCTGGCCCGCGGGCCACAGATTGGCCATCACTGGGTTAAACAAATCAGTCTCTGCTTGTTCCATGGCGAGTTCAATGCTGCATTGTATTTTACTCCAATTATTAGTTTGATACCAGCACCTGCTTTGATAATGGTGCAAGTTGGCAGCTCCATGTTAAACTGCCCACTCACACTGCTTTGTGCTGAGGTAAACCAATGATCTGCCCATGCCTACCTACACACATGTACGCAGCCCTGCTCACTAGCATTTCAAAGGCTGATGCCATTTTAATGTTGGTAAAGATCCTGTTACCCTTTAATAGCATGGACTAAAATATCTGATTTTATCACAATGCAATTGTAAACTAGAAACCTTTTAATTTTATAATAAAATGTTTGCTTCATACTGGTCAATAACACTGTGCTACATTTGATATAAATTTCTTATTACATGGAAATGACTCAAAGCATTTAACACAGTGAGTTACGTGCTGAATTGTAATGATTATGATGTGTGGCAAATGCAATAAATTATCTGTCAGCTAAATTCTACAAACATTAATGAGCCAAATAAATCTGTTATTGGAGAATTTGGATAATCGGCCAATATACTGGGAGAACAGCTGTTTTGTTTTCAAAATAGAGCTTTGAGATCTTTCAATGTCAACCTGATGTACTAAAACATTTTAACATCTCATCCAAACGGGAGCACTCTCTCAGTTAACAGAATGTCAACTGGATTATGAATTCATGGTCCTGGTGTGTTTCTTGAATGTCAAGGCAGAGTTCCACCATCTGTGCCAAAGTAGCGCCTTAACGCATCAGCAAAATTTCTCAAAGTGCTTCACTGTAAAATGTAGTGACTGTATATTTGTAGGTGAACCATGGCAGCCAATTTGCACATTTTCTTTGGGTGGAAAATTTGGCTCATCATCAAGTTTTAGGACTGAGATTCCAGCGCATCAGTTAATGAGAATTTATAATCATACAGTGAACAACGTGCTCTAACAGGCCTTGACAATTACATTACTTTCATGTTCACATGTTCATAATAGACAGCAGTTAATTGTTGAACTGAGTGAGTGCATCACAGCAGTATATCTGATAGGTCAGTGTCAGTAAAATCAGTACATTATTGTACAAAAAAAAAGGTGGCTTGTGTCATCTGTCTCTGTTATATAGATGCTTTCAAACGAGCAGCAATAAATATTTTCCATTTCATACGTAATAGAAATATATATCTCGAATTTGTGAGTAGTGTCATCACAACGATACTTCTGTTTTTTCACCTCCACAAAAAAAGAAAGAAATAATTAGTACTTTTATTTTGACAGAAACGAACAATTCACCTGAAAAAATATTTTTATGTATCTGTCCACATTCAATGTAACTGGTAATAACTACTCGTGAATTATTTTGAGATGTTTGAATGTGATAAATAACCATAAAAATACATTTGTATTAATTAGTGCCAAAATAATGTTGAGAAGGGTTATTCTATTTATCTTTTGTTTTACAGGTAACTCATCTCTTTGATAATGGAGCGACTGTATTTTTCGCTGTTTTCATGGCAGTATGGGGTAAGTTCTTCTACTGAAGAAGTTAAATTTGGAATATGTTTCACGTGTACATTTAGTCGTGCAAAACACTAAAGCATAATTTCAAAGGTCGTATTTTGAAAGCAACAAATGCTTACTATTTTGACAGAAATATTTTATCTGCCCAATATGATATTGAAATGTATCAATATTATATCTACAGAAGGAGAAATATTTCATCTTTGATTGACTCACCCACTTTTACATGAGATTCCAAACCTTTACACTTATATCAGCTATATGTTGCCCAATATAACCATTTGACCATCTCTTTTAATATGAATCAGGATACAATTTCAGATATAAATTAAATGGTAAATTTCAATAGTTTGCTGTAACTTGCTGCTTGATTGGTTGCAGGAATCCAGATTGAAATAATTATAGTTTTTAGTGCACAAATAATCACCTTTTGCTTTTTTCCTTCATTGGGAAAACAATGTAAGAAATGCATTTGCAAATTTTAAACAGGATTTTCCTGTGCACATGGTAATCTTGTGGCATCTGGAAGTGCTCCAACTTCAAACACAAAGGAAAACATATATAGTACAAGCCTTCTTCAATACGAAACTCATTTTAGTCAATTCTACTTATATCTAAGGATCTAGAAGAGCAAAGTGATAAAGTGCCTTCACATACTCCACTTTATTTAACATTATGTCCTTTGCTTGGAAATAGAAAATCTCTTCAAACTTCGAATAGCTACTTTAACATAAATTGAAGTGTAAAAGAAGGCTATTCAGTCTGTTGAGCCTTTGCTTGTTCCTCCAAAAGATTTATGTAGATAGATGCACTGCAGGAAGTTGATGGGTAGATAAAATTAGGTTATTAACTGTTGCTATGTATATCATACATGTACATCTATATCAAACACATGATAATAATCCTTGCGTTTGATATTGTACCTATAATGTAGAAGGATCTAAAATAATGTAGAGGTAATTACTGCCAAATGTATTGGTTGTTTTTGTTGTTACATGTGTTATCCAATTTGCACTGTATTTTCCAGTTGATTTAGCTTAACTGTAGTTTTTGTTCACCATAGCCACTGTTTTCTTGGAATTCTGGAAAAGGAGAAGAGCTGTGATTGCGTATGACTGGGACTTGATAGATTGGGAGGAAGAAGAGGTTAGTAATGTATTCAAAAATGTATTTATCCACATATTCTGAAGGACAGATATCTGAAACCCACTACCCGCTGCCCCTGCTCGACTGGCTCTGGCCTCCTGCTTGTCCCTCGTGCCTTCCGTTCCACCACCGGTGGCCACACTTTCAGCTACCATGCCTCGAAACTCTGGAACACTCTTCCTCTATCCCTCTGCCTTGAGCCCTCCTTCCCCATCGGGCCTGAAGACCCTCTTTGACCGCGCCAAGAGTCATCTCCCCCCTCCCCACAGCTTAGCATCGTGCTCCACCATTGTCAAGCTCTCTGAGATGTTACCCTGTGTGAAGGGCACTATATAAGTGCAAGTTGTCATCGTCGTTGTATTGCCAGCTATGAATCTTCATAGTTGGACTGCCAATGCTTATAGAGCAGTTCACAGCTTGCTCCCCTATTTGTTTCATGCTGTTGCTAGGTATTAGGGACTAGTGCCCTTTGTGGCAGTACATTCTGTGCTCTTAAAATTTAACTATCTATCATAAGCGCACATGTCAAAATGCACTAAACATACCAACACAGGATCATTCCCCTAGATATCTGTAGCAAAACAAATTATAATTGACCTGCCCTCTAACTCGTCAACAGAAGCTGGAGTCTAAAATAAGAGTAATTGTACAATATTTTTGTAATTCATTGATGATAACTTCTGTAAATTACAACTGAGTGTTTAGTTATATTAACACTGCACTTTTTCTGTCAGGAACAGTTATTTATCGTCTCCGGTCCAAATCACTCTCAATCTGAATCGGGTAAAAAAATCATCTGATTTCATTGTTTTGGCATCTATTCAAAAATCATGATTTAATATTGTTAAAAGATGGTTGCTCTCTTTCAACATGGGGCTCTAGTGTGATTAATATTAAATTGTCCCATTTAAAAAATAAGCTGAGGATGTGAACTCAGGTCATAGCTTGTTGAATAACATTCTGTCAATAATAATAATCATTTTTTACATTTGATATAACGTCTCAAAGTGCTTCACGGGATATACTGTAAAGCGGTGACTGTATATTTTGTGGGGTGAATATAATCTATTTTATGCAGTTGATGCTGTTTAAAAAGGTTGCAAATATAGTAATTAAGATGCTTCTGTAGGGCTGGAGATTTTCATCAGTTCTGGGCCATGTTGGGGATGCCCTAATAAAGTGAAGACTCTTCGCACCGAGGGAAATAAAAAGGGCACATTCCACTCGCTGAATGTAGAGCAGCTTGACATCGAAAGTTGTGGAGGAATTTATGAGCCTTTCATCCACCTCCCAAATGGGAAAAATGTGTGTGTGTGTTGAAATATGGTATTAGCATGATGGATTGTGCTGACAATTATTCTGGTGACAACTGTAAATATGATGTATTTCTCTTAAAGGATTGTCTTAAAACATTTCGTTCCAAACCAAGTGTAGTTTCCAACTTAGCTCTTGACAAATCCTCCCTAGAAACTGTCCAGGGAATCTATGCAGGAGATAGGAAGGTTTTGCATTCCATCACACACTCCCTTCTACCTTTGCACCTTTTACAGTTTTATCGGCATTGTTTTAATCAAATTCATTTTTTAGTCATTCCTCAATTGCTCAACTGTTTATTTGATAAATTAATTATTTTAACCAACAATTAATTGTGAAATGTAAGGTTTTTTTTCTCATCATATATTCTCATCACATGTTGGGATCATTTCTATTTTCCTAGGCTGCATTAAAAATGCATTCATTTTACTCATTACCTCTGAACGTTAATTGGATTGTAAATTTACGCCAAGCTTCTGCTTCTTTGAAGTTTCACCCAGTGATTCAGATCATTTTCAGGTGACTGAAGTACACTAATTGGTCAAAGATGTAATATTTTTGAGAGTTAATAAATATGAATTATTAAAATTCTTAAAGATTGTCGATTTCAATGTAGTATACCCACACGTGATAACAGCAGAGCACACCTCATTGAAATATTAATCTACTGATCTCTACAGAGATAATGTTCAGACAATGGTTAATGTTCAGATGAGCAAATTGATTCAAAGCCAATTGTAATGGTGCCCAGTCATACCAACTAGTACTTTAATTTGTTAGGATGTGGTATGTGCACTAACAGCTTCTCTCCTTTCACTTCTCTTATCTTTATAAAACTGTGCATTCACTTTAAATGATAGTTAGGTTTCAGACACTCCCTCTGCAAAGACATGCGAACACAATGCATTTTCATTTTCAGATGTTATGGCGAATTGCAAATCTTTTTCTTTTGCTTTATCAGGAAGAAATCAGACCCCAGTTTGAAGCCAAATACTCAAAGAGAGAGCGCATGAATCCCATATCTGGAAAACCGGAGCCTTATCAAGCTTTTACAGACAAGTGCAGCAGACTAATTGTATCAGCTTCTGGAATATTCTTCATGGTTAGTTAAAATGTGGTGTTATCCGCACTTGGTCCCAAATGTGTAACCTATTTAAATGACTTCATTATTTCTGCTCAGTATGCTACTATTGATAGAAGATTTTTTTAATTATATATTTGCGTAATTTAAAATAGTAAAAAAAAATCTTATGTTTATACGATGTGAACTATTCTGAAAATCATTTTAAAAAGCTGTTGTTATCAGTTCTTGTGGCTAAAAGAATAGAGCTCAGATCTCAAATGTGTGACCTATTTAAATAACATCACTGTTTCTGCTCGGTAGGCTATACAAGCTGAGTCAACTTTTTCAAGACGAATTAGCAAGTTTTTTTTTGCTTGCAGATGTTGTCTTGCGAGTCCATTATTAGTGATTTGTCACTAAAAGGAGTTTTCAGAGCAAGGTTGTTTTTGACTGTTCCTTGAAAAAGGTTTAGTCTTGTTTAAAATTAAGGACGGAGATTGCTTTAGGTAAATGATTCCTTTTTGACACAATTGTTTTTGAATCTTATCTCAGATCTGCGTGGTGATTGCTGCTGTTTTTGGCATTGTTATTTACCGAGTGGTGACTGTGAGCATATTTGCTGCTTTCGATTGGGCTTTAATTAGAAAAAATTCTCAAGTTGCAACTACAGGGACTGCAGTATGCATCAACTTCTGCATCATCATGCTTTTGAATGTGGTAGGTCACCTTTAGTCTGGAAAAGAGACACTTAACAGATATACTAATGTTTCTATATTTTGATTTTAGAAATGCATTTAAACAAGATATGGGCTGTAATTAAAATCTCTGTTACACATTAACACACTAAGCTCCTAACTTGCATTGGTATTGTTGTGTTCTAACATTGTCTTCCTCTCAGGTAACGTTTAGAATTTATTGAAGATGGTTTCCATCCAGTTAAAACAAAACTCGCAAATGAAATCATAGTCTCAAAATTAGAACCAGGCCACTTAAAAGTGAAATCCGGAAGCATTTTTTCACTGAAAAGGTGGTAGAAATCTGCAATTCTCCTCCCCAAAAGGCCATGGATGCTGGATCCATCCACACCATCAAGAGTGAGGTTAATAGATTTTTGGTAGGTCAGGGTATGAAGGGATATGGAAAGAAAGCGGGAAATTGGAACTGAAAGGATTAGTTGAGGTACAGATCAGCCATGATCTAATTAAATGGCGGAACAGGCTCGAAGGCCTGAATGGCCTACTTATGTTCCTATGTAAATCAATTTAACAAAACATTTTGGTCTTAAGCAAAGATGGATGAAATCCTCTTTTTATGTCCAGAGTTGAACGTATCTATCTCAAAATTATTACACTGAAACTGATTTAAAATTTAAATATTTAACACAATGACAGTTATCTTCATTAAAATCAAAATGATTTACCGGTTGTCACCAAATGATATTTCAATTAATAATGCTGCTTGAAATAACTCATTGGAGAGAGCCAGTATATCCTACTCAATTTGAAGAATGTCAGGAGAAACAAGATTAACTTTGAGACTATACCTGTTGGTTTATCTAAAGATGGATTCATGACATCTCCTGAGAAGGAAAGGTCCACTTTTCAGTTCATTACGATTCCAATTGACAACATGTCTGTTTCACTGAAACCCATGTACAACAGATGCTGTCCATCCCACGTATAACATTTTTGACCTTTAAACACTGCCTGGCAGATATCTTCTCCTCAGATTCCTGAACTCACATCCCTTCACTTTCCACTTGTCCCACTCCTTATCTGATAGGGTAATGATAACTATGAATTGTTCCCTTGCTGAGGTTCAGATTCAGTTTATCCTATTATTTGCACCTCTGAGATGGGCTCACAAGCCCTGATGCTTATATAACATTTATCCCCAGCATCGGTTGCTTCTTTCCAGGCACTTTATCCTGCAACTGCAGCAGATGGTAACACCCGACCCTCTGGTTCTTTCAACAGTATGGATGGTTGCACCTAACATTTTTTCAAAGTATGACAGAAATTCACACAGTTCTCTTACACTTTATTTGGTAGATATACTGTTGTCTCATCTATCACTGTGACCAAGTGCAAATTGAGAGACCACTAGGCCAAGCATATCTATTTGGTCTCTAATTGTGATCCTGACCTCCTTTAGCACTTGCGATATGTGTCCCACTCTCACTCAACCCTCTCCATTCTATTGGTTAGTATTACTCAAGCCAAGTCAAACTTTAGACACAGTATCTTTTCTTTTCCTTAGGAACTGTTCAGTTTAAAATTTTCTCTTCTTGCTTATCATAGATGAACAATGACAATTTTTTTACACCGATAACAATCTATAAAACAGTTTTACTGTCTGATTGACTGAATAACCAGTTCTTATCATCTGAAGAACAGACCTGCAGTAATTTCCCCCCCTACCACACTCTGGTTCCCTGGTTACATTAACAATATAATGAAGAGAACAGTTTTTGTCCTGCAGTAAATTGCAGATAATTAAAATCAATTCCCATCAGAGATCGCATTATAGTGGCATTCTCCTGTAGCTATTCAAATTGATAATAATACTTAAAAGGAATGCTGTTACATACAAGAGGAAAAGTAATATTAAAAGTAGATGGGAAAGATCAAGGGATTAGAGTTGAAAGCTCCAAGGAGGGAGATTGCAGGAGATGGAATCAAAAATCACCTTCTATGATACCTATCCTTAGCAATGCTAATACCTCTTACAAATGTCTCATCTACTTTTGTTTTTCTTCAACTAGCATTCCACTGCTCTTTACCTTTTTCCTGTGAATATATTTCTGCTCTGTTTTCCTTCTGCTCCTTTTCCCTATGCAGAAGATCTTTGATCTCATAGATTCAGTTCTGAAGATGAATTATGCCCAAAAAAACATCCGTCTGCATTTCTCAAAATCCGACTGGCTTACTGCGAACCATTAGTGTTTCTATTTTAGATTTCAATTTCCAACGTCTGCAGTTTTCTTTTTATCTCTTCTAATTGGGTCTGCGGGCCCTGTAAGTAAGTGCAAACTGTAATGTGTCCTAGTTTAATTGGATGTTCTTTCAGGTAATGGGCTCAAAATGGTGTTTCGGGAATTGGTTTTCCAATTTGTTTGCAGTATCAGAAATGGCCATTGGAAGCTATTCAGACTATGTTGAGACATACTGCCCAGCTATTTCAAGATGTTAGTATACTGTTGCCAACATTTCAGGCACACTGAAATTCAATTTGACTGAATTTTGAATTATGACCAATGTACGCTCTCTGGATACCATTAGCTCTTCAACATAAATGCCATTAGTTCCCCCGTCAGTCATGGTGAATGGTATTTTTCTGCCCGAATAGACTTGGTTCTAACATACTCTTATAGCTAAAAATAGTGATCTTTTTCTCTAAATCACTTTCTCGACATGGGATTTCTTGTTATAAGAAAAATCAGAATAGTGTTCTATTTTTAGTAGCCAGTTTTTATTGAAGCACATCGTCTAAAATGGTCTTAATGTTGAAAAATCATAGATGGTCCTTTAATCTGAGTATTTAAGACACTGAAACATCTCAGGTATGGTTTATTCTGGAATAGTACGTATCTGAATATCTATTGATTTTTCTTTAAAGACTTTTAAAAGTGTGTGGTAAATGCAGATTCAAGCTCAGACATATAGTGAGTACTGGGAAACTGGTATGACATGATGACTTTATTAGTCTTTATGTATGTTGTCAACGCATCTTAATTTACTTGCTAACAATTCTACAATATATTTTACAGTTATATGAAAAAGTTGCTCTTCTTCTGACAAATTTAGGTAAGTTCACGAGTCTTTTATTGCTGGGATATGTAGATGATTAAAATAAATTGGATAGGATCCAGATCACTATTAAATGTTTTAATACATGTTTTACCCCAATTGGTTACTATATGTTATTACATTTGATTTAGTCAGTTAGTTATTTCAATTTCTCCCATTTTTTGATGGTCCAGTGTTCTTTGAAGCTAGGAGATCGGGAAAGTGGCCTAGTCTTGTAGTTTGCCATAATGTTACTCTTTATGCAGTTGTTAGCTGCATGAGAATGGTTCATAATGGCTTGAGTTCCGCATCAACAATAACAAAAACTTGCACTTATATAGCGCCCTCCATGCAGAGTAACGTCTCAGAGCACTTAACAGCAGCAGAGCCTGACTCCGAGCCAGAGGTGGGGGATGGAGTTGGCCGTAGAGGAAGGTTTTCAGGCGGAACTTGAAAAAGGGGAGAGAGGGGGCCAGGCGGAGGGATTGAGGGAGAGTGTTCCAGAGTTTTGGGACATTCTGGCTGAAAGCGCGACCTCCGATGGTGGGGCGGAGGGTGTGAGGGATGAGCAGGAGGACTGTGGCAGTCGACTGGAGGCGTCGGTGTGTGGACTGGGGAGTGAGGATGTTGGATTCATTGACCTCTGCTCAATATCTCCTATGCTCTAATGAAACACACCATGTGGGCAATCCCAATTTTGTTTTGCAAATGTATGGAAGCTCTTTTAACTTGTATGTGACTGCTTGTACAAACCAATTGATATTTGTTTCATAAATCTGCTAGTTCATAGATAAATGTAGGTTAGTTTAAGAGTGAAGACATTTGTCTTCTTTAGTTGACAATGTTCAAAATTGGCTTCCAGTAGTTCAAAAGAACAAGAGACAGTATAGTGTCCTAAATAGGGTGTGGAAAGAGGAACGTAAGCTGAATGAAACAATTTATTGGTGGTACTATTATGGGACCTTTATCCTGAATACAGTACTACTATTTGATATTTGATATTTTTGATGATTACAGAAATAAACTTTGTTTAAAGAGACCTCATTATAAATACAAAAGTGCAAATTGCTCAAATGGCTACAAATAAGCATACCTAGTATCAGCTTTAACAACAACAAAATTACATTTGTAAAGCGCCTTTCACATCGGGAGACATCCCGAGGCGTGAACAGTCGGGGATTAGGGAAGGCAGAGAGAGAGGTAGGAGGGCGGCTGAAGGCACGGTGGAAAAGGAGGGTCTTGAGTCTTGCTTTGATGGAGGCAAGAGAGGGAGCAAGGGATGGAATTCCAAAGGGTGAGGGCAGAGAGGCTGAAAGCCCGGCCGCTGATGGGAGGGTGGGTCAGGCGGGAGACCTGGAGCAGGACGGAGACTGCTGAATGTAGGGGAGCAGACAGGTTGATAGGGGGTCAGCAGGTCAGAGAGGTAGGATGGGGCAAGGCCGCGGAGGATGAGGATTTTCAATTCTATTCTAACGTAAGTTATATAAAGTCTGAGAATGAATTTTGAACCGTCGTGTCTTTCTTTCACAGAACAGCCTCGAACTGAATCGGAATGGGAGAACAGCTTTACACTAAAAATGTTTTTGTTTCAGTTTGTTAACTTGAACAGCTCCACGTTTTACATAGCATTTTTCCTAGGAAGGTAAATCCATTTTTTTTTAGAACATGTGATTTAAAGAGCCTTTTAAAGAAGCGGATGTGACAATATATAACATTCGTAGTTTATATAGCTTTACATCCTTGTTCTTACCTGTAATATAGGCACTTAGAAAATTAACCAGAACTGTTTGTTTTAGAGTAAAATATTGAATCCAAATGAATAAAACCTATATTTTTTTAATATCCATGCACACAATTACATTCATAGAGTTTGCACAAGAATAAGGTTTTTCAAGATACAACTTTTAATCCAGTTATCGCACTTTCTCAATCGTTGCTTTTGACAGATTAACCGGACGCCCTGGTGCCTATCTAAGGGTTTTGAACAGGTGGAAGTTAGAAGAGGTTTGTATCACTAAAGTTAAAATTTAGTTTTCAATTTCATTACCTGGCTGATAGGTCAGTGGGATTCAATGAGCAAATTGCTCTGAGAGCCGATACACTCAATGTGCCAAATGATCTCCAGCGCTATACATTTCTACCATTCCATATATAAATAATAAAAGGAGTTGTGTATCAGTCATCAAGCTAAATCAACATGCTGAGTGGCTGCAAATTCAATTTTTGCAAACTCAATTTTCAAACTGGAGACTGACAAACACATGCAGGTTTGCCATTCCTCCTTTTAGGATCAATGAAATAAGAGCTAATTTTCCACATTTCAACAAAATGCTGATGAGGCTTTATGAGTAGCCAGCAGAGATGCTGAGCGAGGCCATCGTGAATTCATTAGCGATAATAAAACTGTAGCAGTCATTGACAATTCATCTGCTGTAATGGAAATTACATACTCCCCAAGCAATGAAGGAGCTACTTGACCCCTGTACAGTTAGAAACATCTGATTACAGTTGTGGAGTGCAGAATTGCGAGTATAAATGTCACAGTGACAACATCACAGAGGAAGATTTTTGGACAAGGCCCCTTAAGCTTTAAAATCATAGAATATTATAGCACAGAAAGATACCACTGTGCCTGTGCCTGCTACTATCTGGATGAGCTATCCATGGAATGTCACTTCACTCCCTTTCCCCCTACATTTATATATTTTGTTTTTTTTTATAACATTTGTCCAACTCATTTTCATAAAAGTATTTACACAGTCAATATATAGTCAATCCACTTCACAGTATATTCTGTGAAGTCTTGATTTCTCAACGATGTGATAAGACACTATATCAAATGATTATTATTATTATATGCAAATTCACGTCCTTGTGCTTATAGAGCAATGTCAGCAGATGGTGTAATGCGATGTGAGATATGTATGGAATGTGAACGTTGTAAAATTCAATGATGGAAAATGTTAATATAGCAAATTGGACATTAAAGTGAACAAGCAAGTTGCAATGAACACACGATGATTGGAAAAGAAATGTTCGATAGCAACGATTTTCCCAAGGGCCAACGGACTATACAGTTAAAATGTTTAGAAAACTTGATTTGTTTGAATGTCTTTTTTAACTCACAGATGATTTAATCTAATTGCTAACTACTGATATTTATTCAAATTGCAGTGTCATCCCAGTGGCTGCCTTATTGACCTCTGTTTGCAAATGGGTATCATAATGGTGCTGAAGCAGACCTGGAATAACTTCATGGAGCTTGGCTATCCGTAAGTCAATGTAATCAGTTGAACCAGGATGAGTGATTCAAGTTAAAATGTTTTATTTAGTCTAATAAACGAGGTAAAGTAAGCTAAAAGGAGCAAAACGTTAGCCATAATAAAAGTACAATTATGGAGTCCTGTACCTCAGTGGTTAGAGCACTCGCTTTGCAAGTGAGAGACCTGAGTTCAATTCCAGGCAGAGGGCGAAACCTTGGGCAAGTTTCCTTACTCCACACAGAGCCTAATAATAATCCCTCCAAAAAACAAAAACAATAATTAAATTGGTCATTTTCAATCTACAACTGTTTGTGGGACATTGCTGTGCGCAATTGGCTGCCGCGTTCGCCCACAAATATACAGTCAATTCACTTTACAGTGTGTTCCGTGAAGCGCTTTGGGACGTCCTCCCGACGTGAAAAGCGCTATATCAAATGCAAGGATTATTATTATTATTATAATTACAGCAAGTTAATGTAATGAGAGACTATTTTTGGTGGGTGAGGTCGCCTATACTCATCCCTGTTTTTTTTTCTTTTCATTTGTCCAAATTGTCCAAATCCTTGACTAAATCACAAAGAAAGGCAAGAGGGAAACATACAAATATATAGGCAAGAGGACTGAAGGGACTAAACTGCAACAACAACAAGATTTCATTTATAGAGCACCTTTCACGTCGGGAGGACGTCCCAAGGCGCTGGACAGTTGGGTCAGGACCCTAGCGGGGGGAAATGGTCAGGGTGAGGGGAGGGAGCGAGGAGGGGGTAGAGAGTGGAGATCCTATTCAAGATCCTAAAGAGTAAAGCAATAAATGAAACCCAATAATATATTTAACACTGTCAGAAAACTTTACAGCAAGAATATGTCATCACTATTTATTTAATTTGTATAGTATAGATAATAATAAATAATAATAATCCTTGCATTTGATATAGCGCTTTTCACGTCTTCTAGAATATACTGTAAAGTGAATTGACTGTATATTTGTGAGCGAAAGCGGCAGCCAATTACGCACAGCAATGTCCCACAAACAGTCATGGATTGAAAATGACCAATTTTTTTATTATTTTTTTTGTTTTTGGAGAGATTATTATTAGGCTCTGTGTGGAGTAAGGAAACTTGCCCAAGGTTTCGCCCTCTGCCTGGAATTGAACTCAGGTCTCTCATTTGCAAAGCGAGTGCTCTAACCACTGAGCTACAGGACTCCACTGGATGGACAAGACTTAAATAAATACAAAATAATATGCTAGTTTGAAAGGAACAAAGAGACTTGGAATTCCGCAAATGGAAACTAAATCAAGTTATATGTGAATCTATACACTAATGTTTAATACATTATATAATCTAAATGATTTATACAACAGTCAATTTGTCAAACATGCAGAGTTATGTTGTAATTACGTTAAAGTGTTACATTAATCTATGGTGCTCATTCTGTTGCTATCAATAGACTTATTCAGAATTGGTGGACACGGAGAAAATTAAGACAGGAATATGGCAATAATGGAAAGCCAATCTTTCCACAATGGGAAAAGGATTACAATCTTCAGCCTATGAATGCCTATGGACTCTTTGATGAATATTTAGAGATGAGTAAGTAAAAACTACAATGTTTGGTGTAATGGTAAATTTAAATGTTTAACATTGTCATTTGGAAGATTTTGACTATTTAATATGTATCCTTGTATTTCTAGTTCTTCAGTTTGGCTTTACAACAATATTTGTGGCCGCTTTTCCATTGGCACCTCTTCTAGCTTTATTGAACAACGTCATTGAAATCGACTGGATGCCTACAAATTTGTCACACAGTGGAGACGGCCATTAGCTTCAAGAGCCAAAGATATAGGTGAGAATTCGTGCAGTTTTCCAAAATTTACATTAGAATTATTTTCACTCTTTGACATTACAATGTCACATCCTCATGCTGTGTATATATAAGGTAACTCCAATGATAGTTTCTACGAGCTATTGTCAAACTACGCCATTGTTAAGTACTCCATGACGCTCTCCGGCAAGACAGATCCTTGCCTTCGGTCATCATTCCCCCACCCCTCTCCCAAGCAACCCCCAGCTTGAGTTCTAATCCTCGATTTTCCACCGCCTTGGGACATCCTTCCTATATAAATGCAATTTGTTATGGTTGCATGGTGCTATGTAAATGCAAGCTGTTATTGTTGCACTTAACCTCAAAAGGTGAAATCTTTTTCCAATACAGTAAAACTGTTTACAAGTAATTACATTAGATTAGTGACTGGAAAATGGATGTTAGATTGCTCTTATCTTTTAGTTACTTGTTACCTGTTTATTTTCCGGATTTAATATCAATGCTAAAACCAACGTCTGTTTTCATGTTACATGTAGCAAATTCAGGCAGGAATAAACTATTAGTCCATCTATCTACTTGACCAACTTCCACGTTGAGTTTTTAAATTGCATTTGTATATGAGCTGTTAATTATCTGGAAATACATTAATTGACATTACACTTTTCACATAGAGTTGTCTAAAAACAGAATTTTTTTTACTGTACACCAACTTTGTCTAAAATGTTTTGTCTGTGTTTTTTGTCAGGGGTCTGGTATGGCATTTTGGAGGGCATCGGAATCCTGTCTGTAATCACCAATGCATTTGTTATCGCAGTAACATCTGATTTCATTCCCCGCTTAGTATATGCATACAAATACGGACCCTGTGCAGGACAAGGACAAGCAGGAGAAAAGTAAGATTTTTGTTTCCATATCGCAGAAAGATAAACTGGTAGAATTGCTGCATTTGAAGGCTAAAACAGGGATTAGGATAAAGAACAAGAAATTGGTGATACTTACTAAATGTTATCTCCTCATGTTAGCCAGAGGAAATGATAAAATACTTGAATGGAAGGAATATAATTGCACTGCTAAGACACTAAAAAAAAATTGAGAAAAAGAAAAATATTGTATGATAATTATGCACAAGCCAAGAGACAATGTAAAACATAATGAGTTAGACTTGCATAGTGATATACCAGATATTGTCCTATAACAAAAGACTTTCATTGCACACACAAAACACACAGTATATCCTGTGATGATAACCCTGTTTAATAAACTGCTGCAACAGAAAAGCTTCTGTTTCAAATGACAGTCTGTTTAAATATGGTTGTCATTTCTGACATGAAAAACGCAAGTCCAAATGTAAGGATTATTCTGTTTTGATATCTGGGTATTATACCTGTATTTTCCTTGAGTCAAAAATAAAATTTAGGGAAACACTAGAATAATTCTCAGAAATATAAAACTGAAACATTCTCAACAATCAAAAAAAATCATAAAATTTGCAGATAAAAAGAGTAGAAATATAAACAAAGTCACAGAAAATGAAAACATTGAAGACAAACCTCCTGGTAGATTCAGAAGGATGAAGATATTCTGGCAATTATTATTTCAAAATCTTGGAAATAACAACAATTGGAAAATCTCAGAAAAAATCCCTTTATAAAATTTTTATATTTTACTAAGATGTTAATCTGCCTTACTTTTACTAAACAAATAAACTAGTTCAACTTGTACTTGGAATGAAACCTAAGACCTTGATGTCTTACTGGAACTCATAAGCACGATATTCCTGTGCTCCCACACGTCCCTACCCACATTCACACAATGGTTTATTGTATATAATAACATTCCTTTGAAAGCGTTCTCTTCTGGCCTGCCAATTATAACATTAAAGTACCTCAGTAACCAGTGTTTATAAATTATAAGATGTCTTTCAAATAGAAATGCTTCATTTAGCCATCTAGGCTACAAATGCTGTGAAATGTGTCCTGTTTATATTGGGAGGTGGATTCCACAACAGTATCTGTGTGCCTTTGGGTCTGTCTGAAAATTGCAATCAAAATGTGCTTTTGTGGTGGCCTTTCTTTGCAGTTACTGGGAAGGTTCATATAACTCAGTGATGAAAAGAAGTGTCAGTCAGTGGACCTGGAATCAGCAGGAGGTAGCATTTATACTGCTGCCTCTGTTGCCAATGCATCTGAGGCACTGAGATAGACCCATTTTGAAGAAAGGAAATAAAATCCTGCAAAGAGCATTGTTAATAAATCATCCTTGTTCTTTGTATAGCAGATGAAGCAGAGGAATGTGAAGAGGGTGGGGATGCAACGAAAAGAGAAACAAAGTCAGAAATGCTACTTATGTAAGGAAATATCTCTTGCAATGCACAACAAGGATAATTTAATATTTTCTGGTCCATTTCCAGGTGCATGATTGGTTATGTTAATGCCAGTTTATCAGTGTTCTTGGTCGCTGATTTTGAAGATCAGTCTAAACCTTCGGCAAATCAAAGTACCATGATTGGCGAGGAAGTGAAGTACTGCAGGTAAGGGCTGGAGTCTTCATTCTAAACTAGTCCAAATACCATGTTTATGTCTGATTCTGGCTCAAATGTAGTGTGTGCAACAAATGAGAGATAATGCAAAATGAGAGAGTTATATTAATAACACATTTAAAATAATGCCAGCAATACCCCCAATGCACACTGTGGACTTTTGCCAACCTGCACCTATTATTCTCCGGAATTAGGTAAGCAGGATGGGTCCCTCCAGGGAGAGAGTGCATATGTCATCCCAAACATGTAAATGACTATGTGTAGATGGCAGGCACTCAGTCTGCTTTGAGTGCTCTAAGCATGGTGATTCCACACATGTCAGACCCCCAGCTGACTAAAAAATAAATGCTTTGTAATTTTAAAATATAATTGTAAATTATTTAAAGAATCCATAAAGTAAAAACTACCACTTGATGACATTCAGATTTCTTTATATAAAATAATAATCACACCAAGAAGGTACATAAAACTTTCACACAGCCAACTGTGCAGAATACCTTGACGTTTGAATATACATGAGACATTTACATGTAAATTAACATTAAACCCCTGGTTATTAACAGCGATTAACAACATAATATAATGTTGTTAGTCAGAGAGATATTAAACATCTTTAATCATTTGGTGGCTTGGACTATATTCCCTCTAATAGTGGAGAAAATTCCAGAGAGCATTATGCTTGTTGCCTTTGGTACTGTGCGAGTAAATTGGGAGATCGCATTAGTGGTCAACATTCCCAAAAATGACGCATGCAACACCCATCGGAAAATGTTTTCCCCAAATATATTTTCATTTCAGGGCATCGAATGCATCATTAAAATAATCCAATCTATTCTCTGCAGTAATCAATTCAGTTATTTTAATCAAAATCTGATCACCGCAATGTAATTTTGTGACCATTTACAGGTATCGAGATTATAGAGAAGCTCCTCACTCCAAAGAACCTTATGCCTATACACTGCAATTCTGGCATGTACTAGCTGCACGTCTAGCTTTTATCATTGTATTTGAGGTAAGATGTATTTGCTTTTATATTTTTGGTAAGTTTATAATTTTCATAAATGTTTTTAAAAGCTTTCCAATACTTCTATGACACTCTTTGCGCTAATCATAGAGCCATAGAATATTACAGCACTGAAGGAGGCCATTCGGCCCATTGTGCCTGTGCCGGCTCTTTGGAAGAGCTACCCAATCAGTCCTACTCCCCCATTCTTTCCCCATATCCTTGCAAAGGTTTCCTTTTCAAGTACCTATCCAATTCCCTTTTGAAAGTTGCTATTGAATCTACTTCCACCAGCCGTTCAGGCAGTGCATTCCAAACTGTAACAATTCTCAGTGTGTAAAACAATTTCTCCTCCCCTCCCCTCCGGTTCTTTTGCCAATTATCTTGAATCTACAACAACAACTTGCATTATATAGCGCCTTTTCATCTTCTCTGTGGCTCAGCACCACCGAAAAGTTGAAAGGAACCTAAGCATGTTAATTGACTCTTTGGTACTTATCACCTCTATTTTGCCAATCTGTTCAATTCGGATCCACGGAGCTCATGCTCAAGTGTTTTAGTCAGTCCACAGCTGGAGTATTATGTACTGTTCTGGTTTGCACAACATACAAGGTAGATCCTGGAGACTGTAGAGGACAGATGAATGAGGCTATTTACCAGTGTTAGAGGAATGAACTATTAAGAATGACTATAAGACCTAGGCCTCTTCAGTATTTAATCAGTATTTAGAAGAGTCACCACAGAAAAGACTTTATAGAAGTACAGAATGGGATAACATAAACCAGCACAATATTTTCAGATATTTCACGACACACATTCAGTAAAGAGGTAACACACAAGAACAAGATGATATATGTTTAGGATTTTGAGAGAGAGAGAAAGAACGAAAAAAAGAGTAAAAGGAAGGAAATAAACAAAGCACTTTATAATGTCATATCATATTGTCATTTCAAAATGTAATTATTGTAGTGTCAAGTGTAGCAACTTTTTTTTGTAAGCAAATGTGCCAGCAAAGTCCCCGAAGCATCATAAGATGAACAATGAATCTGGATTGTTGTCCAAGACACCAGGAGAAATTCCCTCCGGTTTTCAAACAGTGCCTTTAGATCTTTAATGTCTATTTGAAAAGGCTGACAGAACAGCACTTCATCTAAAAGACGGCAGTTCTAACAAAGCAGCACTTTCGCAATGGGGTATCTGCCAGGACAATAAACCGACAGATTTAGGGCAGGTCACCATGATGTATGTCTTCACACAGAATGATCAACAGCAGGAACAGGTTACGAGAAAAAATAATCGAGGGCAGGCAGCACACTGGAACCGTTCAAGAAATAGCTTGATAGTAAAGTTAGTGTTCTGGAAGGATTAGATTAACTGAGCCAAAAATTGAAAAAAAACTTCATCTGTATCTCTCTTCTAACCTTATGAAAAAACAACATGCAAACTCATGCTTATCATCACATGATTACAGATTACTATAATAGGTGAAGATTTTTTTTGCAGAGCTCAATATGAATAATTTTTCCTGATGAACCACATTTTGAATGAAGCAGTAATGTGATCGTCGAAAGGTGAAATTCTGATAACTTTAGCCAATTTTGTTAAATTGAAAAATCTTGTGCTATTTAGAAAGGAATAAACTACTAATACAGTGCAGTTTATTAAAAAAAATTGTAATGGTTTTGACTGTTTCCTTTCATTTTTGTTGTTTGCTAATAATAAATTATTCATTGCAGCACCTAGTTTTCAGCATTAAGAACTTGATAGCATACATGATTCCTGACTTACCAAAAGATCTACGGGATAGAATGCGTCGGGAAAAATATCTTATTCAGGAAATGATGTACGAAGCTGAGCTGGAACGTCTTCATAAGGAAAGGAATGAGCGAAAGCGGAATGGAAAAGGCTCTCATAATGAGTGGCCATGAATACAAACATCATCTGATTAAGGTAACACAACACTGCTTTCTCTTTTATTGAGGCAAAGCTCTAGCGTTAATCCAGTCAAGGTAAGATTTTAATAATATTAGTCTATTTCATTGGAAACCAACAAAACATATTGAGCACTTCCAGTGTTAATGCCATTCTTAAATCTTATTGTTAATTCCTAGTCTTGTTACAAAGCTCTTATTTCTAACACAACATCAACAACAACTCTTTTGGACTTATATCGGATACATTGCATTCAGTAAAGGATGGCACTTTGTCATATTTGTTTCCATTGTAATATGTTGTGGTGAGGATGGAATTTTTTTCAATGTTTAGATTATCTTTCTCTTGTGCAGTAACGGAATCCAATGATTCAATCCAAGTAGAGCTTTAAATAACAAAGGAATGGTAATTCAAAGACGTTATATTTGTGACACAGTTTTTCCACCACGACCAAATCAAAATTAATCTTTTTTAAGTTTTTTAAGTTTTTTTTGCCATGTTCTCCCTTGTCTCCTTTTTGGAACCCGCCAGCTCCTGCTGGGGTAAGAGTCAATGGGAACCTTGCAATCTTTTGATGATTCTTCACATATGTCCATAGCCACAAGTGTCAACAGGTTATTTGCCAAGAAGGGCATTATAATCAAACCGATTACTCCGAGTGCCAATTCTTGTCCTAACATTAGTTTGTAGTTTCTGTCATTTCACTGTGATTCCTTGATCAAAGCTTCCTGAAATTGCCATTTTTGTTTCATTTCTATCCTTTGCCTCCATATTGTAATCAGTCATCCGTAACTATTACTAAGATACCTTTGTGTGGTATTTTAGGATATTCTCCAGATGTGAGGACAAGCATGAATTTTATATTAATTTCTCAGAAACCTCACCTTCAGAAAATGCCCTTTAGCAATAATTGATTCTCAGGAGAACTAAGGGATTATCTCTTCATGTTTGCACAATGATAATGGAAAAATATATATCTAATAAAACTACTTGTATGTCAGGATAGATTTATTGTAATGTTAACTCTATATTATACTATGCAACTAAAATTAATAGTCGAAAGTTATATTAAACAACAAAATATACTTTTGCTCAACTTGTCTGCTATTTTCCATAGGCGCTGCTCTATTCTGTATCCAAAATGTTATTTTTATTATTTTAACTGAATCATTCAATCAGATATAAGAACTCACATCAACAGGCCATTGTTAAGCATAATTATATATATTATTATATATATATATACATAAATATAAAGATCTAATGCAAGGCAGCTCAACTTGTCTGCGGATCAACCTGTCCAATTGTTTTTAGGCAAGATAACTTATAATGTTGAGCGAAACTCCTCCACGAGAGGAGAGGCAGTGACTGAGCATTACTTTGTAGTGTTCATCATTTCATCATGATTCTTTGATCAAAGCCTTTTGACGCTGCCAGTTTGTTTGAATTGTTTTGTATCTTCTTTTAATTGTCTTTGGTGCTCTCAAAGTAAAAGTAAATTTCCTTTTTTGTGTTTCAGGTTAAGCCTGCCTTCTCTGTTTACATGTTTGACAGTCATCCCCTGCAATTTGTGAAAGCACCACTTTAATGACTGAATAAAATGCAGCTTCAATGCATGTTAGAACATTTTACAAAAGATGTTCAGTAACTAACAGTAAAAGGATGTACTGTGAAAAATTTTGCAATTCAAGTGTGATCTCTTTAATATTGCAAGCATGTTGAACATGTTATTCATATAAAACACAATTCTGTACGCCAATTTTTACTTAAAAATAAGTGTCCAATGTTTTACAACTGGTTTGCTATTTTCCCAACTTTGCATCTTCTTCCATCAACGGACTACAGTTTTACACACAGTCATGTTCAATATGTAAATAAGAATTTCTGAAAACTATTTTGCATAATTTCAGTATAGCTATCTGTATACCATTATACTGTTTGATCCACTCCTTCTACCCAGCAGCTCGGGAGAATCCTGTTTACAAATCAGTTTTTTTAAGCTTGTAGCTTTAAAAGAAAATAAGGTTTATGATACAATGTACAATGCATCCTTGTAAATAGCCAAATGCAGAATGTTGAATTTTCATAACTGAAAATGACTTTGTGAACATAAGGCCACATTTATTGCTTGTATATTGTGATGCAATAATGATTTAAAGAATAAATATGCACATGTACAAGTTATGGCTGATTAGAATTTTTATTCTCCAGAGTAATATTTAACATCATTTCAGTAATTCTGTGATTTTGTTTGATGCACTCTTTAAGCTCATATATACCAATACTTATAATGTCAAAATTACATCACTAATACATTGTAAATCACACTGTTAACATGGTGGGTAACTTTTATATTATTCACATATTAATCTACCCCGGAGTCCCTCCAACTCCCTCCCTCCCTCGCCTTGTTTAAGGTCCGTCTCAAGACTTACCTCTTTGATGACACTTCTGGTCATCTGTCCCCCCTCCCCCTTGGCTCTCACCCCCAGCTCGGGTGCATAGCCAGCACTCTTTATGAGTGCATTGGATATAAATGTAAATTTGTATTGTATATTACACAGAATCTCTTGTAAAGTCTAGGGTGGTTTAGTAACAATAGAAATGCATTGAGAACTGTAGAGTCACAAACATCTATTGATTGTTCTTTTAATAAGGTGAGATTCCTTCTACAATTTCTTATATTTTCAACTATTTACCAAGATTAGAAGGACACTTTATGATGAAACCTTTGGAAAAGTTAAATCGTAGCATTTCAGAGCAGGCTTAGAAAAAATAATTGAAGGTTGTTTACTCATTGATTTGCTTATGCCAACAGGCTACTGTTTGAGACTTTATGGATTTTCGTTGAATTATTTGATCTCCTGGGGAGATAAATAATCGCCAAGGAAGGTAAAGTCTGACATTCCTCATGAAATGGTGCAAAAAGGCCTCCAGGATGTTAATTTCATTAATCAAATTTTCTTTGACGTATTACTTTTATTTGTCTACCTCAAGAGATTACATCAACTGTGTAAATTCTATGAGAATGCACATGGTCTGTCACAGAAATAATTGGATTGATGGTCTGAAAAACCTTTTCTTATTCCATACAGTGCTGTGTTCCACTTTACATTTTCCTTTGCTCTGTGCAACTCATTTCAATGTTACTGAAGCCAGCGTTATTATTTCCAGTGATTGGGTCAGTGCATTGTCTCCACTTCATAACCTGGATTAAATCATCCTGTAATTGTACAATAATAAACATCAACAACCTTGGCACAATCAGATGAAACTGATGAATACTGATACTGGACCCCAGTTTGAACCCTTCACAGGTGAATTGACTCCTTTGTGGACTATCAATGTCAGCATTTTCTAATTTTGATGATATTATTTTTTACATCAAGCATTGTCTGCCTCTTGCTATTGATATGATATTCACTTCTCTCTAAAATCAATGAGAAGACTGAGACTGATCTGGGCACGATGATCTGGGTTTTTCATTGTCTGCAAAAACTTTAATGTCTGTCGTTAATGTCAAAAGTGCACAATAAACACATAGGTTTATTGCTGTGCACAATTGGCTGCCTTGTTTTGCCCACAAAATATACAGTCAATTCACTTGAAAATAAATTCCGTGAAGCGCTTTGAGTCGACTCGGAGACGTGATAAGCGCTATATCAAATGCAAGGATTGTTATTATAGGAGTAAATACTGTAACAAGATGGAAGCAGTTTCTATTCTTCAGAACAGAGTGTTTTGTCTTTAAGTACAAAATCAATATTCCAAGTCACCAAAGCTGTAAAATCATGACTCAGAATGTTAAGGCTGTAAACATTTTATTTGGGAACTGAGCGATTCAGTCACTTAGAAAACCATCCTCCTACGGTAGGCTTGGAATCCATGCCAAGCAGATGAGATGGTTGTCTCATCTATTGATGATACAGAGATTTGCCATTCAAATGAGTTGAGTCTGAGGAAAAGTAGACTCTAATGGACATAGATCCACAGCACAAAACAATGACTCAGAATTTGCAGTATTACTCAAATGTGTCACAAGGTTATCTTAAATTTGGGGAAAATGAAATCTCAAAACGATGTGACTGGAGATGCTCATGTAAATGGTTAAGGTATATTGCTGGATATTGTGGACTAATTTATAAATAAAGAATCTTGCACATATTCAGTGAGATTATCTTATTGGTCAGACTCCGGCATTGTGAAGCGCTCTGGGACGCTACCCACGCGAAGGGCACTATATAAATACAAGTTGTTGTTGAATATATAATGTAGATATTGGGATCAAACACCCGCCACATACGCACCCACTCCCCTGAAGTAATCTGATGTGCACAAATATAAAAATAGAAATATAGTAAAGAATTCTAACTGGAGTAGAGTAGATCATCATTCCATCTAGCTTTAATATTTCAATATACATCAGGTGGTAACTGTTCTGTTATAACCACTGTACTGTATAATAAAAACAAATAAGGGTGGTAGTTGATAGGAGTTTACTTACACTACTGGAAGACCGAGGAAAATAGCATGATAAATCTGTCCAACACAGTAGTAAGTCAGGGTTCACATGAGCCTTCCTTCCTCCTGGAAAATATTTACTGATAAATGCATTGAACTGGTGGTGGAAACATAATTGAAGGTAAGCAATTGTGTTTATATATTTTTATATTCATAATTTCTCAGAGTAAAACTTTCAACCACAGCTTCTGTTGTGAGTTTTACATTTTCTTACATTCTCATTTACACCTACTGTGGAAGTCAAGTTCCTCCTAAACTTTCCTCCCTTTTAGATCTGCTTCTGACTAACTTATATCTATTTATATGTATATTGATCGATGTTTGTACCTGACTTGATAGAAACATTAATATCAGCATTGAAAAGTCACTATTCAAAGACATTTCAGTACTTAGCAAAAAGACTCCTATTTTTAGTAATTAATGTAAAATAACCCCCATTATGTGTTTCATAAACTGTAAGCGATATAATTAATTTCAGACATGGTCAGAGAGTTGAGCTGAACTACAATCATTTGCGTAACAGCCTAATGTAAGACTACCTCAGATTTCATTTTTAAGTCTTTGAAGACGGAATAGCCCTCAGAGGTTTTGGATTACATATTATAGAAAATGATTTTCAAATATTTCTAAATTAGTTAGAACTTTGGGCCATTTATGTCCTATAGTTTAATTACGTTAGCGCAATAGCAATAATGTGCGAGTAGCATACAGCTCAATGACAATACCCTATTTATAACAAGAGGTAATCGATGCATCGTCACACTCTAGACAGTGTGTGAGTAGCCATCTTTGCAATTACACTAAGTTATTGGACTGCAATTTCCCTTATAACAAGTTGAAACTGTCAGTGATGTGCCACATTTGGGAACGCTGAGTTGTGAAGAATGGAAGACCAAATACTAAACCATACCTGTTAATAAGCTGACAATTAGACCAACAGTGATAACAATTAACGTTGTAAATGTGCTGACGTACAGATAGGATAAGGAATGCCAGGTATCAGCTGTCTCAAGTCTGAAACAAAAACAGTCATTACAAGCTTAGAAATAATAATACTGTATAATAATTCTTACATTCGGTATTATAATAACAAATGGTAATCCTTGCATTTGGTATAGTGCTTTTCACGTCTTCTAGATGTCTCAAAGCGCTTCACAGGATATACTGTAAAGTGAATTGACTGTATACATTTGTGGGCGAAACATGGCAGCCAATTGCGCACAGCAGTGTCTCACAAAGATTGACGTGACCAATTTTATTATTGTTTTTTTTCTTGCAGGATTAGTATCAGGCGTGTGGAGTAAGGAAACTTGCCCAAGGTTTTGCCCTGCCGGGAATCCAACCCAGGTCTCTCGCTTCCAAGGCAAGTGCTCTACCCACTGAGCTACAAGACTCCCGATCATATCATCGAGACATCTCAAAGCGTTTCACAGAATTTTACTGTGAAGTGTCATGACTATTTTGTAGGTGAAAGGGGCAGCCAATTTTCGCACAGCAATAGAAACGATCTGCTCACAGAAATCAAAAAATTACCTGTATCTTTAGTGTTTATTACTCAATGCAATGTAAAAAACATTTAAAAAAAGTTAATTAATAACTTTATGGAGCCTCCCCCACCACCCAGCCATGAAAAAGCAGAAAACCAGCGTATAGCACAGTCTCATCTTCCCAAATTGGCTCCAAGACTTCTCGCAACTTATATTACTGCAATAGCCTGTAGATTGAAGAGGCTTATCTTTGAGATTCTCCAAAAGTCGGGATTGCTCACTACGTGTACAGTATTTTTCAGAACACTATTTTCTTTTGCTGTGACTTGGGGGGACAGTTATTTGAACAGAATGAATTCCCGGTAGACATTTGATTTGACTTTCCTTTTAACCAAGCAAGGTTTCTTGCAGTTAAGTAATTCAGATTTGAAAAACCTTTAACTTAAGGGTGCTAGTAAATTATAAAATGTCGATAGATTTTCTCGCCCATCAAACACCTCATCTGATGGTACTTGATGAAGTCAACACAATGAATGTGTGCTGACCTGTGACTTATGGTTGTTCCTGGTGCTGTTGTCCTAGGGATTTCAGATGTCCAGGATGTCTCATTAATGGGTTTACTGAAGTTACAGCCATCAATACTGAGGAGCAAAGGCATTGTTGTCTCAGGTGGTAGTTCGTGGATCTGAGATCCAATTCCTATCCACAGTGCAAAGGCAAACCCAGTGATCAGTCCTACAATTCCTCCCTGTGACAGAAAGGTAGATGGTAGATCAGAAACAAAGTGAGATTTGCAACGTGTAAACTTCCACAATATTTTGCTTAATAGTGTAGATTATTATTTTAATCACAAAATCACAAGCCAGATATAGAGGAAGCCTTTTGGTCTACTGGAGGCTGGCCAGTGTTTATGGAAAGCAACTCATGTTAGCAAAATATCCCAAAAAAAATCATGATCATTAAAAAATATAAAATTGTATCAGATTTAGTCATGTGTCAAAAGTATTGCCTGCACAAAAGCAAAACCTGCTCTGTGCTGCAACTCAATTTTCTGGTGACAATAACATTCAATCCTTGAATTTGATATAGCGCCTTATTATGCCATTGTCACATCTCAAAGCACTTCACAGAATATACTGTAAAGTAAATTGACTATATATTTTGCGGGCAATCTCAATATGAGTATAGAATGCAGTGCTCTAAATTATCAAACATTTTAGTAGATTTTCTATAAATCCAAGTTTGGGTGACTTATTGACTTTGAGAAATAATATGATTTACCCTATCTGGTCTTAAATTTACCTTTCTGAAATTTATAAGTAATTCCACCTTCTTTACACAGAGGGTAGTGAGAAAGTGGACATCACTGCCTGAAGCAGTGGATAAAGCAGAAAGCATTGAGGTATTCAAGAGGAAACTTGATGCATACATACGTGAGAGGGAATATTAGAGTGGGGATAAGGAGAGATGAAGGCTCGTATGGAGTATAAACACTGGCACTAACTGGATGAGCTGAATGGCTGTTCTCCTGTTATGTTCTGTGTAATTATATGTAATTACAAGTACAATCCTAAATTGACAAGTTAAGAATTGAACTATTCATGGTTCTTAACACAAATGTTGAAGACCTGGAAGCACACAGTACTGAACAGGATATTTTTCACATACTATAGCTATAACTCCTGAGGCAAATAATCAACAGCAGGTTATACTTACTTTGGAATTGGCACAAGAAAACAAAATACCCAAAGTGAACAACCCACCAGCGGCCCTCCAACTATTCCAAATATACTGAGAGCCGACTGAAAATAAAAAAACAAGTCAGATTTTAATTATCCATAACCATACTTCTTTCCCATTGCTAATATAAGAAAATAGTTGTACGGTAATTTTCTTTGACTTTGTTACAGTGTAAACTACATATCAACTATTTATCCAATTCTGAGTAATAATATCATAACATTTACTTAACCATCAAAAAAGGGAATTCACATGAATGGTCTATTTAGAAAGAGGCTGCATTACATCTTTCTTTGTAATCTATAGAAGCTATGGATTTCTTGTGAGAAGCCTCACAAGCCTTTGTGCAGAAAATGTGGGATGGGGAAAGATTTGGGCTCAATTGACGACATTTTCTGTAGAAATATTAAATCCATTATTTTCTCATGACAGCAGGAAACTTGTAATGAATAAATCCAGTATTCTGGCCTCAGCCAGTTTCTTGGTAATCCATACCAGATGTTGATGTTATTTTATGTCGAAGATGTGATAAGACGCTATATCAAATGCAAGGATTATGATTTTATTATTATTATTGATTGCACTTTGCTTAAACAAAAGCTTCCTGTTCCTGTCCTGTGCCTATTCTAAACATGTCCTTCACAACCCTGAACCTCTGATTTCTAATCCTGCTGCCTTGGTGTATCTGAAATTTACTTTCAGATTTACCTTTGCTATCCCACTGAGCATTATGTCCCTCCAGAATGTCTTCTCAGAATGCAATTAGAACATTATGTAAGATTTGACTTTTGCAATTATGTTAATTAGCAGAAAATGATAGAAGGACAGTAATGGTTTATTATACTATTTTAGTTGGTCTTTATCTACCAATATTAATTAAACATCAAATGACTTGTTATAAAATGCAACAAGAAATAATTAGAGTAAAACCAGGAACAGATGCGGTAGGGGGTGGGGAGGGGGGGGCGGTGTTGAATAACGTACAAACTACAATATGGTATATTATCGATTATTCTTATTGCATTTGAACAATGACAAGTCTAGTAAGTACTTTACCTGAAGAAGACTTTCCATTAATGATGCCAAGCCAGCCATTGCAATACACAACAAACCATATAAAAGAGCTAAGAATAAAGTGAAGAACAGCAAAATTAAAGTGCAACATTAAAAAAAATTATACTACCTGTTATCTTTCTAGGTTAAACTCAAGAATTAAAAATATTTTTTTTTAGGTTAAGGGGTAATTGAATAACTACAAAATTCACACTTTTCTCTGAAGACACACATTTGTTCATTGAATAATAATCAGAGTGCAATTTTTTTTAGGAGTGGAGGATAAATAGTAATCCTTAGCAACTGGTTTAAAGTAATTGGATCAAAAATAGTAACCAGAAATAGAGAACACAAAAGACTTACTCATCCCCTTGGAAATCCAAGACAGCTGTTTTTCAGAAAGGGGTTTGAAAATGGGCTTGATAATATCCTCTACTGTTACAGTAGCTAGAGCGTTAATGCTCGAAGAGACTGTGCTGCAGTGGGAGAAATTTCCAAGCATCATTGTTACAAGGTTTAGAAAAATTGTGTGGAATTTTGAAACAATAATTCCTTTAGTAAGTTAATTTCATTAAAAATGATTTAAATGTATATGAATCCAGTGCATTCGCTAACAAATTAGTAAAGCAAAGTTGATGAATTTATACAAAACTGGTGTGCAGTTCAGATCACTGAACCAACATTTAAAGACAAAGCTCGAAATTTCTTCCTAAAACCTTTCATGAATTGTCACAATTTAACATGAATCATCCTGCTTTATTATTTGCTGCTTACCTTAATGTTCCACTATATGCACATGCCACAAAGAGTCCTGGCATTCCAGGGTAGCCTTCAAAAATGTCCAGCACTAGATAGGGCATTAACTACAAGGCACAAATCAACACCCACAAGTAATAATTATACAGACAAGATGTTGGAAAGGTTAATGCTTTAGTTTGAAAAATAGGAATGTGCTGGCAGGTATACTGCTCACTGATGAAACGTTAACCTCTATGTTCAGGTACTAGTACAGAGCCAGTAATAACTTTTAAAAAAGCCAAATACAATACAAATTTAAATTTATATAGTGTTTTTCACAGTGAGAGAATATCAAAGAGCACATTAGCAGTATAGGCTGGGCAACCAATCTGGGGATGGGAGCCAAAGGGACTGGAGAAGGGAAAGATGATTCAAAGCATGAATTGATAATAAATATTGTATATAAATTGCATGTTGTACTTTTGTGTCTTTATTACTCATTTTGAAATTGAATTTCCAAAACTGGTATTGTAATGTGAAATTAGCTCAAAGATTACTGTATATTAAAATTGATCATTGATTCTTGTGTGTCAGCCTAGCTCAATTGGTAGCTGTTGTACATCTGAGACAAAAGATTGTGGGTTCAAGTCCCATCTCGGGTTTATCATCTGGATAGTATACCTGGTCTGGTGCTTTAACCTTCCCTGCTGTCCATGGGTCACAATCCCGATAAATAGAGTACATTGACAATCCTGACAGTACTGCACATGTCATGATCACCCAGAGTCCAATAAGATTCACATAAAGGGATCTAATGTAGGGAAAACAAATATCTTGCATGTACAACTTGCATTTGTATGGTGCCCTTCACACAGGGCAGCATCTCAGAGTGCTTAACAGTGGCAGAGCTTGATGCCGAGCCGGAGAAAGCGGGGAAGTGACTTTAGGTGACCGTACGTAATGTACTGACAGTATAAGTGTGTATGCTCCATTTTCATTGTAAAATTTGGTTCACCAAGACCACATCCCTGGAATACATGGAGGTACTTTTTGTTGCTACCTCGGATCATTCTTTGGTAATCCCAACTTTGATCGTAGCTTCCTAAAATGTGCTTTCTCTGTTGGTAAGTATACTTTGTTCATATTTGCAAAGTATACTTTGATACGTTGGAACGATTGGTGGAATCCTTGATTTTTGCAACTTTGTAGGCATTCTGTGCTTCTATTATTGAAAAACCTTCAGTATTTGGTAATTCAGTTTTTGTGCCAATAAAGCAACTTTACATGTCTGATACATAATAACAGGAAGGAGTATTTATGCTAAAATAACTAGTTTCAATCTTAAACAATTTAGCTCTAATTCTAAGATTATGACTCTTTGTTTTGGACCGCTATTTAACTCACAATTAAATATTGAGATTATCCATTAGTAGGTAACTTTACTTATCTTGCCAGGTGAGATTCAAAGGGGAAAAATTCCATTATAAACTCACACTTGCAAAGTTAGTAATTTTACTGACAATCAAGGCCAATTAACTCTCTTTATCACTGTGTGATTTGAGACATATTGCCATCCTAATTTCCCATTTCTGAAAAAATCTGTTGTGCTTTATGTGCATGGTTCATGATGTTATCCAGATTTCTGAATAAGACTATGACCTTATAATCACACCCAGGAATCGATTATTCTCAAAACACGTTTTACAGTGTTTACAACATTTTAGTCTTGAAGTGTTTCTAGTAAATGAGTTATAAATGATTTTATTGTTTGAAAATTAATAATGTAAAATAGTACTTACACTTTAGCTTGAAATCTGGATTTACATGAGATGTATCTCTGAACCTGTGCTTGATTCACTCCATAGATTCCTGTCCAAATGAAGGTGCCACCTATTACAATTGTCCAGAAAGTATGTCTTCGCATTGGGTTTGGGTCAAAACTGTGTGTAGAAGTTAATATTACATTATAAGACATGTATATGGTCAATCAAGGTTAATGTGGACTCCTGCAGCGCATTGGTTAGAGCACTAGCCTCGCAAGCAAGTGGACCCTGGTTCGATTTCCGGGCAGGACAAAATGTTAGGCAAGTTTCCTTACTCCACACGTCTCTGTTTACCTAACAGTAAGTAAGAATCTGGTTGTTAGTCAATTGATAGATCCCTTTAAGGTAATAATCCTTCCGAGAAATAATCATATTAATTTGGTCACTCAATCCACGGCTATTTGTGAGATACTGCTGTGCATGATTTCACCCACAAAATATATAGTCAATTCACTTTACAATATATTCTGTGAAGCACTATGAGATGTCTCGAAGACGTGAGAAGGCACTACATCAAATGCGAGGATGATTATTATTATCAAATAACCTACATTTTGAAAAGTACACATCTTTTTGTCAAACTTACTTCCAGAAGTTTAATCTTCCTCCGTAATAAGCAGCATCCCACACATTGCCAATACCACCTTCAAGCATCATGGCACGGATAATGACGGCAATGAAACCAGCTACCATAATTCCAATCTGAAATACATCTGTCCAGACAACAGCTTTGAGACCTCCCTGAAACAACGAAGTGGAATACTATCATAAACTTCATATCCCACTACACACTGATATACAAATTACACCAGAAAGGCTCCTGTTTGTCTGCAGGACTTCAATATGCAGATTTGAAGTTGCAGTTCTTGATATTGACTTATCCCCTAAATCCACATATGTATCCCTTTTACACACTGGAGTTTCTCAGTGTCATTAATGGAGCGTGTGCTCTTTCCCTTTAGAGGGTCACACCAGGTTTAGTTAATCCCAGAGAGTATTAGGTGCAGGTTGGCAAGAGCCAAAGCTTGAGGATCTCAGAATGAACAGTTGGAGTTTAACCAACGAGCTTGGCATTGAGAGCATTACTTGGCAAACGTCCTACTGCTTGACCAGCTAAGGGCAGCCAGCCATTAAAGTTTTGGCTTGCACGGTTAACAGAAATCTGAGTGGCAAGAATCCCTGCTTCTAGTAACATTTTTCTGTAGATAGCATTGGATCCTTTCACGTCTTAAGTTTCCATTGATGTTGCACTTGTTTTGTTAGCTGATGCTGGAAATTTTTATACTATACCTTATTTATCTTTTTAATAAAAAATAGCAAAGGGTGTGCTGGCAAAAACATGTTTTCTTTTCAAGAAAACAGATGTTGTTGTATATTTTTGAAAGCTCTGACAGCTATAATTGATACCTGGGTTGAAGTGAAAGCACACTTGCAAAAGTATTAGTGATTAGAGTTATATCTATTCCTGGAGCATCGGGTTGAACATACAGAATTCAGATGAGTTTTATTTACTCACCAAAGTGCAATAAAAGGTGCACACTATTCCGGTTGAGATTACAGCTCCCCAGAGATGAAACTTTGTGACTGAAGGAGTAAAAGATAAAAAGTTGTACACATCTCTGTTGTTCAAACAATAAGGTAGGAAAACAGTGGTATTGTTAATGATTGCACTAAAAAATGTATTGAAATATGAAAAGTAAAATACAGACCTTGATTTAACGCAAGTGCTGGAGCATAAATAACAATCCCTGTGTATAGAATCTGAAACAAAATACAGTAACAACAACAAATTTATATTTATATAGCGCCTTTCACCTTGGGAGGATGTTCCAAGGTGATGAACAGACGAGGGCTTCTCAGAGAGAAAGGTATTGAGGAGGACCTTGAAGGAGGTGATGGAAGGGATGAGTCATAGGGACTCCAGGATGGGGTTCCAGAGAATATTAAACAATGTAATCAAGAGAAATGTAATATGTTCATTCTATTTAAAAACACAATTGAAATTTGTTGGGGAAATTTTCTGTATTAGTTTTGAAAACAAATCTGCACGAGATCATTTGCTCCTGTGAACCTGAAACATTTGAATTATGATACAGTACAGATTAATTTATACGTGCACCATAAAAGTTAAGTTTTCACACATTCACCGATTACTTTTTATGCATACAGTACAAGCAACATTAGAAAAATAAACTCTGGATAAAAATAACCTGCTGTCCAGCTTTTCACATATTGTTGATATACTTACTGTTTGGATCATAAATAGAATTGTTCCACATAAACGTACCCATCTGTTAAACCGCAGTTCCAAATACTGAAAATAAAACAACAAATTTAAGGAAGCATTTTTGTAGTTTCTATACAACGTGTAAACAATAATGGGATAGATACGGATTGATTTTTCTATCAAAATGTTTTTCTGGCTGTCATCTGTAAAAATAACAAAAGCAGGTTTAATGTTCCAACACAGTTTAGCTTTGTTAGTGTAGGAGAAGTAAGCAGTTGGTTTTGATAGATCTGAATTAGGTCTTTGCGATTAAAATCCAAGGGCATTATGCTTCAGGGGATTTTGTTAAAAAAACAAATTGCAACCAAACAGCCGGACAAATACAGTAATGTGAATTATTTTTGCTTGATTTTAACTTTTTCACTGAGCTTTATATACCATTTTGACTTAAATTATAACTTTACGAGATTATCATCAAGTAGCTAACTAAGTCTTACTTTTAATTTGATATTTGTCTCAAGGTAGATTATTTGCCACAGACTATATAAATTGAACAAAATAATTCAGATAGATTTGCTACAACTGCCTTCATTGTAAGCCTCTGCCTTTTCCTTCAATATCACTAATCATTAAGATGAGTGTAGAGCTTGATCTTCACACAACTTGGGTGGGTTGTGATATTAACCTGAAGATGAACTGAAAAGCGGCTGCGGCTTCTTCCACTATTTACTGGTATTTTTTATTTGAGTTCGATCTGGTGAGAACTTTTGTTCCATGAGCTGTTACCTCGTAGGTGCTGGCAATCCCGAGTCTGTAGAAAACCGGCAAGAAGATCTCAGAGGTAATAAACATGGTAAAGAGCTGAGAAAGTGCGAACAGGGAGAAGATTGCCCCAAATCGATAAACCTCAAAGGGGCTCCCGAGCACAGTCACGGCAGACATGAAGCTGGCAGTGAGACTCAGAGCCACTGGCAGGACACTCATCTGCCGATTCCCCATCAGGAAATCCATGGAAGTTTCCTGTCCTTTTCCCTTCACCGCATAATAGATGCCTATCAGCCCCGAGATCAGCAGCGTTAGGGCAAAAACAAGATAGTCCCAGGCAGTGAAAGTACCGACAGCAGAAGTTCCGGACATCTCTGTGGATCAGTCGAGAGTCTTCTCAGATTTCAACACTAGTTACCTAATGCACTGAAGGGGCGGTGACCTGCAAATCTTTTAGGAATCATTGAGCAAGGTTTTATTTATTTTTTGCATGTGCTTATCTTTCAAAACACCCCTCGTGCCATGAAGTGATGCCTTTACAAACACTGCTGTGTTTTCGCAATGATTATAATAATCCTTGCACGTCATACAGCATCTTATCACAATGCAGAGATATCTCAAAACTTTTCACAGGATTTTACTGTAAGGAGTCATGACTCAATTTTGTGGGAGAACTTGGTGATCAGTTTATGCTCAGCAATATCATACAAACAGCCATGAAGTGAAAGACTAATTTTATTTGGTGGATTGGGAGACCGAGAGAAACTTCTTTTTCTTTTCGAATTGTGCCATAGGATCCTTAAAGTCCACCTGAACAGACAGATAGGTTCTCGGTTTAACATCTCATTCAAGGACAGAATGCAGTGTTTTTGCCGTGTAGTAATCGTTACATTAGTGTGATGCAAATGTGAGTTTTAGCACTTGGAACAGTTCAAAAGGTTTGTCAAACTGTAGTGATTCATTAGACTATTATATATTTATAAACGATTTTCAATCCTATGATCCATCTTATCACAATACAGAGATATCTCAAAACTCTTTACAGGATTTTATCTGCAAGACAGTACAAACACTTCATTACACTGATTGGCATGAAATAAAAATCTGATATGATTCACCGAGGATCCAAGGAGTTTAACTATCCAATTTGTGCTTGAAATTATATGGACAAAATGCTGCATTTTAAAGAATTTAACAGAATTAATGGTCGTCACTCAAAAATATCTAACCACCAAACAATTTATTTAGTTTATTTAACCGGCTTACTGGAACTGATGGTACTTTCCCTCCATCTAGTTGTTTGTATTATAATAGACAAGGAGTGTGTGTAGCTGCAAGGAAGGGATTGTTTCTGGCTGACTGGATTTCCCATTATAAAGGCTGCAAAAAGATTGCAATTTTCCAGTTAACACAGGCCCTACTGTTGGAAACACAGCAATGTACAGGAATGGAGAAGACTGTTGTGTCCAGTCCCAAAGTTTAAAAACAACTTAGAAACTACCCATCACTCATCCCTTCAGTGAATTTCATCTCATTTGTCCTATTTTTCCACAATGACAACCTATATCTGGATGAATAAAAACATCAATTACAAAATACAGTGTTGAGTAAAGGGCAGACTTTTAATTCAACACTTCACTTATAACTCAAGCATTTTTATTGTCTTCCATGAATAGATGAGCTGTTTATTGCCACTTGCTGACAGACCAGCTTTTATGTGATAGGAAAGCTTCAGCTTGACTTGTGAGATTAAGATAAGAAAGCAAAACCAGTTTAAAATGTATAATGTATGTTATATCCACAAAATGTAAGGATTATTATAAGAAGGTTTTTACACAAACCTAAAAACAACAATTTATATTTATACAGTGCCTTTCACACACAGCCTATTTTATCATTTGCTGAAAGATAAACTTTATAATATATCCTTTGAAGCGCTTTTGGACATCCTCCCGTCATTAAAGGCGTTATATTGGAGTCCTGTAGCTCAGTGGTTAGAGCACTCGCTTTGCAAGTGAGAGACCTGAGTTCAATTCCAGGCAGAGGGCAAAACCTTGGGCAAGTTTCCTTACTCCACACAGAGCCTAATAATAATCCCTCCAAAACAAAACAATAATAAATTGGTCATTTTCAATCTACGACTGTTTGTGGGACATTGCTGTGCGCAATTGGCTGCCGCGTTCGCCCACAAATATACAGTCAATTCACTTTACAGTGTGTTCTGTGAAGCACTTTGGGATGTCCTTCCGACGTGAAAAGCGCTATATCAAATGCAAGGATTATTATTATTATATTAAATGTAAAGATTTTTATTATTTATTCATAAAAGCACATTTAATGAACCATGAACGTTAACAGAAAGATTGAATCTTGCAGGGCAAAGTTTCCATTCGCCTTTGAAAAATAAAGACAACCGGTTTGACTGCAACAACAAAAAAAACAGTCGATACACTTGATTGTGAATTCCTGCGAAGCGCTCGAGACATTTATTATTTTAACAGTGATCCTTGCATTTGATACAGCGCCTTATTACGTCATTGAGGCGTCGCAAAGAGCTTCGCAGAATGCACCGTGAAGCGTTGGGGGTCTGCGCATTTTATTATTACAGGGTTTTAGTTCCGTTAGTACTTTATAATAATAATAATAATAATAATAATCTTTGCCTTAAGGTTTTGCGGTGCGGCTGCGAGAAAAATAACCCAACGCAGATTTGTACTGCGCAAAAAATGCTGCTGTTTGACAGCTTCCGCTGTATGTATAATGTATTATTATTATTATGATTATGATTATTGTGATTATTATTCCTCTGTTTGTGCAATTCACTGCAGTGGAGGGTGGGGGGGGGGGGTCAATGGGAGTTTGAGTGACAGCTGCCCTGGACACGCCCCGCCCCCTCCTCCCTGCCCCGCCCCCTCCCACCGCCCCCCGCGCGGGGCTTGGCGGCCACGTGCTGACCCACAATCCTCCAGTCAAGATGGCGGCGCCCACGGAGGAGCCGCGCGGCGCGAGCAGCCGCTGAAGAGTCTCTGTCACCCCCCCCCCCCCCCCTCCGGGTACCACTGCACCCGCCCGATACCCCCCCCCACCCCCCGGGCACCACTCAACCCTCTCTAGTGTTCATAATCATAATAATCTCTGCACTGGACATCGCCCCTTCATCACGTCTTCGAGGCGTCTCGAAGCGCTTCACGGAATATACCGTCAAGTGAACTGACCTCTCGCAGCATAACCCTCCCCCGGGGTATCATTGCCGTTTAACCCTGATACCGTTTACACCCCTCCCCCCCGACCTCCCCCCCCTCACCCCCTCACCCCTCCTCACCCCTCACCACCACCTCTAAACATGAAGCCAAAGTCATCCAATCGTAAATCGGAAAACACTTTCCGGGTGAGTAACTCGGGCTTTGTTTTCACGGGAACCGCCGGGTCACGCCCTTCAGGCGTTTTGCAGCCCCGGGGGTCCGAGGCCCCTCCAGTGACGAGAAACCCCACGGCGGCCCCATTCCCTCTCGCGCGCCTCTCACCCCGCGCCGCTTCATTCGGGCTATCGCGTTGATCCCCTTCCCTGTGAAACGCTGTTACAATATTGACTTGGCTGTCGTGGCGCACGTGGGAACCCATCACCCAAATCAAACCGATACTGCCCGCGGCCGCCACCTGCACATTTCTGTGTCTGGAATGGAATGTGAACTCCTCTCCCTGGAGCGACGTAACCTGCCGACCTGTTTTAGTCTTGGGCACAGGTTAGGGGTTACCCATGCACGTTGCGGTACTGAAACCAGCCTAAAACTCGCTTGCAATTGAATGCATGTGGCACGTTTCCCTCAGCTTGTCCAGCTGGGGTCACCCGACCGACCCCTTAGGGCTTTGGCCAAGTGGGCATCCTACCCTTCCAAGTCATTGCCAACAAGACCAGCCAGTCTGCCATCAGTCATGCTTGAGAGTAATGCGGAGCAGCCTGGATCAGGAATCGGATTACTGAGACACTCCATTACCGAGCATATCACCGTGGTGTCTGCTTAGCTCCAAGGAAACCCCACTGACTTCCTCCCCACTCCCCCTGGTCAAAAAATCACAAGAGAAAACAACAACTTGCATTTATATAGCGCCCTTCATGTGGCATAGCGTCCCAGAGCGCTATATAAATGCAAGAATATTACTGATTGTTTATTTGGATATTACTGTATTTTTCAGTTCCTCACCTTTTCGGAGCGTTTATCAAATGTAAACATTGATATAATCCACCGGATTGATCGAACTGGGAGCTACAATGAGGTAAGTTTACTGAGATTTTAAGACATTCAGATTCTAAAACTGTCAGACTGGCTTATTTCATAGCACTCTAAGGTTGTGGACTCAAGCCTCACATTAGGACTTTGAGCTCACAGTCTAAGTTGACACTGCCAGGGAGTCCTGGATTGTAATAATCCTTGTATTTGATATAGCGCCTTATCACATTGTTGATACATTGCTTGAAAAAAGAATGGAGTTTTGCCTGGTGTCCTGGGCTACAATCCCGTAGATAAAAAAAGCCATTCATGTCATGGCTGCTTATTGGATGTTGCTGTGGTCAAATTAGCCTCCATATTCTCCTACATATTCTTGGTCAGTGCATTTTACAGAAAACTGTTAAGCGCTTTTGAGACATTTAACATAAGGAGTTGCAGTATATTAAATGCAAGGAATATTATTCATGTTGATCTGCCTTTTTGTTAAGTTGTTTCCCTCCATATATTTTCTTGCATTTGTAAAAATAAATGGTTGCTATCTACAAGCTGGAGTCACAGCAACAATAGATGCCTCTGGGCAGGTGATTTAATGTTTGTTGTTCTCCATTGTATACGGATAACTGAGTTTTAACTTTCCTTGGATTTGTTTTCACAAATATTACAATTTTGAACCTTGTGAAACCTACATTTTCATTTTTTACATTATAACTTAAGGTAAGTTACAAGTTCAGTAACATAATGGACACCAATGAACTGAATGAGATACATCTGAGCTGCTGTAATTAAACTATTTGTAACATCTTTCAATTTGCCTGTGTATATACGGGAACACAGCGATTTATTTAGACATCTTTTGCACTATTTTCTTTATCTGTCAGCCCAGATTTTAAACTTGTAAACCAAGGACAGTTCACTGATAATTTGCAGCTTTCCTAAGTTGAAAGCACCATACTTTAAATTATGTTAAAAGTCCCAGCATCAGTGCTTATACTCTTTTTGTAGTTCTAATGTTTAGAATCATTACTATTTGTTCTGTATGTGAAATTAAAATGTATTTGTTATTGCAGGAAGTGGAAACCTACTTTTATGAAGGACTGAATAAATGGAGGGATTTGAACTGCACAGGACATTTTGGTATGCCTAAATTTACATTACACTATTGCTTTAGTGCATGAATAGCTTATTGATGTGACTGTTCCTGTTTTTATTGTTGATACAGTTTTTGTTAATGTTAATGTTGCTGTTGGTGATATTGTCATTATTAATAATGTTAATAACAACATTATTAATAATCTGGGCCGCTAAGACCAACCAGCCTTTGCTGGTATTTATACTCCACACATTTCTTACTCCCTCCTATGCCCTCCTATTTCCCTCTCCCTCATTTGAAGGTCTAACTTCTTTTTGAATGCATACTGTTTTTGTTAGTCCTGTTGGTGATGTTAATGCAGTTTATTCTTGGTACAATTGATGAATACTATTGATACCGTTTTTGTTTACTGTTGATGATGTTACAGTTAGTGATGTTCATGTTATTTTTGATACAATTACTGTTGGTAATATGACTGTCGTTGATATTACTTTCAAAGGTGCAAACAATTCATACCCCAAAATGATTGCCAGTTTTATGCAGTAAATGTTAAAACAGTACAAATGATAATATGAGCCGACTAAGGGAATGATTTGGGTTAATATCAATTTCAATGCAAATCAAGGTCTGCAGAGGAGAGATGTTTAGTTGCTTACAGTGAAGTACAAAATATGATATAAAATCAAATATTTAATATTTGATGATGTGATGTGCCTGTACAAACGTTAAGCAGACAATTGGTGCATTGCAGTTGGTGTATTGTAACTACATGCATTTCATATTTGAAATATTCAGATTAAATCTTTATAATTGTACTGCATGTGACCAGAACCCAGTTTATTTTCAGCCTTCGTTGCTTTAGAGCATTTGAGTCCTACAAGTTTTAGCTGTCAGGTCCTCTTTGTTTCTGACTGAATGACATGTTTGTATAGGCATTAAAAGCTCAAGGCATACAACTCATGCCTCACCATGATGTGTGTACAGCCGCACCACCTTGTCTTATCCTTGGCCTCAATCTCTGACATTCAGGATCAGTTCCAGATCAGCATCATCACAACAGCTTTGAAGCTTTGTACCTGTTGTCAGATTGCTGTTAACGTCACTTCTCTCTTTCAACTTGTCAAAATTTGCAAGATGATAACATTTAAAAGGATCTATTGCAAATTGAAGATAGCAAACAACACATTTAACTGACTGGTATGTTCATTTTGTTTTACAGTGACATTTTACAAGGAAGTGTATGGAAAATCGCAGTCATTCAATCAGCTGGTATATTATCAGAATGGATTGGTGGAAAGCCTGAAAAGTCATCTTCAAATCAAGGGCAGTCTGGCGTATCAACCTTTGCTTGAGTAAGGATTTATAGGATTCAATATACGTTTCTCTGAACCAATTGTGTGGCAAGCTAAAAATATAATAAATCTGCTTGGGAAAAGTCTCAGTCTGATGATGTTTTGAGAAAGATTTATTAAATTCAGGAAAGTAGTGAGTAAAGAAACCATCATGCAGTGGATGTTGACCGCAATACAGTAACTGTACAGTAGGTTAATAGACAAAAAGGGAATTCACACCTGCACAGTTTAGGTATGGTATAACACAACCTATTTTATTATAGCTTTGCCTGCTGCATTTTTAGAAAGATTAATGCAATTTAAATACTGTTAACATTTTCAATAGACATATTTGAAACTTAGATACAGAAATACTGAGAGTTGTAGTGCAGATAAAGCAGGATAATTGCTTTAAAATGAAATTAATTAGTGAATTGTAATTTTGGAGTGTTTTTAGCGGGTAAATAAATGCATGTTTTAAAAATATCATTTTGTTTGTATTTCAGCCTTGTGGTGCAACTGGCTAGAGATCTGCAAACAGATTTTTATCCCCACTTTAAAGATTTCTTTTTAATCATTACCTCCTTGCTGGATACCCAAGACACAGAATTGTTGGAGTGGGCCTTCACCTGTCTCTCTTACCTGTACAAGTACTTGTGGCGGGTTATGGTAAATGACATCACTGATATTTATAGGTAAGCACAACTCAGTTGTTTCATTTCCAAGGTTTGACTGCAAGAATTGACATTGTGTTTTGTTTATAAGCCAATACTTGAAGAGGTGAAAGAAATTTGCTCAGATGGATACTTAATTAAACTGCATTGAAACATACTTGAATGGTCATTTTTAAAAAAAAATGTTGAAGTGTTTTTGAAATTGTATTCATTCAAGGCTTTTATTTGATCTTGTATCACTTTTGTGTAATATACATCTATGATATTTAAGCAGTGAGAAATATATATTGCATTTAGTCTACAAGGAATACCAATCACAGTTGATTGTGTTCGTCCTTGTAACGTAACACTTGTTAAGTTCCATAAAAACAAGTTTCGGTTTAGGAAAATGGGGAAACATTTAAAGCAAACTATCTTTAATCTCCTACCTTTACGCGTTGTTTTACGACAGAGAAAAAGTAAATCTTCAGCACATATATACTCGACATAGAATAGTGTGTGTTCTCAAACTTGCTGTATGTTATTGAAAAGTTGATTAGAATGGTTACATAAATCTTTCCTTTATATCTGCAGCTTGTACAGTTCACTCCTGGCCCACAATAAAGAGCACATTAGAAATTTTGCAGCTGAAAGTTTTGCTTTCCTGATGAGAAAGGTGGGTTCTTTGCATTGCCCATTCTAGGAATTGAATGTCGGTCTGCAAATTTAAATTGGTGTAACAATACTCTGCATTCCATTTTAGTTTCAAAGTTTAATTAGACATGATGAGAAAAACAATTGTTGTTTAGTATTATTAGTTAACTATAAACAGTATAGCCTTTTGGTTAGTTAAAAACAAATCAACCCTTTTAATTGTGTGCAGGTTCCGGATCACCATGCACTTTTCAACTGCTTGTTTATGGATTTGGAGGAGCATTCTGAGAAGGCAGAAGGAATGGGTCGATTGTTTTTTGAGATGTGTAAAGGAGTCCGAAATATGTTTCACTCATGTGCAACCAAGGTAACACTTGTAGATTTGTCTACAAAAAATTAGAAACGTATTTCCCGGATTGATCTGGGATGTTAATTAGATTCCTCTACTGGGAACAGGCTGTTCTTTTCCAAGGAATTCGAGAAGAATTTGAATCAATAAGACCAAACTACTGCACTGATATACTGTATTACTGCATTAAGTGTTAGTCTGGCTCAATTAATAACACACGTACCTCTGAGTCAGAAGTTGTTGGTTCAAATCCTACTTTAGGAGATTGAACTCACACAGTTTAGGCTTATGCTCCAATATAGTATTTGGAAGTGCTGCATTGTTGGAAATGTCCTCCTTCGGATGTGAAGTTAAGGCAAGGTCCTGTCTGCCTGTTCAGTTGCATGAGTGCCTGAAAATAAAGTGTTTTGATCAAATCCACGTGCTGCTACAATTCACTAATTAAGCATCTTTCGGACGAGATGTTGAATCAAGATCCTTTCTGCCTTTTTGAGACGGAAGATAAAAATCCTTTGAGGTATTCACAAAAAGACTGGAATTTCTCTCGTTTCTTTTTGATGTTTTGTTTCTCTTACTTGGTGTAACAGAGCACAATGCACAACTCAATTATCTTTTACTTTTTTTAAATAAAAAATAGGTTTTCCCCATCATCTTAAAAAAAATGGGACCTGTTACAGAGACCAGTGTGGTATTACCATGGATTACTGTGGGAGAAGCAGTTGGACACATGGCAAAGGCATCTGCATCTTACATCTTCAAGGAACACTTAGGTTTACTATGGAGCTGTTTGCAAGTAAGTTGATGAAAGAGTCAACTTCCTGGTGATTAATCATAACGTTACTACTCTTTAAATGTCAATACTGTATTTGCAAAGAGAAGGGAGATCTTCTCGTGCGCTGAACAAGTCCTTCAGGTAAATAGGTCATTAGCTTCACGGCTGATTGTGGGATCGTGGCGCGTGCAAGTTAGCTGCCACATTTGCTTGTAAATACACAATCATTACATTTAGCAGCAATTATCTGTGAAGTGTTTTGAGGCATTCCAATAAGAGGCATTGTATCAAATAGAAAATGAAAATGTTTATTATACTGACTTCATTGTCTTTTTTTAAAGTAACTCAGGCTTAGAATACAGTCTTATGTATTGTTTTATAAGGAAACAATGTGTGTTTGGATGATTTAATATTAGATATACTTGGCTGAGAGGCTGTATAATTCCTGTGGAGTGGCCAACAATCAATCAAAATGCTTCAAATCAATTTAATGTCAGTGTGAGCTATTTTTTTAATTATGCAGGATTTCAAAATAGAGAGAGTCATGAGTTACATGTGGTCTACGTCTTGTTATTTATTTTAAAATCATAAAACGTGCTGATAGTTTTTAAATGTGGTTTTAAAAAAAAAGTAATTGTTCATAGGAGAATGTTAATCATGAAAAAAAAGAACATTCATGACCCCATTATGAATTAGAAAATGTTTTTCATGTTTTTAAAGTTTGAATAATGAATAACGTTTCTGTAATTTGCAGAATTGTGTTCTGGAATTGTGTGAAAACTTAAACAATGATAATCTCAGCGAAGGTTCGGAACAATTAGAGCGATTGCTGCAGATCTGCCTTCACCTGCTTGAACATGGACAGGGATCTAAGGTTACTGATCCCGAGATGTTTTGTGAGGTGAGTGACTGTTTGCCCTTCCCTCACTAAAAAGGTATATAATCAGTTTTGTTGCCATTTCAACTCTTCGTCTTCTTTCTCCCTCAGATGTTAATAAGAATGTTACAGAATTCGCAGCTCCCTGCTCCGTGCTGTAAGACCTTGCTGAAAGTAATTTCAACACTGCTGCTGACTGAGCACATTTCACTGCCAGAAACACTGATTGAAGAAACTGCTGGAAAGGTTATTTGTTTTTTTATATTGTACAAAATGCTAAAAAGTTCAATTTCTTTGGGGAATAAGTTTGATTCCAATTCCAGGTTTTGGTACTCCAGACGTACAGGGAATAAATTATTTGCATAGAATAAATTATTTACCTAGAAAGAATGCACAGCACAGAAACAAGCCACTGGGCCTAACCAGGTTGTGCCGATGTTTCTACTCCACATGAGTTTAGACTGATATGGAATACTGTACAGTCGCTCACTTCATACACGCTGAAATAATATTTTTCTTTATTTTCCAGTAATCATGAGTGCTTATTCTGTTGCAGATTTTCGAAAGTGGATTTGAGAGGGTGTTGATTTTGGATTTCTCAGAGGAGATGTTTAGCATGAAGCAGTTTGAACAGGTAAGTTTGTGGCACTCTGCCTCCAATTTGTTTTGCATCTCAGAGCTTTCCTTTTCTCCTGATCAAGTTGATTCTGCCTAAGTGGATTCTTGATTCAAGGAAAATCACTTTCTAGTCACTCACATTGAATAGTATTTCTGATCTGATGATCCAAGCAAATGTTGATCCTCAATCATCCTTGTTTCCGTAAGCACAGTAAATACAGCCAACCACTGTCAAATTTCAGCCACTTTTCAAAGATCTAATCACTTTTCTGTATATTATTTAAGTGCTTCATTTTTGTGATTAAATTACCGAATGAAGGATTGATGGGTTGTGGTACAAAGTCTCACCAGACAGTCCTCACAATATGCAGGATATTGCACTGGTGCAGTATATCATAAACTGCAACAGAGTATTCATTTTCACATATTTGGACTGGTTATTCCCGAGTTATTCCTATCACTTCTGGAAATGCTTTTTGACATGGAAAATAGCAACACATTATAGTTGTATACAGCCTTTCACGTCGGGAGGATGTTACAAAGCACTGAATAAAATAATTGTTGATTCTATTTTTTTATGTGTAATAATGATTCTCAGTGTTATGTACATTACAATGATACCCAAACAAAATAATGTAATTGTTCAGTTCAGTTTAAGGATATTACTATCTCAGGAATATAATGAGCTTTGTAAATGCAGTGAATCTTAGACAAAATGAATCCTTAACTTGCTAAAGATAGTCATGATAGTACAATTATACTGAACTGTTCTTTTCAAAGATGTGTAAGCATCTGGTCTTGCAATCAAATGAAGTGCTAAAGCAACCGAAAGCTGTTCTGGACAGGTTAGGAATAATGGAATAAAAGCTCTTATTTTTGTTATGGGGATCTGTAATTACTGAAGAACACTGTTAATGTGTAATTGTTTTACACTGCGGTCAGCAGGATGTTAAAATAAACTATTAACTAATTAGGTTGCTAATTAACTTCTGGCAAGCAGTAATTCAAAAAGTGTTTTAAGTTTCTGTATGTAAATTGACTACTGTGTTCGCCTACAAAATACAGTCATACAATTTATTTTACCTTATGAGCGCTTTGAGACATTCTCCCGATGTGAAAGATGCCATATCAAAATTAAGGATTGTTATTATTTCGTTATTGTTGGCCCTTTTTCTTCATTAAAAAAAAATTCAGTTCTAATAACCATTACATTTGTTATACCACCTTTTATGTTGAGAGGATGCCGCAAAGCATTTCATAGGATATCCTGTAAAGTGGCATTTGATGGTTTGTGGGAGAAGACTGCAGTCGATTTCTGCACAGCTCAATGATTGTTATAAGAATGAATGTGTATTTTATAAATGCAGGAGAATAATGAGTGAATTTCAGGGTAGATTTAGCCAAAAGACATCTGTTAAGTGTGTGAAAATTAATTTATTTAAAATGATCTTCTAATCATGATCTTAATACCAGGTGTGAAGCATTATTTGTATTTCAATAAGGGTTCAATAAAAGCCTCGTTTTTTTTATTGTGGATTGCAAATATTTTTGCAACTTATTTCAACATAATAAGGTGTCAAATAAAATGCATGATTATTTCGTTATTATTTTGGCAGTTTTAGTAGGACTATTAGACCAATACTGATTTAATGACTGTGGAAATGAGAGTTTTATGAATTTTAGTTTCCTTCAATACCTCAAGAATAATCTGAAAATTAATGAATAGAAGCTTTCAAACTGGTACAGTTGGTAGCATTCTCTTAGTCAGAAGACAGTGGGTTCAACCCCCTCGTCAGGACTTGGAACTACTACAGTCTAACATGACACTCCATTGCAGTGCTAGGGGTGTGCAGCATTGTTGGTGGTGCCATCATTCAGATGATACGTTAAACTGAGGCCCCGTCTGACTTTGCAGGTGGGCTTTAATGATCTCTTGGCACGGTTCAAGAAGAGAAGGGAGGTTCTTCTTTACAATGGCCTGGCCAACAATCCATCAAATAAAATTGGTCATTCGCCTTAAAGCTGTTTGGGGGACATTGCTGTGCATAGCTGTCACGTTTGCTCATAAAATCACTGTCGTGACACTTTACAGTATATTCTGTGAAGCGCTTTGAGACGTCCTCCCAACGTGAAAGGTACTATAACTCATGTAAGGATTATTATTATTTTTGTTATAGAAGATGTGTAATTCCAGAGGAACGTTGCCATATAATTGTTTTACATGTTTTACAGTTATTGCTGCCCAGCTTACTGGAATATATCGAACAATGCTTTGCAATGGATAATACATCTGCTAGGAAAGGCGCACTGGAACTGTTAGTTAAACTGATTTTGACCAAAGCTGAACCGCCAACTATTGGATCAATGGCATTTGAAAAGTATCCCCTCCACTTTACAGGACGGACACAGGAGTAAGTACAGCAACATCAAGCTTTATGATGAAACTGGGCAATACTGAAGGAGTCCTATTATTTTTAGATATTGTAAAGTCATAATATATTGGATAATTCATTTTGTTTTATAGCAATTATTAACTCTTAATAATTGAAAAACTGTGGCTCATGTCTGCTCCCCAAATCAGGTATTTTACTTAGCAAACATTTTGAATTGTAAGATTTAGAAAACATTAGCTGTTCAGAAAGCTCTTTGTTATTTGCTTTCCAATTCTTTTGCAACATATGAAAGAATAATAATCCTTACATTTGGCATGTAAGGAGACTTCTTAAAGAGCTTCATGGGATATATGGAAATTATTTTTTACTATGAAATTCGTAAAGGGATTAACACTGCAGATTTGTTGTTTGTCTTAATCCTGAAACATTCAAAACTTCAGAAAGCCTCGAAACATGTTATACTCAAACAACTTGTATGGAAATAGAAGAAAACAGTAATACATTCAGTCTACATTTTACATCTTCCAGTTCTAACCTGAAGAATCTGAGGAATTCAAATGGAGGACAAGTTACTTTGGTTTTAGATTATATTTTATCTTTACTTGATCTGCCTGAAGATGGGAGTATGTCCGATCTTTCAAATCCTTGGGCTGCCCTCATCATTCTTCCTCATATCAGGTATGTAATCTAATCTCTACGTACCTTGGTTTGGGAACTAAAGAACATTGTTTGTAATTTGTTCAAAATTTTCTTGCAGACCGATGAAAACAGAAAAAGTACTGTCCTCTGTTAAATTGCTTCTAGATAATCTGCTGACATCTATTGAGAACAGTGGTACTGCAGGCAAAGGTTAGATTGGTGCTTAGTAATTACATTATTACTTCTTTATTATTCAATAATAATAATCCTTACAACATTTGATGTATCGCCTTATTACGTTGTTGAGACGTCTCAAATCCTTGCATTAATGCATAGACATTGACGTAAAATAGCCTCTTATAACAGGATTATATGCTGCCTTTCTCCTGTTGGTCTTGGCCCTCCTACTTCAATGCTGCTTTTATACTGCAAGGAGAAAATCGGTTTACCTCCCTGCAGTATAATTACATAGAACAGGAAGCCAGATGTACACTTCTTTGCCTATGTCTCATTTTGAAGCAGACTCCAAAAACAAGCCATAGCTTGTTGCCTTGCTCACGTGGATCTTGGATGCTGTTTTTTATTAATACTATTATTAATAGTATTAAGAGCTGCTCATACAATTCCTCAACATTTCTGAGCAGTAGCGGAATCTCTGCACTGTCTGCATTGATATTGCAGCAGTGCAAATTGATATTCTGAAGACAATCTCCGCACAATGTTTTTGGCAGCCAAACTGGAACATGATTTGCTTCCAGCTCAAATGCCTCGTACGTCAGGTTTCTATAAACCGGAGTACGTCAATGGAGCGTGGGCAAGTGAGCTCAGTACTATAAATGAACTGTAAATGTGGCAAACACTGAATTTAAAATTTACTTCCTCTAAAATTGCCGCCTCAAATTACAGGGATCATGGCCAAGAACACAATGTAAATTCATTGTGACTCAAAATGAATCAAGAAGTATGGCATGAATAATTCAGAATAATGATATTGTTGCAAGTGGGTTTGGTTCGTAGAAACGTACCTTAGTTTAAAGATGCAACAAATTTTGTGTTAAGATTATCCTTGACTGGTGTTTCGCTTTTTTATAGGATTGCTGTTGGTAATCCGTCAAGCAGTCAGCACCCTTTTGAATCTGACAGAGTCTGATGAAATTCTTAGCTTTCTACCTGCTGAGCGTGTAAGAAACTTGGTGAAGTGAGTAATTGTAATAGTTTTTACATTCTCTGATGAGGTTGAAGTCTACATGGTCTTAGGTCCATGTATTGTTTATTTAACGATTGACACCTACAGATGTCAGGAAGAATTAAATTTTTTAAAAAAGTAATGATCCTGCAGCCACTTTTTACTAGTAAAAGTATATAGTATTACAGTATGAACTGCCTCCAGTAAGACTAAAAGAAAACTATTAAAACTATTACAGTGGGAACCTGCATGTTTTGGGCTGATTCTGTGATTGCTCTTAAATTCACCAGTCTTGGTAGATGAGCATTTCTGATTCTATACTATTCAGTAGTTTTACTGTGCAGCAGAAAATAGTTCCTTGTACGTTTAGACCATAACATTCTTAAATATCATGCTGTTTGGTGTTTCAATAAAAAGTAATCATCTGGCCTGCAGATGTGATAAAAAGATTAAAAGATGTGAAATAATGAAATTGCTTCTGAAGCATTTTATCCAGGTCTGTACAGTATTTTCATATTTGTCTTTTCAGAAAATCTCCGTCAGATATCTCAGCTCTTCTGTTAGGGGACCTTTATTACACCCGGCTGGCTGTATGTGGCTGCAAAGATTTACTTTCACAAGAGGTTTTGCTTGACTTGTTTAAGGAACTTGAACAAAATCTTTCTACAAATGTATCAAAGGTAATGTAATTAGTCTGTTTAAAAATCATTCATTCAGATTCAAAGACTCCTTAATTTGAATTGTACTGTTTAGATTTGTCCTGTGCAATTCTGTTTCTTCTTGTTTTTCTAATAACATTGAAAGTCACTCTTGACTGATAGTGTTTTCTATTATCAAAGTCTAATCCAAAATTTCTGTGAGATTCTGTTTGAGTTGGCACTTTGATTTGACTTCCTATACTGAGAGGAAACAATCAAGTTACAAAACTTATTTTTTCGAAAAGTGGACTAAGGTTCTTGTAATTTCTTTCGGAAAACATAACAATTTTTTTTCTTTAAAAAGCTCTTCAACTTCTAACCTGATTTAATTTCTGTTCCTTTCTCTTTAATAAGACATTTAATTGCTTCTGGGAAAGTAAGGTTGTTTACTCGTTTTGCGGTTTGCTACTGTGAGTGAAATATGAATTTCAGAAGCTGTGCATGTGAAGTTGTTGATGAATTTGTGCAACACCTCAAGATTGGAATTCTTCACCTCTGAGGTTTTTGAAACTAAAGCTCGGTGTCCCTTATGTACAATTTGATTCATCCCTTCTTTACTGGTGTCACCTCTGGTGCTTCCCTAAACTGGATCTTTGTCGTTCATCTAGAATTCTCAAGAAAAACGATACAAGATTTTTTTGGTTTGCTGTACAGCCTACATTTGTTTGTATGCAACAACAACAAATTACATTTGTATAGCGCCTTTCTCGTCGGGAGGAATGACAGTTATGAATCTCACTTCTAGTACATTATGTAATTCATTCATGATTTTTTTTACACACTAGGTGCGACTACTTACACTGCGAATCCTGAATCATTTTGAAGTCAAACTTACAAAAAAAGCAGAGGTATGGATTTTGAGAACAGCGTATGTAAACGATGCACTAAATGTTGCTCAAAACGAATGTAACTATACAAATATAGCAACCCACAAATGCTTTTGACAGAATATTATAAATTAAAGGTCTAATTTTGTGTGTTGTGTTTATACCTTTTCATGAATATAATTTGTGTATTAAGTAGAGTGGAACCACTTGTTCTAACACATTTCATTACATAATGGGGTTGATAATGTGTTATAAAAGAAGCAGCTTGTTAAAACCCAACAAAAACAAATCCCTGAAGCTGAACTCCAAAAATGGTGTTTGATTTTTCAACCCAGGTTCAATGTGATGTCGAGGAAGCGTAAATCTAAACTCCACATTTCTCCATGGGGAGGAGTGGGAGTGATGTTAGGTGGCTTTAATCCCAGCTGTAAAACAGTGTTTAATTAAATTGCTGAAATATGTCACATTACTGTCAACAAAAACAACTTGCATTTATGTAACATCCTTTACATAGTATAACATCTTTGAGTGCTTCGCTAAGACAGAATCAGGTTCCGAGCAAGGGAGAAGATGGAGATGACAGTACGCACAGTCAAAGAGATAGATGTTTAGTCGGGATTTAAAGACATAGAGGGGAGTTCTGGAGTTAAGGGCTGTAAGAGCTGTAGTAGGGGAACATAATAGCTTATCAAGGGATAACGGAAACACTTTGAATGTGTATGAATCTTTCATTCAAATTAGTTTGTAACCTTGATTATTGAATTGTTATGAATCACAAATCTGTTTTTCATGTACAGGATGATAATGCTGGAGATTTTCAATCTGTGTTTGCGATTTTACTTCAAGCTGAACTTGTCCCTGCAACTGTTCATGACTACAGAGAGAAATTGTTACATCTGCGGAAACTAAGGCATGATCTAGTACAGCCATGTATACCAGAAGGGCCATATCAAGTGGTAAGGGATGAATATTAAGAAATATATATTCAATAAAACTCCAGTTTTGTAACATTATAACAATGTCTATGAATATATATTGTATTTATATATATATATATATTCATGGTTAGGTTGCCAGTTGTAGCAGTGAGTAATGGAAGCTAGTAAAACTAGGATTTATAATGTTGGGAATGGAGGATTGATTTTTATTTTTTCTGTTTTTGTCATATTGATTATTATTTTTATTTTATATGACAAATCAGGGCTAGGGATTTGCAATGGGAGAATGCAAGATAAAGACACATTGACAATCATCATAATTTGCCCACATTTATTGCTTATTTAAAAGCACGCGTTTCCAACACCCATTGTTCCTCTCACTCCAAACAGTTTTTTGGTTCCTTCCTCACCTTTGGACCCTGCTATACAACAATATTTTGTAAAGTTTTGTATCACTACTTGTATCCTTGCATTTCCAGGTTCCTCTTTGGTATTTGATAGGGATGCTTTACATAAATTTCAGTCCCTTGTGGGATCCTGTCGTGGAGCTTATTGTGTAAGTATGTTACAAATTATTATAGTTGTGATTCAGTTTATGGGGCTTAATCCCGTTGCGGATATGAAAATATAACTGAAAATGTTTTTATATAAACTGTATGGTTTGGGTTTCAACCTGCATTTATTTTACATTAAATTAAGATCTTTATTTTTGAGATAACTGGTGCAAGATACTGTATGTGCAATTTTAAGTTGCGAGTTTTTTTCATAGCTTTTCAGTCTCTATTTGAAGTGTTTTGTTAATGTCATAAAATGCATTGCTATATTGGAAGTCTTCTTACGTTAAATCATTTACATGGGTGGCTGTAATAGGTTACATTATATTAAAATGTAGGTAATCAACTTAGATCATTGTACAGTTTTTATATATTTTGTTTTCCTTTCCAGTTCTCATGCAAATGAAATGGAAAATAAAACATTCTGGCAAGTATATTATGAACATTTAGACCGAGCAGCTATTTTAACAGGTAGGTTAAATTTATTGATTGTGTGTTGGATACTGTGCAGAAAATATCCCTGTTATATACCTCTATTCATACCTTAGTGATTCTGTTAAAATGTCACAAACTAGATTATCAGTCTTTGTGGGCATTACATCAAACAGTACTAAAATGTAGCATTAAATTACACAACAGCACTGAAAAATGGCAGTGCCAAATTCAGGAAAAATTTGACTGACTACATATTTTGCACCAATGGCTGAGTTTAAAGCTAATCTAGTGAAAGCTTTACAACACTTAAGGGATGAAAAATTCTTCATGTCACTAAATGTCACAACACTGACTGTACAGCGAGCAGAAACTCAGGCAGAATGATGTTAATACACATCATAAATATTGCAGCACATTGCAACTTAAGGATTTTTTTCACCAGGAAAAAATAAGCTGTTGTTATTTACCCTGGAGTTTTTGATAGTTCAATCTTCCTATTACATTAAAACCTTGTAACTTCTTTTCATTGATTATTCTGTATTTTAGAATTTTATTCAATCATAAAGCAGATCTCACTGTGCTATATTCCAATTTAGTGTCAATGTACCATAAGTAATGAATGATTTTGAGAGATCTCTGGAATTCTGCGTGGTATGCTTCACTAGTTGTATCTTAAATAGTTTGAAGGATCACCTGCCCAAAATGTCCAAAATGTAGCTCCTTATAATGATAACAATAATAATCCATTTGATGTTGTGCCTTATGTCGTTGAGACATCTCAAAGCGCTTCTCAGGAAATACTGTAACGTGGATTGATTGTATTCTCGTGGGTGAAATGCAGCAGCCAGTTGCGCACAGCAATATCCTACAAACAGCCATTGAGTGAGTGATAAACTTTATTTTGGGGATTGTTGATTAGGATTCGGAGAAACTCCCTTCTCTTTTTTCGAAAAGTTCCATGGGATCTTTAACATCCACCTGAACAGGCTGATGGGACTTTGGTTTAAAATCTCATCGGAAGGACAGCAATGCAGCACACCTCCAGCACTACATTGGAGTGTCAACTTAGACTATGTGATTCCAAGCGCCAAGGGCTTGGAAGCCCCAAAGCCTCTGACACCAAGCTTATTGTGCAATTAAACTAAACATGTGTCATGTCTTATTATTTTAACAGAGAATGAACTAAAACATGAATTGGGAGAAGAACGAGACAAAAAGCCGATCCAAGATAGCGAGAGATTCCAATTGGATAGTTCAACAGGATTGTTCCAAGATCAACTGGACTTAGCAATCAGCTCCAATGATAGAACTCAGTTCGACAACTTCCGATTCCTATTATGGAAGGCAATGGCTGAATTTCCTAATAGAGTTGAACCTCGATCAAGGGAACTCTCTCCTTTGCTTCTGAGATTTATTAAGTACGTTCTAGAAACGTTTGTCAAAATATTTGATGTTAAAGCAAGTTTCACATACCTAATGATGGAATCAGATAGCCTAAGTAGAGTTTCAGTTGAAACTATGAAGTTAATAATAGTGGGAAATGCAAACTGATTTCAAATGTAAAATACGCAAGATTTATTGATAACTATAAAATGTTATGAGCGTGGTTTTCATTTCGGGTAAAATATATGGACTAAAGTAACTAGATTTTGCTGCAATTTAAAAGGCAGGTGCACTTAAATAACCAAGCAGGCAAGTTTAAATAATCAGTTTTTGGTCTATTCAGCAATGAGTATTACCCAGCAGATTTGCTGGCAGCCCCCACTGAGAACATTAAGAAAAAAATGCATGATGATGAGAAGATGGTGACTGCAGAAGAACAGGAGGATACATTTACGAATAACAATGGCAATAAGCCAAAAGCTTCTGAAGCAAAGTTTCCTGGAGGAAGGAGGCCGAGGAGGGCTGCTGTAAAGTAAGTATACTAAGCATTTCTGGAGTGCAGCAACCTCAAATTAATAAGCTTTGCTTTTGGTTTAGCATCTGTAATACTGACATGTATCAAAGTGCTTCACAGGGAATTATGTCAAGTGCACTGATTACATTTTGTAGGCACACCCAACATAAATTTGCACACAGCACAGCTGAACCAAATGCTATAAAGTTACAACAGCTCAAATATGCTTATTTCCTAAAATACCAATGTAAAATTGTGCTTGTGTATGACTCTCCACAAAAAATTTAAAATTAAGTATGAAAAATAAACTTGTACGCTGCATTTGTTGCTACTGCTTGATTACCCTCAGAGCAGGTTCAATAAAATTATCCTGATCACTAGCGTAACAGTTAAATAGTATTGAAGAAAATATTAAAATGTAATAATGAGTTACTGTGTTGCTCTGAGTTACTGATATTCTTAATGGTTGCATTTTTCTTTTCAGTATCTAAACCTGTTGCAGTAATGTAGTCCTCGTTGAATAATTGCTCATTGAATCTCCCAGTTATGTTCAGTTCAGGTGACTTTATCCATAGCATGGGGTGTTTTTTGTGACTTGGACCACATAGTCTTTGAATTTTAATCAGTTGTGAACATTTAATACCCATTCAAACAAACAAAATGCATCTATCACAAAAGTAGAGTTCAGCTTCAGTTCAACGCATCACCTTTCCTCTTTCTGATACTGACCAGAGGAGAGGTTTTTTTGTATTAATATTTCTGCCTGATGGCAAGTAAGTTGTTTAGGAAAGCATATTTAGCAATCATTCATTCAGCTTGCCCATCAAGAATAATGAATGGGTTGTCATTCAGGTTAACAACAATCTGACATTCTCGTTTGAAGAATGGGATCACTTGGTGCTAATCTGGAATATCTGATGAATTACTCAATTTTTTCTCAGTCCTGTTATTTTGAAAGTGTAGTATTGATCTACTATAATTATCCTTTAGAAATGAATGTCATAGTTGCAAAATAAACATATTTATTGCAATGACTTAGCTTATAAACACAAGAGTTTACAGTAAATCCCTTGAAGTGTTTTGAGACACTGTGACAAGGTGCTATGTCAAATTCGAGGATGATTATCATTATAACAATTATTTTAATGATCTACCATCTGTTAGTTTGTAATCTCACACCTAGTTTATATTGGACTATATAAACCCAATGTAGGTCAGGTGTGAGACATGTGATCTTCAGGTGACTGGTTGCTGAGACCAGGTGTGAGCTTGAAGAAGAGAATATATCATTCCAAGATACAATGCTTATGCTATTTTGTCTGAATAACCGTTTCCGTAGAAGTTAACCATGTTGGAATCCAGGAAAAGCAAGAGCAAGTGGCATATTCCACCCCACAGGATGGTTTTATGTTGTTTCAATATATTTATTTATTTAATATATTTAATTTTTCTCATATTTAAAATCCCATTCTTGTGTTTATTTACTTACAGACAACTTATTGTTCATCTGAAAGTTTTCTCTAAATTTACCAACCCACATTCTCTTTACCTGGAACCCAAGTTGAAGGAGTTGTACACTCAGGTATTTTATATAAAACTGATCTAGTTCATGACTCACAATATGTTTAATACAATCTGTATTACTATTAAATGTTTATTTTGTTTGTGTTTTTCCCTATTTAGCTTCTGTGCCATCAAAATCAGGATGTGCAGAAAATTGCCTTGCAGTGTCTCTCCACCTACAAATACCATTACCTGGTACCTTATAGGTAAGATGTCTGATGATGTCTCTAAAATAAATTATACAATAATAAATAAATGATGCATTTTGATAGAATTGTGTTTTTGTTTTACTTCTAGTGCACTTGAAAGTCAATTTAAGCTTTATAAAACATAATCCATCCATTAAATTGATCCCAGAAAGTATTTTGTAATATAGTATCCAGCAGTATTTTTTTAATTCTGTGTGTAAAATGCATCATGGATCTCAATGTAACAGAATTTTTCTCACAAAAAGAAGTTCGGTCTTAAATCGTTGACAATGATGTGTATTAAACATTCTTTTATTTTCTCTGTTTCTTTCCACCTGCAAAATTATATTATAAGTTTTGCGGAACTTGTAGCTTCCAGATATGCGCTTTTAAAACATTTGAAGGCTGTTCTTATTCATGGGTAGAGTTCTAGAACTAGTTCAGATGAGAATTTACTGAATTGTAACGATAGGAATTTGCTTAGTTCGTTGCTTGATGCCGAACAAGATAGAACATAAAAGTTCAGTATAGCCTTATGGTGCAAAGACATGCCACCAGAACTGCAGGAAAGAATCATCAATGACTAACTGGAAAGCTAAGTAGCTCTCAGGGTGTGTGTGTGTATTTGTCACTGAAATTATATCTGTTATGGTAGAAAAATAGAAACTGCTGTTTGTAAGCATGATAAAAACACATGTCGTATTAAAGCATTTAATTCTCTGTAATAATATAATTTAGTGGATGTGGCATTCTTCCCAGTGTAACTTAATGATTTATAAGTGTGGGATTGAGCATATAAAATAAAATGTGTTATCAACTTGATAATTTGCCAAATATCACCAAACACCAAGAACTGTGTTCCTTGTATGCAAAATATCCAAGCAATTGTAGTTTAACATGGGTTTTCGGTTTGTCCTGAGTTGCATCATAACAATTCGTACAACATGGTTTATTTCCTCTGGGTCCATGTGCACATTGGAATTTTTGTTTTATATTGTGCTCTTCATGGCAACCCGCCATGAAAACTTTACTGAGTTGCTGTGAAAGTCATGTGTAAGTTGGGTGGAAGTTGCAGCCACAAAATGGTTTGCGCTAGAGCTGATTTCACCAGGATATCGATTTGCAGTTTCAATATAATTCAGACAGTGCAAATAGGTTTGGCTTCCATTCAAAACCGGTTCCTTAAAAGCCCTTCAAGCACTTCACTTCAATGATGTCTGGGCCTTGGCGAGCATAATTTGAAGTCGTAAATATGAATCCTGCTCTCTCCTCCAAATCGTTGTAAGTGATGGGAATCACCTTCCAGTAGTTTAAGCTTGCATAAGGTTTACTGCAGACCAGTGAGTTATAGACCAAGTTTCTGAGTGGTGAATTTTTATGCTGATCAGGAGGTTGAGGTCTTTGAATGCATGTTTATAAAATGTGTATCTGCCGTTAGTTAAGCATTCTTGGATGCTATCTCGCGTGAAGGGCGCTATATAAATGCAAGTTGTTGTAGTAGTTCAGTTGATAAGATTTAAAAATTTTAATCAGACAATTGTGCATTAAACAACTCTCGGGGACATGAGCCAGTACATTGTTCGAACTGCCTTGACGAGGATTTGCTTTTTTGATCAGATGTTAAACCCTGTAATTGTCCTGATTTATGATAGAATATTGTGGAATCAGTAATTTTCTTGCTTACATCTCTCAAAATATCTCCCCATTGACTCTCCACTAGTTCTCAGTAAATCAGTGCAAATCCTTTTAAACTTCCTCAGCCCTCTTTTGCAAAAACCTAATGTTGTCACAAATGATTATCTATACCCGATACAACTCCCTATAAAATTGAAAGAAGCACTTGTCCCATAATGTGGGGGACCCTTAATGAGCAACATTTTATTGGTTTCCACAAGTTTGCAATCAAGAACTGAATTGTACAGAGTGCAAAAATGCAACAAAACTAATTTTTGAAATAATTTATAATTTGTAATTCTATGGAGTCACAATTTTATGAAGAAATTTAAGGTTGGGGAAAAAGCTGCCATTATTCATTTTATAATTTGTATTAGTGGAATAAATCTTAATTGCTTTGTTCTTTCAGAGAAAACCTTGAGAGACTATTGGAAGACAAGAGTTTTAAAGAAGAAATCATCCATTTCAGCATTGCAGAGGAGACTACCATTGTGAAGGTCTCACACAGACCAGAGCTGATTCCCATTATCATGAGGTAGTCAAAATACAAGTTACATATGCTTTTGTTTATTTCCTCTTTTCATTCAGGAAATGTTCACTTAATCCGATGAGATTACAACAGGTAAATGAGGGAGACGAGTTGAGGAACACATGCATATATATATGTGTGTGTGTGTGTATATATATATATGTGTATAATTCTAGCTTCCATTTCTTTATAAAATAACTATTAGTGTTTGAAGTCTTATTTTTAAAAAATGTTAAAATGTTTGCATTCGTTGTAATTTTATGAGTTCTATACTGTATTTTCACTCACTTTGTATGGACAACATTATATTTGGCTCAGTATATGATCGGAATAATATCTCTGAAAATCTGAATAAAGTTGTATTAATTCTCAACAGAATTAAACAGAAGTATCCAGTACAAAATAGTTTTGTTCTAAAGTTCTACCCGTCTTGTAAGGAACAGCTTGATACGGTGATGGGAGGGCCATGGGGTGGGTTTTCTGGAAGAATGAAATCAAATGGGCCAAAAGGCCTTCTTCGTTCGAACCAACCTTGTGATTTGTCATTGTGTTTTTGTAAGAATACTTTATGGACGTATGAGGAGTAAAACTGGCGCTAAAACCCAAGGCAAAGCAGCAGCAGGCACACGAATGTCCATCGTTCTACAATTTCTGGCTGGTTCTCTACCGGAGGAGATGCGAGTGTTCCTGAATTTACTCTTTGAACCAGTGAAGCAGTTCACTCAGGGTATGGAAACAACTCAATTGAATGATATTTAAAGCTGTTATCTTGTTATGTAAGGAATGGTCTCAATATGCTCTTTTGTCATCCCTATTAGAAATAATAGTGTACCTCTGACTTAATGTAGAATTTGTAATGTAAATGTTTATAATCCTTTTAAAGTGGTTTAGGCTGCTGTCTTTTCTCATTTTTAAATCCGCTCTTAAAAATACTGTAAGAATGAGCAAATATTTCCTTGGTTCTTTTCAAGTTTATGTAACTGGAATAAAGCAAAACAAGGAGGATGTTGCATTTGAGTTCAGGAAAAATCTTAAGAGACAAATTAATAGAAAATTTAAAGAAGAAATATAAAAACACTCCAATTATGTTGATGTGAGAACTTGCGGTGGCTTTGTGAGTACTGTGGCCCTGAATATGACAGCATTGGATTAACGTATCCAATTATGGCACAGAAGCTTCATTTTTTTTAGAAAATCTTTTTGTATTTAAAACAGAAAATACAGTCACTACACTTTACAGTATATGTTGTGAAGCGCTTTGAGACGTCTTGAAGTCGTGATAAGGCTCTATTAAATGCAAAGATTATTCTTATAAAACAGGCAAATTAAAAGCTTTATGACAGCAAGAGCAGTGTTTCAGGTTGAGGAAACAAATAGTGTACTCAGAGAATCTTTAGCTTTGCTTGATTTTTTTTCCCTAGGGACGTGTCTGCCTGCAGTGTTACGAATACTGGAGGATCTGGATTTAACAAAAATCCCATCTCTAGGACGTCAGCATAGTTTATTAAATGGCATTGAAGTTGTGATGAAAAAGATGAGCCATCTGATCGGTGATTATCTGCCTGAGCTTTTGCAGATTTTGTTGTGCACAACGGCATTAGTATCTCAAATACTTGAACTGAGAGACCAGGTAAGCACAACATTATGGTGTCAGCCTGATTCAATTGATGTCAGCCCGACTTGGTTGGTAGCACTCTCGCTTCTAGTCAGAAGGTTGTGGGTTCAAGCCACACATTTGTACTCTGTGCTTGTAGTGTAGGCTGATACTTCATTGGGTTGCTGGGAGGTGCTGCATTGCCTAGAGGCGCTGTCCTTTGGATGAAGCATTAAATTGAGGTCCTATCTACCTTTTCCGGTGGACATTAATATTCCCATGCCACTATTCAAAAGAGAGAGGGGAGATTCTCCAGGCATAATAATCAAGGCAACTCACTCAGCTGAATAGTGGAAGTTTGAAGACTGCAGCACTACCTCTGCATCTCAGTCACAGTGAGAAACTACGTTGTTTTTTTTACCTGAAGTAGGGATTGCATATCCTCCGTATAAATACAATATAATGTAGTTTCAGAAATATGTACTTTTCTTACATAAATTCTTCGTTTGACAGAAAACATTTAAAAATAATTAATAGGAAGAAAAATGCAATTTGTTACCATGCTTAGAAGGATTAAACACCAAATCTATTATTTTGTTATAATTTAACCTTTTGTAATTGCTTTAATCTGTATCTATAACATGATGTTCTTCCTGGAACTGGCTTTAAATCAGTGAAAAGAAGCTGAATTCTAAGCCCTGAGTGAATGGTATGGCACGAGTGAGTAAGCCCACAAGCACATGCTGAAGACTTGGTGCAATGCAGTGCTGAAGATCTTTGAGAATAATAAAGTACAACAGCAGAACAAGAAAAAAGGGAGAGGTTGAAAACAGTAATTTTCCTCCCAGCAGATTAAAAAAACATGATAAATCCATAAAGAATTAACCAATTAATTTAACACTTAAAAATCAAATCAGTGTTTGAGACATTAATGGACAATTTGACGTGTTTATCTAAATATATTTTGGTACGTCGTGAGTATGAAACCTTTTCACATTTAAGATATCCTCTACTTACGTTCAGCTTGTTAGAAATATATCATTAATGGGCAAATCATTCAGTGGCTCAGGGCAATTGGTAATGAAATTGTATTTTCCTATAATTTGTAAGAACATACAAATTTATCAATGGCATGAAAGTGTGTTTTGAATCTTTCATTTTCAATCAGGAGGGTAGACAATGCAGCTATTTCTCGATTTAACTTCCAAAGTGACCTGATGCTATCCTCTGGGGTAAGTGGGTAAGCTCCTTGGAGCTGAGCTAGCCTCCCAAGGTGACCCAACTTTCGGAATCAAGTCAAACCCTCTGTGGCGGTCTCAGTAGACCAGTTCCGAGCCAGGCAGGTCCACAGTACTTCAAAGCAACAACAACAACTTGCACTTATATAATAATAATAATCCTTGCATTTGATATAGCGCATTTCACATCTTCTAGATGTCTCAAAGCGCTTCACAGAATATACTGGAACATGAATTGGCTGTATATTTGTGGGTGAAACGTACCAGCCAATTACGCACAACAGTGTCCCTAAAGAGTCGTGAATCAAAGTGACCAATTTTATTATTGTTTTTTTTTCTTGAGGGATTATTATCAGACGTGTGGAGTAAGGAAACCTGCCCAAGGTTTCGCCCTGCCGGGAATCAAACCCGAATCTCTCACTTGTGAGGCGAGTGCTCTAACCACTGAGCTGCAGGACAACACAAAAGCGCCCTCCACACAGTCTAGTGTCTCAGAGCGCTTGTGCTGATGACAGAACTTGGAGGGGCAGACCGGTTACTGGGGATGGGGATTATTTCCTACTCAGCCCTTGTTAACCCACCAAGCTAAAGCCCTGAAAGTTAGGATGCTCCCAGCTATTTGAAACACAAATCAAAATATTGATGATCTCTTTTGTCATAGTTTATAATGTATAATTCTTAAGATATCTTTAGAACCATTAGTTAGATACAAAAAACAATAGTGCAGGGTTCTGGAATATTGTGGCACAGTCACTCGTGAAGGCCAAAGCGAAGGAGCTCTTCATCTTGACTGTCTGATTGGGACCGGTCAATCCAGTCCCTAGCAACGTGCTCCTTCACAGAAATATCTGCCCGTTTTCTCTAGAGTCATCTTCTTTGAGTTACAAACATGATGGCTTTACTAAAGTGAATCCCTCATTAAAGGTTATTCAGGATACAGAGTCCTAAACACTAATTACCCACTTGAATATTTAAGTTCGGAAAATCCAGGTTCCTACAGCTTCCACACAGCAACTTTTAAAGGCTCATTGACAACGGTTTTCTACCACCTGAAGAAGCTTAGTTAAATCTACAGCAATTACTGCTAGTGTTTGTACTAATGGTTTCAATGTTCAACAATTCGCGAACTGTCCAAATTGTGGGCTCACAGAGTCAGTGCTAATAGAAATCTGGGAGTAAATATTCCTCCTTTTTGCTGACACCAGATGTGCTCAGCCCATTCTTGTCGGCTCTCCAGTTATGGATTTTTACATTCCACTTAAAAAAAATGCTGAAGGGTGATTCATGTAATGTAATCTTCCTTTCAAAATAATAATTGGCTTGTACTTATGGGGAGGGAGTGAGTAGGAAATTGAGATTAGAGTTGATGATTTTGTTGGAGAGCTTGCATTGCACACAGCTATGTTTTTGTTCAATGTTTAACTTGATGGTCTGAATAACTTCTGTGGTATCCTAGTATTAGCTGTAGAAGCCAATACTGCACTCACAGTCCACGACTGTTTGTGGGACACTGCTGTGCGCAATTGGCTGTGAGGTGCTTTGAGACATCTCAATGAGGCGCTACATCAAATGCAAGGATTATTATTATTGTAAGATTCGTGGCCAGTTACCTTCACTGAGGGCTATTATTTGACTGGTCCAGTTTATTCTCCAGTGGATTATTAGAGTTTAAACTATCTTTCAAGTATTTGTCCAAAGCTACACGGAAGGTACTGGTTTCCAGAGTCTTGCAATTTTGCCACCTTTTTCTCATGGCCAGAGGCAGTGTTTGACCTATTGTTGTATAAACAAATGCTCTGCCTATTCCTCCTCATAAATTCAGATAAGGTTGCATGCCCTTGAAACATGTATGGCTCATCTCCATTTAATACTGTGTGGCACGCAGTCAATATTTTGGCAGTTGTTGACTGTTCTTTTCATCAACTCCCAGTTCAGTGGCAGCTTTTGTAATTTGCACCACTTTTCCTTTGGCCTTGCTTGTGTAAGGGCATGTGAAACTTTTGCCCTGCGTATATTACAAATGTGGGCTATCCATAAAGTTGACTTGAGGCAGAAGGTTCTGAGATTTAATTCCAGTGGGTCATTCAACCCATCGTGCTTTCAATATTAATATAAAGTAAGTGTCTTGTTTCTAAACATAGGAGAGGGAAGAGAGGTAGACTAGTCTGCCTGGGTATTAATTGTCCTGATGTGACAAATCTGGTGACACTGCAGATCAATCATAATTCAAAATATAATTGACAGTGGACAAGACATTTTCTTGAGTCTGTACTCCAAAGACTGAGCAGTATAGTGTTGTGCAGTTCTCAATTATTACATAAAATTAGTGTTATCATTTTCTTAAGACAAATGTTCACAGTTTATTTGTGTTTTATAGATACAGCCAAGATGCATAAACCAGCTGAAACATTTGAGACGTCTGGGAATCAATCAGATTTGTGCTTTTTTTTCTGATTTTGAGTTCTACAACTTCACAGTGGATGAGATCGATGCAGTGTTTCATGGGGTAGTCTGGCCACAGGTACAAAATAATTTACAACACTTAATTAGTGTCTTAGAACATCTGATCAAATATTTTATTGCTTTAAGCACGATGTGGCTGCCTATAGAGCTCTAATTTACAGAACGTAAATCATTTTAGCTGTACTTAAAGTTGGTTTGAACTCGGTGAAGATTGCTCTTCAAATGAAAAATAAAGCGAATGTCTTCTGCTGCCACGTGCATCACCAATAAATGTAAATACATTTTAACTCCAGCTTGTTGCATTTGCAGATCAGCAGGCTTCCCTTTGAAGGCCAGTATGCACCAACTCCTGTCCTGAAATTGATTCATGTTTGGAGTAAAAATGCCAGGTGAGATATTCAATAGTATTTTCAATGCTTCACAAAGTTGTGGCTGTTATGTTGTGTTTTCCTTTTTTAAGCTGCTTCTCTTTCTTATTTCATCTAAGCCTAGGCATGTTTTGGATATGATATTTATACTGAACAAACTTTAGATGTTTTCGTGGTGCTGTGAATGAGTTTTTCCGCAATAAATTCTCATTAAGCACTTTAATGAAAGATCTTAACATAAATCCTCATAGTTTTATGATGCATTAAGAAAGGTTGTCTAACAGCTCCTCCTGGTGGTGAATTCCCAGGGCAAATGTTGCAGTAGTTTACTGGTTTTGTCTGCATTTACTTCTAGGTATTTTCCTATTCTTGCTAAGCAACGAGAAGATCACCCAGAGGATGATATTCTGGCAAATGTATTTGCTTTACTCTCAGCTAAGTACATAGCAGAACCAACAGCTGCTATTGTTTTGGATATTGTTGATAATCTGCTGAGTACACCAGACTTCACAGTCACAGAAAATGAGATTAGCTTGACTGTGAACAATGCTGTGTTTCCAGAAGCTCGAGACATTGTAGAAGGTAATGCAGATCACAAAGTTATGGTGTATTGCTCCTCTAGTGGAATCCTATAGCGTTTTGTTTAGAGCACTTGCCTCGCAAGCGAGAGGATCTGGGTTTGATTCCCGAGCAGGGTGAAACGTTGGGCAAGTTTCCTTATTCTACACGCCTCTGTTTACCTAGCAGTGAATAGGAACCAGTTTGTTAGTCGATCCGGGGGTAATAATCCCTTTTTTAAAAAAAAATTTTTGTGTGTCAATGCACGACTGTTTGTGGGACGCTACTGTGCGCAATTGGCTGCTGCGTTTCGTCTACAAAATATACAGACAATTCACTTTGAAGTGCTTTGAAACATCTCGAAGATGTGATAAAGTGCTAAGTAATTTTCTTTTTTTTTTAATTCTAGATTCTCCCAGCATGGGCACGTGCCTTGTCCTACCGTACATTTCTATAATTTTGCAGTACCTCAATAATTTGGTTGGAAACTCTGAGAAGATGAGGAAGAAAAACTTCAGAGCTCAAGTCAGCAAAAATCTTAGTATTCTTTCAAGGTACAAGCAATGTTCCTGTTGCAGTGCATTCCTTCACCTTTTATATACCTTTAGAGCTATGACATGCTCTTTGTCACCAGCCTCTTTTTAGCATCTGATTTTATTTAGTTACTTTTCATACAGTCTGTAGGAATATATTGCAATCATGAAGTTTTTTTCAAAATTAAGTTCAACTTCCAAGTTGAGACGTTGTGGAAAAAGATGAGGAACATCACTGATTTTATTTAGGGATCTTTAATTTTTTTTATATACTGAACTTAGAAGCTTTTTGACATTTTTTGTGCTGTTGTAAAATTTAGTTGGTACCAGATGTAATTGAATGAATTTTATTAGACAATATGTAAGTGTATTTCAGTTTTTTCTGCAATATCTCTAATTGTTGTTTTCCTTGCAGAATAAGTAAATTTGTGCAGGATAAGGAGCAGAGCTCTGTTCTGATAAGTCTCTTGCTACCCTATCTCTTCAAGCCAAACACCCCACAGGTAAAGTAGGCTTTATGATTATTGCCGAGCAGAATGTTTGCCCATGCAGTGATTTAGGATATAAATGTACAATGTTAAAAACAGTGGGAAAAGATTAGCTCCATCCCACCCCCCACATCCACGGTTTCATGATCTCAGCACAGTATAATAATACTATCATTGCAATTGATGTAGTGCCTTTCACGTCAGAAGGGTGTCTCACAGGATTTACTGTAAATTGCAGTGACTGTATATTTTGGAGGTGACTGCAGCAGTGCATAGCAATGTCCTACAAATAGCAATGAAGTGAATGACCAATTTTATGTGGGAGATAAATTATGTCAGGTTACCAGGAGAAATTTCCTTTTACGAATAGTGCCACGGGATCTTTGACATCCACCTGATGATGGGGCATTGGATAACGTCTCTTTCTAAGGACGTTACATCCAACAATGCAGTACTTCTCAATCAATGCACTAGACTGAGTTCAAAGTCCCAGTGCAGGGCTTGTACCCACAATTTTCTGACTCAGAGACACACGAATTCCATCATTGAGTCAGGCTGACACCTATATCAAATGCAAGGATTATTATTATATTCTGGTTAGACTGGTAAACTAAGATTGATTTCAGAGTTTTTCATTTGCATGTATATTTTGATGGTTACAAAGAAAATTCAGAATTCATGCCAAATTCAACCTATACACCTTGGTTTCGTGCCATTACAAACATCAAATTGGGTCCAATCCAGAATTGTGTAATCTTCCTGCAGCCATTCAAACTACAATCAAAGGTTGATTCTACATTTTTTTCCACAGAGTAAACTAATTAAATTTTCTTTAAAACTACTTTAATCCACCCTCAAGCTTTCCATTTCAACATCTGGAGGTACTATCCTTCGAATGAGATGTGTATCAGCCTGGCTCAGCGATAAGAGTCTCGACTCTGAGTTAGAAGGTTGTAGGTTCAAGCCCCACTGGGACATGAACTCACAAAGTCCAAGCCGACACTCCCAATGCAATGCTGAGTATGTGTTGTTTTGTTGTAGATGCCGTCCTTCGAGTGAGATGTTAGAAACTGAGGTCCGTCCGTCTGTTCAGATGGATGTTAAAGATCCCATGGCACAATTTGAAAAGAGAAGGGAATTTCTCCTGGTGTCCTAGCCAAAACTCCTCCAATTTAAAATTGCTCATTTGTTTCATAGATGTTTGTGGGACATTACTCTATGCAGTTGGGTTGCCATACTCACCCTCTGGATAACAGTCACTCCAGAGAAAATCCCGTGAAACATTTTGGGGTATCCTGACGTGAAAGGCACTAGTTCACAAGCAAAGATTTTAATTATTGTTATCTTCAAGACAATCGTGGCACTACATTTATAGAAATGTAGGATTTGCTCAGAATTTCATTAAAAATATGAAGACTTAAAAATGATGATGGTTTAAACCAGATCTTATACTTCATTTATCAATACGCTCTAATTTTAGTAGGAAGTTATGGTGGGAATAAATTTGTTGAAGAAATTTTCTTAATCTGTAACTAGGCTTTGCAAATGCATGGATTATACTTTAAATTTTCAACAGCCATAGTTATAAATTTGAGTTCTGCACCTTTAAGCGTTTGCCTCAAAAAAACACAATTTCAAAGCTATTTTCTATTCTTGAAGCCTTCAAAATTGCATTTCCTTTTCAATAGATTGATGTTAAGGGATTTTTAATGTACATGCACAGCTATTTATGGTTTATGTAGCTTTTTATGTTTTGTGATTACTCCTTTTTCCTGTCTTACAATGAATGTTCCATACGTGCCTGGATCTAGTTTTCTTAAAGGAAATATTTGACCTTGTAAATCACAACTTTGTCATCATCCTTCAAGGACACTGAGATTGATATCCTTAAAACAATCCGAAACCTCCTGAAGCAGTGCTTGAACCCTTCCAGCTTCCTGAAGCCTTTGTCAACTCTCTTCTCTGTCATCAAGAACAAACTTTCACGCCAGACACTTTGTGAGGTCTTTGAGGTAACAGCAGTTTAGTAACCAAGTGAATTGGATATATCTGGATTAAATTACTTCACTGATTATATGTTGTAAACACTCCCAGACGCTAACCCCCATGAAGGATGCTATATAAATGCAACTTGTTGTTTTGTTAAAAGCATTTCTTTGTAGCTTTATTTCTTAAGCCAAATTATACTTTTTAAACAGTTTGCACCATTTTGTAATGACATAGACTTGGGTGAAATAGTGATGTTCTCTCCCATACTGAACAATAGAAGTTTTTTTTATTTGCTTATTTCTCCAGGTATAAAATTACCACTACCCAATATTTATGATTTGGACCACTTAATTATTCACTAATTTAAAAGTATAACATTGTTCAAATCGGGTTTATCAGAAGCATACAAATTTTCCTTCAATGCTACGATGTGAAGCCAGATTTGTATTTCCTGTTCTGAATTGCTCGGGTCAGAGGGCGCTGTGGACAATTGTAATATTTTGTAATGAGAGCTGGGAATGTGTCCCTATCTCATTAATAGAATGAAAAAATTCCATGGCAGTTCCTTGGACTGTTCAGGAGATTTTAAGCACAATTAGAAGTTGAAATGGATTTTACTACAACTAGTGGCAGTAATCGATTCCTTAAACTATGTCTTGGGGCTGTTTTGGGGATGGAACTTGGAATTAAACTATGCCCTTTAAATTGTATTTATGTTGTACTTATATCATGATTGACTGCAAAAAAAGGCTGAACATTAAAAAATGCTTTATAGTTAGGTTACGAGTTAAGGTATGAAGATTAGACTTTGTGTTGTGTAAAACTAAGCATATTTGATTATAATTAGGTGTGTAAGCCTGGAACATATTGAAAAACTAGCTATGTTTTTAAATCCAGTTTATTTGTGCGATGAACAGGGTTCAGAAACTGAAGTGAATAATGTTGATTCTGAATAGAATAGTAACATTGGCAGACCATACACATTCAAAGTCTTAACATTAAGCTAATGTTAGTATGGTGCACAGGTGCTTCCCTATCAGCTAGATTGCTTTATTTTTGTTACAGTAGCCCATAGATCAGCAATGATGCTTCCTGTTAAACAGTCGTTCACCCATTCGGATTAATCTTGAAATTTAAACTGATTACAAATTTTGTCCATTCGTCATAATTGGAATAAATGACATGAAAAGTCTGATAATAAAGCTGAGAACTGACATTCGTGACCTGTACTAGTGCAAAATTGGAAGGGAACAGTCAAATAGAATGAGCTCTTTTACCTTACCGTGAAAAACACTTAAGCAATAGACTTGTGAAATAAAAGTAATGATAGACTGTTAGATGGGGAGCAACTGTTATGAAATAAACCCAAATTGTATCAATGCATGTGCTCTGCACCTAAGTATCTATGCGGATTTCATTATCCACAGAATCAGTGAGTCCACTTGATCAAAAGCTTAAACACACGTGAACTGTCAGCATTGTATTTAAGTACAATATTGATTTTTTTTTCAATGGGATTCCAGTATCTTGGATATACGGCACCGTGCAAGTTATATACTTTATAAAGCAGGACGTTTTAATTTTGGTACCTGACCTTGAAATAGTATTTGAATTTAAACATCGGATTCATTTTGATTAATTGAAAATGAGTGTATGAAAATGTACTGAAAACATTTTCTTCTCATTCAAGACCTTGTCGGAACTGAACAGCAGCTTAACATACATTATTGAAGTTAACACAAAGGTATGTTGAGATTTCCTTCAAATTCCATTAGCTATTTTAGTAAGCATTTGAATCTTACATTTAATTGAATTCTGTGAATTGAAGTAAATTGTTCTGACTCAGAAAATTACTTCAATAGTTAAATGCCTTTGATCGACGACATCTTGATGACATCGACTTTGACCACCGTTTGATTGCGTTCCAAGCAGCGACTGGTTTTATCAAAGAGATGCAAAGTCTGGATATGCTCTACCTCATTCCAATTATGCACAACTGCTTTTACTCCATACAGGTTGGTATATTATCTTTCAAAACTTAATTTTTTCCACAGACTAATTTTTCTCAGCTGCTTTTTATGAAAAACATAGAGTGAAATTACTGAAGATAAACCACGTATTTAGAATAAGTATCAAGCATAATGGATTACAGAAATACGCAAACCCTATAACTGCTTTCAAATTATGACATGGTTATGTGAAGTGCGTGTTTCAGTTTATGCTGTTCATGATGTTCACGATGAACAGGGTTCAAGGCTCGAGCGTTAAAGTTGGTTGCAGGAAAAGTTAATTAAATGATTCTTGATCCAGGAATGTCTAATGGTTTGGGTGGACAATTGGAGCTGGAAATTCTACATTCAGCATGATTTTTCCTTCACGTCTCTACAGAATTCAAAATAATATGAAGTGAGGTTATAAAATTCAAAAGATGTAATATTCACTGATTGAGTAATGACATTAAACATTTTCAGAATCAGCATATCTAACACTCCACCATTAAGACGTCTACAGTGAAGTTGTGAACTTTTGCCTTATCAATAATTCACAAGTTTATCATCACTAACATTTTATTGATATCAGTATTGTTAAAGTACTGTCAGAATTGAAATTGAATTAAACACTAATGTTAATGAACATATATAAAGATAATTCTGAGAACTCACACAGGTCCACTGTGTACCAGTAAATATTGCATTTGCATTCGTTCTTAGAATGGCAGAAAATAGAATATATGAATTCATAGGCTGTGTAGCATCAAAACAGACCACTTGGCCCAACTAATCCACACTGGCATTTACATTTCACAGGACCCTCCACCCATTCTTGTTCCCTCGCCTGCCCCACTTCCTTTCTCTCCCATGTATCCATTGAATTTCCTCTTAAATGCAGTGATGCTTTCAACTTCAACTACAACATGGTCCACATTCTCACCACCCTCTTGTGTAAAGAACTCCTAACCACCCTTACCCCATATGTACTTATCAAAAAGGACACTAAGTATATACCAATATAACTAAATATATAAATATATTTCTTCCAGTTGTGTGAGATGACTCTGAGCGACAGTGCAACAGTCTGTTTGATTGCCATTATCCATCAGTTGGCTGCCGTTAACAGTTCAGAAGATGAATACAAAGAAATAATCAATCGTAGTCTGCTGGTAACATTAAGAAGATGCCTGAAATCAAAGACTGAGGTGAAGTAACACTTCATGAATGCAAAATATTTTGAAAAATTGTAACTCACAGTTGATGATTTGCTCCGTCGGTTAAATGAATCAATTATTTAGTGACAACTGTCGCTGAATAATTTGTATTTGCTGAATACCAGTTAGTTGCCTTTTATTGCTTTATCTAATTTAAAAGAAGAGATTGAAATTTGGCTTGAAATCTTAATTGGGTACATCTTTTCTTAAATTGTAGAAATGGAAATTTTGTTTTGGGTTGACGTTTGTAATTCAAAAAGAAATTAATATTCCCTTTTGAATAAATTGCTTCCAAACGTCTACCTCAATTGTTCTGATAACTGTTGAGTTGTGCTTGTTAGCAATGCAGGACTTGATTTACTTTACTTCAATATTTTTTCTTAATTTTTCTGCAGAGTGTTCGGCACGAATACACGACTCTTCTTTCCTCGTTGATCGCTACATTCCCACAGAAGCCAGAGTTCCAGGATTTAGTTCAGCTAACTGATAAGGATCAAGAAATGGATTTCTTTGAGAATATGAAACACATACAGGTAAGTTATGTTACATTGTTTGTTGTTTTCATATAATAATTATAATAATAATCCTTCATTTAATATAGCCCCTTATTGCGTCTTTGAGACGTCTCAAAGCCCTTCACAGGGTACACTATAAAGTGAATTGACTGGATATTCTGTGGGCGAAACACGCCAGCCAATTGCGAATAATAATAAGACCAATTTAAGTACTGGGAAACCCCGATGACATTCTCTTGCCCCATTCAAATATTTGCTTTAGGTTTGGTCTTTACTTTATTTCTATTAAAATTGAAGTATGTATCCATCAGGATTATATCCCAGATCTGTTGATCCTAAGTCAAGTGCTGACCTACCCCAGAGGCCAAAGATATTGAATGTAATTCACCACTATGTAAAGGTTTTATCGGATAAAGAATTGGATTTAAAAAATTGATTCACAAAACTAAATCGGGTTGTAGTCTGGTACTGCCAGAACTGTTAGAGAAATGCACTAGGTTTTGGAGCTAATATCAATTTATAATTACTGGAATGTGGGGAGATTTATTGCTATATTCTTCTGGGCAATTAGGTTCACAGAAGAGCTCGTGCATTGAGAAAACTAGCCAAGCAGCTTGATGAGGACAAAATCACTCTATCCTCCAAATCGCTGGTAAACTACATCATGCCATATGCAACCTCAACTCTGTTTGACGAAAAAATGCTTACGGTAAGCATTAGCTTTTTACCAAACACGCCTGGTTAAAATGGAACAGTTTTAGGTTTTATTGTAATTGTGGTTCTGTTGTAACTTTCTTAATTTCAAATTCTACAGTTTGAAAACATGACTACCTCTTCGGTGGAAATTGTTGGAGCTATCTGCAAGCATCTCACATGGTCTCCATACATTTATTATCTGAAATATTACATCCACGTACTGCATACTGGACAAATCAATCAGAAGCTATCGGTCAGGTATATGAATGGGAATTAAATTAACTTTTGTAGTAGTTAAAATGGGTCACTCTGTCCTTATGCGACAGTATAAATTGGGGTTATGCTTGCATGAATGTTTCTTGAGTCTTGCTTCTAACAATAGATGGATAAGGTGGTTTCAAGAGCATTGTGATCTCTACTTGTTACAGTATAATCATGAAGAATACAAATCACATCCATTGAACGCTCTTGGGAGGGCCTTTAAATAACTAGAATCTTTCAACTGACTGTTTCTAAAAAATGCTATTAAAGAGCCCAATGGAAACTGGCTCTTTATCCACGTAGTATAGTCATGGGGTAACTCTTTTCAGGTACGATTAAATCGTCTCCCCTCAAACGCACCCCCGCCAAAAAAAACTCTATTCTTATTCATGTCATAACATCTCTCAGAAATCAGGTGCTTGTTTTTTTTGCAATCCTATTTGCTGAGAATGCACAGGGAGAAATATAAAATAGTAGGCTTCCTCACTCCACATTGATCTACTCCCGATAACAATGCAGCTTCACCTGCAGTTCTATAAATATAGCGTTAGCATTGCTGCCCTGTTGAAACTGCATATTTAAAAAGCCGGCACCCAACTCTTGACCCAGGAGTATTCTATTTCTTCTCCTATGTTAAACTACTGAACCTTGGTACTTAAGACTTTGTGTTTGAAGAATTTGTTTCATTCATAATTATCTCTCTCAAACAGCTTGTTGCTCTCTGTATTGGAAGCTTTTCATTTTGACCAAGAAACCTTGCAGAAAGAGCTTGATGTAATTCAGACACTAGAAAATGCAGGTAGGTGTCTAGAAGTCAGTCTGATTGGAAGAATAATGAGCTGCATTGTAAGTAAGGTTAATTGTATATTTTAGATTTTCCTGTGGTTTAAACATTAGTTGCCTTCATTTTGGCAATTAATTTAAACTATGCTCTGTTTTCTCCGAACCTTAATAAAGGAAGCGCAATAATTTTTTAAAAAATATTTCACAATAAAAAAAAGAAAATGCTAAAACAAATGCTTAAGTGATTAAAAAAAACAGCTAATTGTGGAAAATGTAAACTAAACACAGCTTTAAGTTCGTTGTTGAGCGCTTTTGATCATACACTTATTGCAAAAATTGCCAATGAAATAATAGATCTTTGCATTAAAGCCTATAACATCAATCGCTAATAATGCTTTACAATAATTATTGCTTAGTGGTGTGACTGCATTTGCAGGCCAAATGTAGTGTCTCACAGACAGCCAAATAGTGCAGGTTAGCTAAGGGACAGCTTGAGGCACAACCAGATACCTGAGGGATCCAGCATTTGCAAATCCTTGTGAAAATCTCGGAAATTAGATCCCGGAAATTGATATTTTGTAATGTTTATTTTGCTGAATTTGCCAAAAAGGAGTCTCTGAGAATCATTATCGTTTTTCATTGACAAAATAAAAGCCTAGTTTTTGTTTGCTCATTGTACTAAATACATTATGATACATACAAATTTGTTGTGCCCGTTTAATACTCTCCTATTGTAACCTTTTCTTACTGAAGATGCTATGAAAGCAGATGAAGGAGAGGTTGAAGCTATGGATTTGGAAGACAGTGTTATAGACATTGATGAAGAGAAGGAAGACTGTGCAGAACGTATAGAGAAACCACATGAGGATATGACTGTTGTAGAAGATTCACAGACAAATGAAGCTAACGGATCCGTTTCCTCTCAGAAAAAGTCCCAAATTGAACACATTCAGGAGACAGTTACTAACAGCATATTGCCAAAGCTGCACAAGTGCTTAATTGCAAAGGTATTTGGATAGAAATATATCTGTCTTACCTTTGTATACATCCATACATATTTGTATTTTGTTTGAAGTTTAAGATATTTGTCTGATATATGTTCTATTTACCTGCCTGCCCTTCACCCCTCCTGATGCCAACCCCTCCCCCCCCATCCTCTGGACGTGAAAGGTGCTGTACAAATGTAATTTGTTAATTTGTGGTGTTAAAAGTTTATTTACAGTTTATGTATTGTTTTTAAACAGGTCCAAAGAGAAGAGCAACACAAGTTGGTGAAATCCAAAATTGTGAATGATGAAGAATTGATTCGTATTCCTCTGGCTTTTGCTATGGTTAAGTTGATGCAGGCACTTCCCAAGGAAGTTATGGAGGGCAATTTACCCAGGTAATGCAACAAACCATAGAAAAAGTTCAAATTACAATAATTGTTCCGTGTACTTGCATGGTTTACAAAAGCAATTAATTACTTCTAATGAATAAGGTATTATTAGTAATCTCCAGAATCTGATTTAATGCATCCTAAAATGGACTAACCTCACTTTGGTACATTGGTTTCAGGAAATTACTTTAATTACAATTAATTCCACCAGGTTAGTGGATGTAATCTGAGTGAGTAAATGTTGTATTCCCTTGTGTTCACATAACGTCCTAACCTGCACGAAAAAGAAGGTCGGCAAAAGATTAATTTCTTTTTTTCCATTTCAGTATTCTCATGAAAGTATGCATTCTGTTGAGAAACCGTGCACAGGAGATGCGTGAAGCTGCTCGCAAAACACTCACCAAAATAATTGAGACGTTGGGACCGAAATACCTTTTGTACCTTCTTAAGGAGATGCAGTCAATTCTAACTCATGGCTACCAGGTGAAGTGGTTTGTAAACTTACTAAACTAGGATTTAGATACCTGTATTTTGCTGTCTTGAGGGGCCGCCTCTTTTTATATGCACAAGATTATATAATAAATAATTACCCTTGGATTTGATATAGTGTCTTTTTACATCTCTGACATGTCTCAAAACACTTCACAGGAGTGACACTATTTGTAGGCAAATTCACATTCATATGTACATTGTCATTGAAAGAACATTTTAAGATGCATTTTGTTATTTCTTACATTTTCTTAATTTTATTTTTCAACACTAAAATGTTACAAAACATTCTTTGTCAATGTCACACTGAAAATAAATCGATGAAAATAAATACAAAGAGTATTTGTCCAGTACTAAAAATTTAATTTCTCACATTCTTTATTTGTTACATATTGTTATTTCCACGTGTAATTGTAGTTTTGATTGATCAAGTTGTCTAAATCTGTATTATTTAACCGCCCCTGCCTCCGAGTATCTCCAATATCTGTCATATAAAATGTTGCACAAAAGTTTAAAGGATTAACCATTGCAAAGTCTATCAGTAAGTTATTTATTCATCAAATACTTAAAATGCCAGATATTTTATTGTAATCATAATCCTTGCGTTTGACATAGTGCCTTATCGTGGAGCTCAGTGGTTAGTACACTCGCCTCGCAAGCGAGAGACCTGGATTCGATTCCCGGCAGGGTGAAACCTTGGGCAAGTTTCCTTACTTCACTACTGATAATAATCCCTCAAGAAAAAAANCAATAATAAAATTGGACACTTCAATCCACGACTGTTTGTGGGACACTGCTGTGTGCAATTGGCTGCCGCGTTTCACCTACAAATATACAGTCAATTCACTTTACAGTTTATTCTGTGAAGCGCTTTGAGACGTCTAGAAGACGTGGAAAAGCGCTATATCAAATGCAAGGATTATTATATCATGTTGTCCAATCATCTCCCAAGTTTTACAGGATTTACGGTAGATTGTAGTAACCATGGTCTTATGGGCGATTTTAAAATGTTTATGCAAATTCATGTTTTTGGGAAGGTTATGATTTGTAAAGATACAAAATCTTATTAGAAGTCCTCAGACTGCAAATGGTATACATTCTTCACTTTGTAATCTCTTGTTTTATCTGACAGGTCCATGTTCTGACATACACTATCAACATGTTGTTAAAGGCTCTCATAACAAAACTTGAAAGTGGAGATTTGGACTCTTGTATGGAGATTCTAATTAAGGTGAATTTTGTTCATTCATTAATGCTACATTTTAAAAAAAAGTGTTTACATTGAACAATGTTTTCTGGACAAAATATTCTGATGTAAAATGTGTTTGTGCGGGTTTATATTGCATTAAAACCCATCGATTTGTTAATTTAAAAATGAATCTCTCTAGATTTTTAACCATGAGCTGTTTGGACAAGTTGCTGAAGAAAAGGAAGTGAAGGGGATCGTGTCCAAAGTGATGGAAGCCAGGAGCAGTAAAAGCTTTGAATCCTATGAGATCCTGGCTCAATTTGTGGGAAAGGCCCGAGTCACTCAGTTGATTCTGCCATTGAAAGAGGTAAAGTTATAAGGCAGTTACAAATGACTGCCTGCTTTTCTTCAATTCTAACTCATTATTATTGCAATTTTGCTCTTCATCCAAACTTAGCTGTATGTATGTCTGCCTTTTTTTAAGAACACTTCAAAGGCTTTGTTTTAGTTGTAGTTTATTTTAACTTGCATTTTTCTAGATTGAATTTGGGGATCGTGTAGAGTTGTTGCTTTGTTTTGCTTCTTGATACATTTTAAGCTCGAGGGAATGACAACAGTTAGATCTGCAGTATTTTCAAAGAATTGCGTCTCTTTTTACTTGTGATTCATGCTTCAATGCATTGTTCGTCGTTTTGTTCCAGTTATTGGAGGTTACAACAAGTCTTAAGCAAGCTCGTAAGATCCATGAGACTTTCAGACGAATTGTGTCTGGTTTGTTGGTGAACAAAGAAATGACAGCAGAGTCCATCCTTTTACTGAGCAATGGTCTGGTCACTGAAAGCTTACCACTACTGATAAAGAAGACAAAGTAAGAAATCACACTATTTAAGAAAATGCAGTTCTTTTTATTAAAAAAATACGTTGTGAAGGCCCTTTACATAATGCTGATCACTATTGACCTGACATTGTAATCAGTGTAGTCAACGTCTTCCCAACATGAAACACGCTATACAATGTAATTTGTTGTTTTTGAATATGTTGCTCTTGTGCCTTTTGTAATGTACAATATCTACATTTTCAACATTACTTCTCATTAAGCACGGCTTATAGAGTATTTAATCTTTGGAAATGGATACCTCAGCTCTACAGGAACTGGATAGCTTGTTAGTTGCAATGGCAAGTTAAAATTCACTGTCTGATTATCTCTTTCTCTTGACTATAACCCTATGGCAATATAAAAGAAGGTACTAACAAAAAACATTTCAGTTGTATTCAAGTGTATGAGGTTATTAGGTTTGTGATTTATTCCACTGACACTGGTGATGTGCAGATATATTGTTTCTCAGTAACCTTGCACACAAGCAGAGAAGTGGAATTTTTTTCCAAAATATCACAGCCTCACCTTGACATCAAGCCTGATGTGGATAATTGAATGTGTGAGATTTGGCATAAGGATAAGTGCCATTCTACTGTAATAAAAGGGTTATATTGCCGTATGCAATTCATGAATTAAACCCAGAATTTATTTAATCAATGTATATGTATCAATGTATAATTTTATACTGTATATGAACAGTTGTATTTGAAGAATGTCTTGTTAAATTTTATTTTGAAGGCCTGCATTCAAAGCATCTAAAAAAACATTAAGGCCGCATAGCTGCCTTTTATTATCACCAACACCCACAAGAGGAGGAGCGAAACCTGCTGTTAGCACAAGGACTAACACGAACATCTTAGTTGACACTGGTCTGAGGGTGAGTAGTAATGCACAAAAAAATCCAATATTAATCGATTTGAAGATCTTTAATGGAAGAACTCAATTTTAGCATTCATGTTATTTTGTTTTTTTTTAAAGCTTGGACAAGATTTTTTGAATTGCAACATAATTTTGTATGTTAAAGAGTACATAATTGCATTTAACCGTGAATACACTGTCATTGCAAGTCACAGTTATTCCTATGAAGTGCTTTGAGATGTTTTAATGACCTGATAAGGCACTATATCAACTTCAAAGATTGTATCTTTATTATTATTACCATTTATCGATCACTTCCCCACCGCACCCATGGATTTTTTTCCCCTAGATAATTGTAGCTTTTCTCGATTGATCTCACTTTCTATCTTTATCACTTTTACCTTTTTATTTTTTTACTTTCATGAACAACCTCTTTGTTAATATGCTTCTAATACGTTCACCAACATTCTGCTGACTGTCATCTTGTTTCATTCAGAGATTGTGCACTGAAATAATTTATTGTGCCAATTCAGTGTGATTTTTGCCAGCCTCTGAAATTCTTGGTGTCAGAAGAATTTATTGGCATAGCTATCAGCCAGGGTTTTAGCATTTGACAAGCAATTTATGTTTCCTCATATAGAGTATGGTATCCAGACTAAAGATCTCCCTGATGTTTGGTTGTCTGGCTGAGCCGGAAGCATTTTTAACTTGCGATGATTTTAATGATGAAGTGGTTCAGTATTATCAGTTTGACCCCAAGGACACCATTTCAATCTCCTGCCAATCCTTGCTTCAACAGCAAGTTATCAACAGGCTAGATACAGCATGTAAAGGTCTCCTCCCCACCACCATAATTGTAGCTGCTGAATCCATTTGGTGATACATTAGTGATTTTGTTGTTGAAGGATCTCAAAAGTGTTGAAAAGTTAAGTGACTGAAAACAACTAGAAGGCAAACAAAGTTCTACATTGCTGTTTCACTGTTAATTGATCAATTTCCGATCATGATTATCGGGGATGGTGAGCTAAGTTCACTGTTTTTGAAAATGAGTACACATTCCAGCTGTGAATTTGGACTATGTAACACACGTCTTTATTTTCTTCTTTTCAGTTGTTACATTTGAGTTTAAAGGCATCGAAAGTGAACTCTTCAGATGAAAAAGTTTTGGAAATGCTTGATCCTTTTATAGAGCTGCTGTTAGATTGCCTCCAATCTATGCACGTAAAGGTAAACAACACTCAAAACTGCTTATTACGTTTACTGTGACTAGTTTTACCCACTCCCCAAATAATCTTAGAAAAGTATATAGCACAAGTCTGGGATATTTACTTGTGCATTCATTGTGTTCGATATACCGTTGCACAAATTTTACCCCATAGGCTATTAAATAACATTTCTACAAGACAATTTTTGGATAACGGGTTCTTTCTATTACTCCAACAGGTGATCACAAGTGCCTTGCAATGTCTCATCTGGGTGCTGAAATTTCCCCTGCCCTCCATAAAGATTCATATTGAGCAGATGATCAAACAGCTATTTGTATTGTTGAAGGACTATGCCAGGGCTGGAGCAGCAAAAGGAGAGAACTTTAATCTGGTCGTTAACTGTTTCAAAGTAGGTTTATCAAAAGAAGTTTAATGTAAGCCAAGTTTTACAAGCCTTTCTTACTTCCATATTATTTTTATTGCCTTCTGAACATTATTTATTTCACTCCATAGTCGATAACCATTCTGGTAAGAAATGTGAAACAGCACAGAATTACGGATAAACAGTTGCAAGTTCTGTTGGGATTTGCTGAAGAAGATATTTATGATTCATCACGTCGGGCAACTGCATTTGGACTTTTGAAGGTATCTCACAGGATTATTATTTGATTATTTTATTTTAGATATCAAGTTATAAATTTTTTNGTGCTTTATTATAGTAAAGTTAGTTGATGGGGTTTAGATCAGTTTGCAATGTAAAGCTCAATTTTGATCGCCATCTCAAAGCATTTACTACCTTGATGGGAAATGTAGTTAATGAAGACCATAGCAATCCAATTTAATTGAGTTAAAGAACTTATTGAAACTTCCTCCACCTGCTTGTGTAACACAGAAGAGATCCCTCTCTTCTTCTACTTGATGTACCCTGTAGTTTGAACAACATACTTTTTTATTAACATGTAGATTTTAGTCTTTTTTTACCTGAAAATAAAATTGTTCCACACGCTGATAATTGTAAAAAAAANGGTTTATCAATGTATCTGGAAGCAATAAACATTTTCAACATAATTGCACAATGTATTTTTTCAGGCTATCGTGTCAAGGAAGCTAATTGTTCCAGAGATGAATGATGTTATGCAGAAAGTGGGCACTTTTGCTATTACAGGTCTGAGTGAATCAGTTAGAGTCCAGTGTCGTCAGGTATGTCTGAAAGCCTGAGTTAGTCATAAGGCACAAAATAGCGATTTTTCATTTAGGTAATGGATTTTATTTATTTCAGAATCCACTACAGCACTTTCTTCTGTAACGCAGTAAAACTCGCATAAGTCTAATCTGTATAAATCGTATAATCGCCTAAGTTGTACACCTGCCCAAGTCCTGTTCAAGTTTGACATAACTCATACTTTGCATAAGTCATATTAAATGTGTGGTCCCAACTGATACAACTTACGTGAGGCTTTCTGTCGTCAATATTAGGGTAGACATTTAACACAGTTTTTTATACGTTTAATTATAACAGGACAATATTTCTTATCTGGCAGAATTAAGTACTTTTCAATGAGCTGTTAAAAAATCTATAGTTTCAGATAGCTTTTAAAGATTTACAATAAAATGTATCTGCATCTCCTTTGACTGCAAGTTAGTAGTACCACTTTATTAATGTTTTTTTGACAAATTTCTGTGTGCTTTATTAGGTGTTTCTCAAATTCATTCTGGATTATCCTCTGGGAAAAAAATTGAAGGTCCACCTTGAGTTTATTGTGGCACAGCTTTCGTGAGTTTTATTTCAATTTTCAAGATGTATTTGCTTTGTGAATCACTGAATGCACAGTTCAGAATAATTGGGTCAGGCATTCTGTTGTGCCTTGAGCAAAATATTGGCATGGAATAGTGATTCAACCTCTGTGCTGCTTAATTCTCAACTTCCTCTGTTTTGTTGTGGGACACATGAACTAGAGGTTAGGTATCTTGAGGGAAGAAAGGAAACTGAAATCAGACTTCCCCAGGCTGTTGTGGCACATTTCCCAGTGTCTGGCTCTGAGCAGCACTTGTAGAAAGGTTGAGAGCAAATTATCTTCCCACTTTTTCAATCCTAAGTGGTATATGGCTCTGATTACTAATGATCTGGAATAAAATATCAAATGTTGAATTTGTACAGCATCTGAATGAGCATCTGAAAGAGAGAGAACTTTTTAGTGTTTGAGGTATGGTATGACTTTCTCAGGTTCAGAACTGATGCATTGCAGACCATAATAGTTTCTTCTGACTTCTGACCACAATATTTGATTTGTTTGCCCATGTTTAGCTATGAACACGAAATGGGAAGAGAATCTGCCCTGGAAATGCTGTCTTACATCATCCAGTCTTTTCCTCAGGTATGTTGCATTTCATTAGAATATTGAGTGGGAACTGACACATTTCCGGTTTATAAAATAAGTTGTATATTTAGAGTTGAGATGGACTTAAATGGCACCACTGAAATCATGAAATGGCACAAACAATACACTTGATTTGGTGCAATCAAATCAATAGCTTCAAATCTTCCAAAACACTGTTACTTTCCAGGAAATAATTATAATGGAGTAGGACATGGAAAGTACTAAAGATAGAAACTAATCTTCCATGGAACAAGTATTGTATAACAAGCTGTTTTGAGATTCCTCTGCCATCAGAGTAGCTTTGGGATGTCCTCCCGACGTGAAAAGCACTATATCAAATGCAAGGATTATTATTATTATTATTATAGCTTGTCCCATTCTCATTTACTGATTCTCATTCCATTGTCATTGGTAACATTTATCAACGTTACCTAGTTCATTACATGAACACATTGTGAAATTGAGCCCTTCAGATCAACAAAGTTCCAGGTTTGATCCCTGATCTGTGATGAGTTAGCTGATCTCAACTGGAGTGACTGATTTGGCCTTGATGCCACTGGGCTAGTGGGAAAACTTTGCCCTGGAGGTCTGCTTTTCATCACCAATCCAATACAATTTACATTTATATAGTACCTTGCATGTTGGGCGGACATCTCAATACTCTTTACAGTGCTGGCTGGGTACCTGAGCTGTGGGTGGGAGGCAAAGGGGTTGAAGAGAGGAAATATGACAGGTCAAAGAAGGACGTTTTGAGATGGGACTTTGGCACATGTTTGGAACAGGCTTGATTGAAATGGGTGATTTTTCTCTTCTTATTTGCAGGGTCTGCTTCACCAGCATTGTGGCCTTTTGTTTGTGCCTCTTGCACTGATGTTCATGAATGACGATTCACCAAAATGTAAGAAAATGGCATCTCTTACAATTCAGTCACTGCTGAACAAAGTCAGTACGCAGAACCAAGATTTGCTGTTTTCTTTAGTCTTGTCATGGTTCAAAAGTAAAAAGGTAGGAATTGATAAGAAATTCTTTCTGAAATAATGCAAAATTTTGACACATTAAGTACACAGTTACAACATTCTTCTGTACTTTGAAGAACCGTTTGAAAGATACCATGAATATAATCTTAATAAATTGTTTCTATTGTTGTTTTGTATTCGTTTCAGTCCTCTCATCGCCGCTTAGCTGCACAGATTTGCGGCCTGTTTGCTGAAGCAGAAGGAATTGGATTTGAGAAGCGTCTTGAGAGAGTTCTTCCAATTATTGAAACTCAAATTAATCCGGTTCGATTTGAAAATGTGAGTTGAGTGTTCAAGTGGTTTTTTACATTACCTTTCTTGCACATTATACATTTTGAACGTCTTCTGAGAATTGATGATTCTATACTCGTACCATAAGTTGCTTCAGATAGGCTAGGTGTTAGAATAAATCTTGCTTAATAAATTCAGGAAATTTTATTTTTAAACCTGGAATGAGAAATGTACGTGATTATAAAAAAAGCTATCTTTTCGGATTGTATTTTATTTTTGGAGGTATTTCATATCAGATGTGCCAGGATTTCTGAAGAATTCTAACATTAAAGATTGCAAATTGATTCTACTCCACTGAAAGTTTCCTTCCCACTCTAGTTTTTATTTGTTTTACATTTGCTATTTCATATTGACTGGTGATCAGTGTGCACGTCGAAGGTTTGATTTCAATCTATATTTAATACATTAAATTGATTGGTAGGATTAGATATTGAAATGGCTGATACCAGTTCATCTGTTGATACTAATACAATAGGTGTGTAGTAAATCTTTTGTAGTAAAATTTGAAATTTTACCTTAGTTCCAAAAAGATTTGAAGAATGCCATTATACCTCATCCTTAAGTGCTTTTGTATTTTGAAAAATCAGTTTTCCTGTCTACGCAAAGGGTAGTTGATTTCTTCCAATATTTACATCAACTTAAACTTTCCTTTAGTTTCAGGAGGGAACAAAAGAGAAAGCTGCAGACCGACTGCTGTTCAGCTTCTTGACTCTGGTTATGAAGCTTGCAAAGGAATGCAACTTCATCAATCTGCGCAAATCACGCACCATTCTAACCAATATATGGAGTAAGTTCTTGAACTCTTTGATGTTTTCACATGTACTTCAAAAACCCCTCCTTAAAAACTCTGTCAGGAACTTTAGTCAACATCTTCAAAGTCGGCTTCCTTCCCACTCTGCTCAGTGCTTCCAATTATACTTGCAAAGCTTATGAACGTTATTCTACCTGAAAGGCCTCCACATAAGAGAAAGTTTTTGTATACGTATCACTCAACCCCAAAAATATGTTTCTTGAGAAGATAATTCTAATAGTTTTACCTCTGTTACTCAAGTTGAATTTAACATTTGATGATGCACACAGGTCATATTCAGAGTCACCTTCGGTATCCCCATTCCTGGGTTTGGTCAACGTCCTCCCAGCTCTTTGGCATGCTGTTTGCCTTCCATACGCCTGAGCAGCTGGTGGCCAAGTGGAACTCCAATAAAATTAATTCATCAGAACTACCAGCAACACGTTTTTTGATAGAAGACCTAGATAAAAAGGTATTGTAGCTGTCGTTCAAACCTCCTCAGTTTACAGAAATAACCAGCATTGAAATAAAACCATTACAATTATGCTTCATTCTTTGTGTTTGTCGCTGCTTCAGTTAATTGTCAGCCATTCAACACCTTGATACAGAACGTGCTTTGATATGATTTCTTTCAGGGATGTACGGTGCCATTTCCTAACTAACGAGAATATTGTTACTTTTCTATACTTTTCTGTTAAGGAAACTTCAGTGCACACTTTTCTTGATATTTGCAAACAATTCTTTTGCAGATGAAAGATTTGTTTTTTGCGTTTCATCATCAGCTGCAGTCACAATTCCTCGATCAGACTCTTGGTGAACAGGTAAAGGATTGCACTTCAATACTTTAGCATGAATGATAATAGGCGACTCGGTTTAATATATAATCGTTTTGCCTTTGCCTTAAACCCTTGTTAGATATTTAAACCTTATTGCTGAATTTATTTTAGCTTTGTGGCTCATATTTTCTGTTTACTCAGAATGTTTTTGGTTATTATTAGGACAGACTAAATAAGAATTTTTTTTAACAATCTTAAAAATGTAATGCTTCAAATATATCGAGGTTGTTAATTCAACATGTTCCCTATGTCTAGGTTGTCAAAAATTTGCTGTTTATTGCCAAAGTTATCCACCTCTTGGCACCTCCTGATGGGGATGATATGGAGCAGGAAGAGGGCACTGAGGAAATTGAGGATGATCAAGAAACTGAGAAGGCAGATGAGGAGACAGCTGAAGACAAAGACACAAAAGAGGGTGAAGAGAAGAAAGCTACTCTTATATGGGTTATGGAGAAACTCTGCAAACTTGCAAAAAAAGAAGCAGCTTATACACCAAAAATTACTTTGAAGGTATTGTTAATTTTATTTTCAACTCTACAAAATACTGGAATTGATTCCCCCCCCCCACACTTTTTCTAATAACCAATTGCTCTCATATTTCTGAACTGTTCTAAGGAGCATAATACGATGTGATTTGTTTTGTCATTTTTAGTTCTGTTGTAAAATGATAGTGAATAAATTGATTAACGTGGCTCAGCGATAGCACTCTCGCCTCAGTCAGAAGGTTGTGGATTCAAGACCCACATCGGGCATTATTCGAAAAGATAATCCCCCAAATAAAATTGATCATTTGTTTCATGGCTTTTTGTAAGACATTGCTGTGCACGATCGACCACAAGTAGACAGTCACTCCATTTCACAGTATTTCCTGTGAAGCACTTTGATACATTCTTCGGATGTGATAAAGCGATGTACCAAATGCAAAAATTATTATAGTTCTTAAATATAAAATGGCAAAATGGTCCTTTCACTGTTTCTCCACTCCCCCCCCCCCCCCCCCCCCCCCCCATACATTTTGGCACTCGACTCAGGCTTTCTGGTTTGCTCATTGTTCAGATTATGTTCCTATGACTGAAAATAGCTTGTTTTTTCTTTTCAGAGAATCTGTGTCTTTAAATTTCTTGGAGCTATTGCAGTGGATCTTGGAAATGAAAAAGTGATCCCGTATCTTCGCACGATTATTGCACCTCTTTACAGAGAGTTAAACAGTACTTATTCAGATCAAGGTAATGCTTTAATTTTTAAAAATATCTGGGTCCAGAGGAAGATTGTTAAAGCAGCCTAAGGATTAATGTGTAAATGTGATATTTCCAGTGCACGACAATGTTTGTACCTGAGCTAACATTAATTAGCCAGAGGACCCGAGTTCGATTCCTGTCCGTGACGAAATTTTAGACCTAAGTTTCCTTATTTTGTACGCCTCTGTTTACCTAGCAGGAGAAACCTGGTTATTAGTCAATTGGCAGATCGCTTTCTGGAGGTAATAATCCTTTAAAAAGAATGTGGTCACTCAATCCACGATGGTTTGTGGGACATTGTTGTGCGCAATTGGCTGCTGAATTTCACCCACAAAATATACAGTCAATTCACTTTACAGTATATTCTGTGAAGCGCTTTGAGACGTCTCGACGACGTGATAAGGCAGTATATCAAATGCAAGGATCATTATTATTAATCTTGTTATAGTTATAGTGGTAAACAACAAGTCCTAATAAGCTAGTGGGAAGAATTCTTTGTTTTTTGGGGTGATGCTTCCAAGTTTGTATTGCAAGCAAGTAATATTTGATTGAGTTTTAATTTTAAAGTTGCATGTAATAATTGTATTTGCATTTTACCGTTCAGAAATGTGACATCTTTTTCTTCCACCATAATGGTGTTTGTACTTTTGTCTTTCAGATCCGACACTGAAGAATCTTTCACAGGAAATCATTGAGCTGCTCAAGAAGTCGGTTGGGCTGGAAACTTTCTCACTGAGTTTTGCTGCTGTGCAGAAACAGGCGAACCAGAAGAGAGCATTGAGGAAAACACAGAAAGCCTTGCAGGTAGGGATTTGGCCGGGAGAAGTTAAATGGAATAGTACCTGGAGACCCATTGTAACAGTTATATCCCAAATCGTGCTAAAGGGAGGAGTGACGGGTTTCACTGCATTAGGTTGCAGTTTGCTAGTTACCAGTTGAAGCCATTTTTTCTGTAATATCTTTTAAGAACTACATTTCAAAGCTAAGACTGCATTCAGCAATTGAGCAGCTACTTTTAACAGAATAAATTTAGACACAGGTGTAATTTCTATCGCACATATATATATTCTATCACACAAATATATTAATGCCATTCTTGGGTTTTAGATCTGTTGCGGAAAGATTTATACTTGAGGTACATTGGCAGTGACATAATGTACAGTGAAGGTTAATGTTACTAAGTCTCATGTATTTGCTGTAAATACTCTATTCAGTCTAGTACAACTAGATATGTTAACGATTCACATACTAGATAATTGTCACATTTTAAACTTTTCTTCCCACCCCCCCCACCCCCCCAAACATTTTTACTTTTACAGACTGTGGCAAACCCGGATATTGCTGCAAGGAAGAAACTAAAGAAACACAGACACAAAATGGAAGCAAAGAAAAGGAAAATTGAATTCTTGCGTCCAGGGAACAAGGCTAAAAGGGCCAGAGTGACCACGTTAAAGAGTTTGGCCATGGTAGAATAAAATGTAAAGATTTTTTTAACACAGAATTTGTACATTAAATGTGTACATAAATATTGGATTATTACTTCTGAGGCTGCTATTGCATTTTAATCTATTGAGCTCACTTGTCAACAGTGAATTTATAGACCAGCATAGGAGTATTTGATATGAGGTACAGTTTAATGTACAGATATTTTAGGAACGTTTATCAATAAAATCTTCTTTGAAAGAAAGAATCGTTTATGAACACAGTTTGTGTTTTGTAAACCTTTTGGTGGTGGGAGAGGAGTAGGGGTGTCATTGATAGCTTTACTCAACGGCAAGATCACTGCTGTAATATTGAATGGTAGTTGCATAAACCAGTTTGGTTTGGGAGTTTTAAGGCTATTGAACAGCAACATACCTTTATTATTACTATTAATGTATCCTTTATTTTATGTAACACATTTTTTGAAAACAAAAAGAACTTTAAATCAAATATAATTGGGTTTGTTTTTTGACTGCACTTACTAGGTTGCTAATGAATTCTATTGCCTACCCAATTTGTAATCCACTTATCAAGCTTGCCATTAATTCTTTACGCTCTGTCACTTTTTAAAGGATTAAGTTATGAAACCCGATGACACCTTGAGTAAACTTCAACAATTATAACAGAAAGTATATTCAGAATTGTTCATTTGCATTTTTGTTATGCTGTCTGCGTATACCATCTGTGAGGTTGTAGAATCTATCCACATTAATATGCATTCAGAGCAGTTGCTTCAAATGTGACAGATGAACAATTGTAATAAGCTTCTCCCCAGTTCGAAAACTAATCAGTATGATTTATAACCTATGACTAATGAGTTTCTGACCATTTTCATTTGAGATATTGTAATATGACATAGTATGCCATTCTTTGCCTGGCGATTTAGTTTATTTAAATGCCATAAAAGATTTTTGGCATGAACATTAAAACAAACTGCATTTTGCAGTTTTGTCATATTACTTCAGGCATCTATCAAATTCAGGAAACAGTGTAGCAGAGGAAGATATTAACAATCTTAACCATTCACAAGCACAAGACAACAATATAGTCTTAATGTCTGTCGTGCTTCTCAATTCCCTAGTATCTTACTTTTATTATACAATAGATGAGTGGTCTATGAATTAAATTCCATATAAATTACACCAAAAATATAAATACCAAGAGTTTTATGATTGACATCAGACCCACAAAATTATAATGGATATTAACTGTGCCACCTGAGATTAGTAACTTTGCCAATGTGCAAAGAATAAACTTGTCCTCTCCCCATTTGAAATATTATCAAACTTTGTTTTGGTTTTCGGTCCTTGTGTTTCTTCAGAGTGCATTCATTCTGTTTTTTTGCTATCAAAACCACATATATCACCATGCAGGTTACCTGGCCATTCAAGTCAGAATATAAAAGTGTTCCTTTGTTGCCTTATAATGAATGTATACATATCACGTTACTACACTCCACCATTGAAAATATTGAAGTTTTTTTTATTGCTCCCAAGAAATACATATTTCATAAAGAAAACTTTTTTTGTCTTATCCATTTCAAAATGTGTATTTTTGCTTGAAAGGCTTTTTGACAGATGACATACAATTTGACACATTGAGTTCAAAACACATAACTCATTAACATGTGTACACTACACATCATAATAAAATCCTGTGAAGCATTTTGAGATATCTCAATGACGTGAGAAGACACTACATAATAAATTATAATAATCCTTACTTTGCACAGCAGCTTTCACGTCAGGAGGACTCCCCAAAGCGATTTGCAGGATATACTGTAAATGCTGTGAATGGGTATGTTTTGTGGGCATGCGAGGACTATTATTATTAAACCTCAAAGGTCAGAAATTAAGTTCAGTTTGATTTCTGAACCTCGAGGCATTATTCAATTACAATTTATATTTTTGAATCAGTGAATCACTCAACAGCTTAGTCACTTGATTTAGGTAATAGTGACTGCTTTTGTGTATAACAATTTTGGTGTGTATGAGTCACTGAAAATGTTGCACTTTTACTTTCTACTTAACAAACTACAGTTTATAAACAGTCAAAAACAAGGTGCTTCTTTTCAAACTATGCTAACACAATAGAAGAGCTGTTGCAGGTAAAGATAAAACTTCTCATTGGTCTGCCGTTGCTCACAGAATAAAAATCCGTGAGTTTGTGGCAGGGATACGCCATTGCGGTTTAGTGCAATGGTAGGGATTTTGATTTGCAATGTCGTTGGTGCAGTCAGTGGTTTCAGTTGCACACTGACTACACTGGCAGCTAAGAACTACAGGCAGTCTGTAGAACGGATCAATATCTGGCGGGCAACCAGGGAGCCTGATCATCATATACCTGATGTTGTGGAAAGTGCAAACATTCTGCACCAGTGCATTTTTTGGCAGTAGGGTCTTAATGTTGACATCCTGCAATAATAAAACATGATTAATTTTATCCTGCAAGGCAGGCACTCTACCATAAATGCCAATCTGGCACAGATGAGATGAGATATCATTGATAATTTAACAGTAGATTATACAAACACCATCCTGTTTCACAATTATGAGCGCCATTATTATATTTTGGACAATTAAAAATTTCAGACAATGATTCGTCTGCTGTGAGTTTTCAACAAGTTCTTTTATTTTTGCAGATCTAATTGAAATTGTCCAACTCCTTGTAACTTGAAAGATTTGTTGTTTAATTTGTATTCCGTCCAGGCAGTCGAGGTGCACTGCAAGGTTAAAATTAAATGTAATATTGATAATATTTAACGCTTTTTCATAAAATGTTTTGTTCTAACTCACCCGGGACATGCAGTAGCCAGCGCAGACTGTTGTGTTGATAGCCATACAGTAGCTACATTCCTCTTTCTCCACATATACCACATGTCTTGTCAATGAGCAGGTAAAGCCAATCTGGCTTCCGCTCAGACAGAGAACAAGAGGCAGGAGCCACATGGCATTCATACTGAAAAGCACAAGAGCGTGAAATCAACAGACTGAATGAGTTTCTGTTATGACAAATCAATTTTTTATACCAATTCATCTGGCTCAATGCACAGTCAATTCACTTTACAGTATATTCTGTGAAGTGCTTTGAGGTGCCTCGATGACATGAAAAGTTGCTATATCAAATGCAACGATTATTATTATGATATTTAGAATACATTAAGACAATCTGCACTCATTCTGGGATTCTTTTCTGGGACTTTTCTGGGATTCAAAGCTTCTCATTTTTATCAATCATGAATTTTAGCTTGTATTATCCTTTAATCTTAAGTCTTGTGTGTTTGGTTAAGATCATCTCATAACACAGCCATAGCTGGGAGTGGCGGTGGTGGGAGTGGGAGTATGAGAATTACACATTTAAAATCAGATTAATCACCAAGGTCTCATTATCGTGACAGATGATCTGTTAAATATTAATCAAAATGGGTCACGTTCCATTTCACAATTCATTACCAAACAAGAGATTAGCTTGTGTGACTCACATTTCTAATTCGACTCTTGTATGATTTGATTAGTTAACCTTTTTGTACAATAGCATATCTGCTGATCTACAAGTACACTTAATAACATAAAAATTCCTGAGTGCTTGTCTGAAAATTTAACAATCATTTTGCTCCTATAATTAAGCTTTTTTTTAATGTAAGAGTCGATCACAGTTTAATTTCTAAGGTGAAGCATTTGATGTATTTTCTACCAACTATTTTTACGTCTTTAAGCTGCCTCACATTGCTACACTTTATCTGTCAGGAGGTAAGGCACAGAATTCCTGAGAATCTGCCTGTTCTTGAACTCACAATAATAATAATAATAATCCTTGCATTTGATATAGCGCTTTTCACGTTGGGAGAACGTCCCAAAGCACTTCACAGAACACACTGTAAAGTGAATTGACTGTATATTTGTGGGCGAACGCGGCAGCCAATTGTGCACAGCAATGTCCCACAAACAGTCATAGATTGAAAATGACCAATTTATTATTGTTTTTGGTTTGGGAGGGATTATTATTAGGCTCTGTGTCGAGTAAGGAAACTTGCCCAAGGTTTCGCCCTCTGCCTGGAATTGAACTCAGGTCTCTCATTTGCAAAGCGAGTGCTCTAACCACTGAGCTACAGGACTCCACAATATCACAAGAGAAGAATTGCTGAAAAATGCCTTTTGGCCCATTTGATCTCATTCCAGAATACAAGAGTTAAGAATCTTCTCATTACAGCATTCAAATGAGTGTCAAATGAGCATTCAAATGAGTCCAGTATCCTGGTTTTTGCCACCATTTAACCACTTTATTTCCAATTTATCTTACCTCTCATCTTGGCCAACTTCCAAGGCAAGTGCTGCAAGGCCAGTATATTTTTTCCTAACGTGGGACACACAAGACTGAGCGTAATACTGTAGAATAAGGCCTGACCATTAACCGTATAACTACAACAGTACTTTCTTGCTTTTATATTCTATATCTCTTGTGATATATCTGAGTGTTCGATTAGCCTCTTTGATTATCATCAATGGCACTCGGGAGATGCAAGATTTGCACCGAGTTCAAAGAAAACTGGATGTTCTTCTCACAGCTTGATCAATATTAAGGATTTGATCTGATTTATTGTGTTTATTTGTCTAATATTAGCAGTAGTCATAGCAAGATCTCATAAACTGTCACTCCAATAATTAGCAAGTGCCAGTCCCCACTGTTGATGTGCAGTGGGCAATTTTAAAGCAGCGTTAACTTTGGCAATGAAAGGTCAGACTGATTCACCTTTCCTTTCTGACTGAGAAAATAAATGTGCTAGTGAGGAAACGTTAGCACAGACATAATGTGAAAAAACAGAATTATAGATTTGCATCAGATGCCACAGAGGAAATGCAAAATACAGTCTAACTGTATTACAGCTGAAGTATTACAGAAATGATTCATTACCTTGCAATACAGAAATCTTGGAATAGAAGTGGTAGAGTTGTATGCCCAACGCTCAGCTGCTTCCTCTATGCTTCAGTGTTTTGGGACGTCCTCCCGAGATGAAGGCCGCTATATAAATGCAATTTGTTTGTTTGTTATATTTAATTTGTGATTAAATGTCTACTTAATCCTCTGTGCGCACATGTAAGAGATGAGACAATCCTCCCTATCCGTGATACTAATCTATCTTTTTAATCGTACCTAACTCGCATCAGTCTGAACCGCAGCATTAATGCTCCCTGTAAACTGATCTAGAAATTTCATGATCCCAAAGAAGCACAAGTGAGTCAATAAAGGAAATTACATATGCCGATGTCCCAGCTCAGAAAGTAAATTAATTATATTTGGTTTAATGATTTATATACTGACTTCCCAAATTAATTATTGTTCATCAAATTGAATACAATCTGATAATGCAGAAGCTCCAAACAGAAATGCTCCTTTCACCTTTGAGCTGATTGCTCGATTGAAAACTGAGCCTGACAAATTCAGGGCCACTGAGTGAATTGATCTCAACAGAGAAAATGCTGTTACATAAGTAATAATAATAATAATGCTTGCATTTGATACGGCACCTTATCACGTCTTTGAGACGTCTCAAAGCGCTTCACAGAATACACTGTATATTTTGTGGGCGAAACGTGGAGGCCAATTAGCAGCCAAAAGTGCTAAATAAAACCAAACCAAAATCAAGATTCCAAAGTGAAATGTAGAGCAATCACAAATTCTGCTTAAGAATAATTAGGTAAAATATTCACCTGTTTCCATTTCTGATTTTTTTTTATCCTAAGACTGTGCACTTGTTTTTATTATTTCATTGACCACAAGGATTTCGATTTCATTTTGTTTGCTCCATTCTATTTCCCTCACATAAGGCAAGGGAAGGGCTGCTCATTCTTCCTGTCTAGATATAAAAATAATAATAATAATTCTTGCATTTGATATAGCGTCTTATCACGTCTTCGAGACGTCTCAGATAAGTACAGATATCTACAGAATGTGAGAGAAGGGTTGCTCATTTTCTCGGTTAGACTTGCACTGAGTGGGAGGGAAGAGTTATTCATTACTTACCTGTTGAAGTTCCTTTAACTCCACATTTTTGTTACGCATTGTATTGGATTGGACGTGTCGACAAATGAAATTGCTTAACTGGTCCACAAGATGGAGCTTTTGAACTCTACACCACTAAGTTATGCAAGGGTTGACATATAGGAAATAAAAATTGGAAACACATATACTCCATTGATGGGATGGAATTTGCCAAGAGGGAGAAGCTGAAGGAGATCAAGAGGTGTTAGTTGAGTGATCACTAATCACGTCGAGGACAGATAAGAAGCTGGACAAGATCGCCAAATAAACAAAGGAAATCATATTCAAGCTATAGAGTATATTTATTGCTTCATTGAGTCACGCTGCAGAGTACTACCTACAATTCTAACCAGTGTGACACAAGGGGCTGCCCAGGCACTAGAGACAGTACAAAGAGCAATGAGGCTGATTCTCGGTGTTAGAGGAATAAGCTCTGAGTAACGACGACCACATCTCACCAGTTCTGGCCCAGGCTCCACTGGCTCTCCATCACCGCACTTCAAAATCCTCACTCTCGTGTTCAAATCCCTTCACTCTCTGGCACCTCCCCACCTCTCTGACCTCCTTATTCCCTAATCCACCACCCAACGCCTCCGCTCGACTGGCACCAGCCTCCTGCTCGTCCCTCACACCCTCCGCCCTACCATCGGATTTTAGCCACCACGCCTAAAAATGTGGAACACTCTCCCTCAATCCCTCCGCCTTGCCCCCTCTCTCCCCCCCCCTTTCAAGTCCCGCCTGAAAACTTTCCTGTTTAATCATGCTTACGGCCACCTCCCCCACCCACCCCCCACCCCACTCACCGGCTTGGAGTCAGGCTCTGCCACTATTAAATGTTCTGAGACACTACCTTGTGCGGAGAGCGCTATATAAGTGCAAGCTGTTGTTGTTGACAAATTAAGGCTCTTCAGTCTTGAAAGAAGACAGCTCAGAGGGTACCTACCTTATAAATGTATATAAAATGTAAAAATATACAGTGCAAACAAATAAAATGAGTAATGTTGCATCATTATTTAAGTTATATAACAAAAAGCAGTCTTTTCAAATAGTGTTATGGAATCTTTAACGGCCACCTGAACAGACAGATGTGTTTCAATTCAGAGGACCTCCAACTATACAACCAGAACTGATTTGGGAGCATCAGCCTAAATTATGACTTCGAAGTCTCAACGTGGGGCTTGAACGCAAACCTTCTGACTCGGAGGCAAGAATTCTACCATCTGAGCCAAGCTGATACCCTGCCTTTATTGATTATTTCATAAAATGTGACGGGAAATATATTATGGATTACATGTCACATTATATTGGAAATCACAATGCTGTTTTTCTAGATATTGTGCAAATTGATCTGAAGCTTTATATAATGGCAAGAGTTAAAGATTTAGATCTTACTTGACGTGGCTGTTACTCATGTTAGTCCGAATTATTCTGAGAATCACAGAATCATACAGTACAGAAGGAGGCTTTGCTATTTTTGCAGAGGCATATTTAACAAAGCACACTTAATTCCAAGGCAAGCTTGAAGGTATACAGACATGTCCTTATTATTATTATGTCCTTGATGCTGCAAGGGAAAACCTGAAGGGTAGGGCGATTCCAGCTGGTCAAATACCAAAAAGATAATTGACTGACTAGACTAATTTTATAAGAACAAGAAAAATTATTATGTAAGAAATGTCCTGTTGGCCAACAAACCCACTCCTTTCACACACCATGTAAAACATATCCATACCATGCAATCTAATTCCTGAAGGGAAAAAAGTTTCACCACCAAATGAACTGAAGCAAAAAACATCTGAAAATGCATCTGGCCCAAATCTCCACTATTCAACCCTGTTTCCATCAGATTGTAGCCTCCCATCCCCAGGCTTCAGCAGTACACAGTACACAGGCTCATAAACTGAGGTAGGAGAAGAGT